AGAAGTGTTATATAATAGCGGTTAAGATTTAACCGCTATTAGAAGTGATATTATAATAGCGGTTAAGATTTAACCGCTATCATATACTACCACATTGCCACTTATCCCCAAATAACCCTAACTCTCGCGCCTCACTCACCCATTCCTCTTAACCTTGGTCAGTATCTCCTCCTCACTCCCGGCGAGCCCTAGCCCCCTCACTGCTCCCCCCAAGTCGGCCCTCACCCTAATCCAACCTCCACCAAAGCTCCTCGTCAACCGGACGCCACCCTGTGTGCCACCGCGCCACACCTCTGTTCTTAACCTCCTCCGCAGCCTCTGACACCCTCAACCAAGGTTTGACTTGTTTGAATGTATATACTGTTATTCTCTTGCTGATGTTAATGGTGGGGGAAAAGAAATAGATATACAATTACTAAATGAAAGAAATATAGATGAAGATGAGGAAGAATATATTTCAAGTGAGGATGAGACTGAGAGTGATTTTGATGATACAGATACTTCGGTAATTCATGCATTAAAATTATTTTTACAATTGTTAAATTTGATTGTACACCTTTATTTAATATTGCATATATATACATATATATATTGATATGATTATGATTTAATTATTTGCAGTGAATGAGTGGTAAACTAACTGACACGTTTGGGTGTAGAAAACACAATCAGGTAATTCATTGTTTCAATTGTTTAATTTTATGCATGTTACATATGTAATAAGATCCGCTTGTAGATGCCACAAAGGGGTAGAAGTGGTGGTCGTAGACCACCTCATCGTGGTGGTCGAGGTGTACTTGTTGATGATAGAGGTTCACCCAGCCCTAACTCTCCTAGTTCTGTTCGACCAAGATCCATGGAGTCTACTAATCTTATGTTTGTAGAACGCACACCTCCCTCAACTCAGCGAGAATCTCCTGTAGCTATAGTAGGAGAAACAATTCCTACTACCTTCTCTATCGAGGCGACATTTGGTCAACCTACACAGTACCTGGGTCGACCGCAACCGAGGTTGAGTCCGGAAATATGGTTGATCAAAGGCCATGGTTACAAGCGGACAAAGGAGAGTAAGTATGTTTTAATTTAATTATAATTCTTTAATATGAAATTTCTTAATAATATCAATCCCACAATATGTTTCAACACAGGTTTATACCAAGCAAATGGTCCTCCCTGCTATAATCTCTAGAATCATCAAACAAAAATTTGATGAACCAAGTCCCACTTGGAGAAAGGTTTCACTTGAGCTTCGAGATAGATGGTTTGGAGAGTTCAAGATAATTTGAATTATAGTTACATTAAAAAATGTCATTTCATTCTTATAAATTAAATGTTTGTTGTGTATTTTATTTATGCAGAAAGAGTATATATGGGATGTGGAACAAGAGCAAGCCATAAGATCTCGTTTTTGATAAGAAAGGTTCTCGAATTTTAAAAAACTCAATGAACAAAGTTAGGAATGGTAAGGATACGGGAATCTGGATACCGCCAGCTGTTCGAGCATCTTTGGACTTACATTGGAGTTCTCCAGATTTCCAAAACAAGAGTGTCATTGCCAAGGCTAATCGAGTCGTTGATAAGGGTGCCTCGACTCATCGTGGGAGTTCCATATCTACTGCAGCTCACTTTGAGAAGATGGTAAGTTTATTATATTTTTATATAAGTAATTTAATACAATATATTACACTTTAGGTAATGAATTTTGTCTCATTTTAATGTGTAGACTACGGAGTTTCAACGGGAACCAACCGTTTGAGAGGTTGTTGAGAGGATAAAGAAATTAAAGACTGGACAATGGGTCAATGAAAAAACTCGTTATCTTGCTGTATGTTTAACATCTAAGTTATAGTTTATTATTCAATATATGTTTTCTTCACAATAATTATATTTCACTTCATTTTTAGGAACAATATATGCAGCGCAGAGAAGAAGTCCATCAACATAACTTGCGTGAAAGCTCATCTTCACAAGAGTCTCCTATTGTCTCTGTTGATGATAATCAAATATACATTTCAGTTGTTGGAGGTGAAAATAAAAAAGGAAATGTGTATGGACTTGGTACATTGAGCAAAAAGTTCACTACTACATCAGGTTCTCAATCTTTTATTACTCAAACTCGAGTACTTCATCAAATTGAACAAATGCGTGAGACTATTGAAAAGTTAAATGCTGAATTGGTGGCAAAGCATAATAATGAGAAGACACTTGAAGAAGAGATGCAGGAGTTGAGGAACAACCAACGCCAACAAGATGAGTAGTGAAGCTTATTTTACAACATATTCAAATGAATAGTCATCCTACTACAAGTCAACATGACACTGACAATATACCGGAGGACTAATTTTCAATTTTATGATATTAAGACTTTGAATCTTGATTAGTTGTTAAGTTCTTAAGTTTCATTTGTGTTATGTTTGGATGAATTAAGCAGGTACAAATTTTGTAAAATTGGATATACAAAATTTGACTTTAGTTCTTAAGTTTTCATTTGTGTTATGTTTGGATGAATTAAGCGAGTACAAATTTTGTCAAATTGGATATACAAAATTTTAAACGAAAATTTTCAGATTTGGTTAGATTAGCGATCGAATTTTTGGTCGCTACAAATTTATTATAATATATAATTCAAATTTAGCGTACCGATTTAAATTATTAGTTAAATAATTCAATTAATATATTAGCGACCGATTATATCCGTCGCTATTATTGTTAACTTTGTCTCCAATTTAGCGAATCGATTTTAATTTTTATTTAAATAATTATATTAATATATTAGCGACCGAGTATATCGGTCGTTATTTTTTAAAACTTTACCACTGGATTTAGCGATCGATTTATTATATTAATTTCGGTCGCTAATTTGGTCTTCAATGAATAAGTGACCAAATTATTTAGCGACCACTTTAGTGACCACCTCATCGATCGCTATTTAGCGACCGAAATGAAATCGATCGCTAACAAATTAGCGACTTGCCCTTTTGCGACCAACCATTTCGTCGTTAATTTCGATCGCTAATGTAATAGCGATCGAATTTTAGCCATTAGCGACCGATTTTTTCGATCGCTAATAGCGTTTTTTCTTGTAGTATATATATATATATATATATATATATATATATATATATATTAGTATTGATTGATTAAAATTTTTTTTTTAAATTTGAGGACAAAAATCATAAACACTATGAATTAATAATGTATTATTTATTTATTTATTTTTATATATTATTATAAATAACAATTATAAAAAGTAATAATATATATAATAATAATAAAGTTAATGAAAATAATAATTTTATTATTTAGTACTATTAATTAATTATATATTTCTATTACTATTACTATTACTAATTTAATAATTTATTATTATTATTCTTTTTCATTTATAATAATAATAAACTTAATAATAATTACAGTGAATATAAAAAAAATAATGAACTAATAATTTAATAATAGTAAATAATAAATAAAATTAATATAATAAAATGAAATGTAATTATTATATATTTTAGTTTTAAGGGATGAAAATATTTATTTATTTATTTTGTGGACTAAAATCAGAATCATTATAAATTTTAGGAATTAAAAATATATTAATTTATTATTTATTTATTGATATTATTTATTATTATTATATATTATTATAAATAATTATAATAATATAATAATAATTGTAATAAAAGTAATAATAATAATAAATAATAAATATAATAATTGTGATAAAACAAATAATTTTAGTTTTAAGGGATTAAAATATTTTTTTATTTATTTTGTGGACTAAAATCAGAATCATTATAAATTTTAGGAATTAAAAATATATTAATTAATTATTTATTTATTCATATTATTTATTATTATTATTATATATTACTATAAATAATCATAATAATATAATAATAATTGTAATAGAAGTAATAATAATAAATATAATAATAGTAATAAAACAAATAATAATTATTTTATTATTATTATTATTATTATTGTTATTTTCATTTGTATAACTAATAAACATAATAATAATTATTGTAAATAATAAAAAAATGAAATAATAGTGATCATATTAAAAAAATTAATAATACTAAATAATAAAGAATAAAATGAACTATTATTATTATTATTATTATCTATTATTATTATCTATTATTATAGTTATTAATATTACTTTTTATAATACTGAAAAACATATAACATAAAAAAGTGAAATTTTGTTGGATTTGTTTTTTTTTTTAACTTGTTTTTAAGTACGATTTATTTATGTATGCAGTTTTTTTTAAAATTAAGTAAATTGATAACTTTTGAATCAAATTATATTATTTAGATGTTTGTGCTTAAAGTGAAGGAAGTATAATAGTTAGAGGAGATATAAAAAAGAAAAGATATGGCTTAGGTTATAATTATAATACATGTAGAAATGATAACGTGAAGTGTAATAGAAAAAAAGTGAGGACTAAAATCATTCACTGGGGGAAGAATATTTAAGGAAAAATAGTCAACTTCTTGGAACCATTGAATAATTCATTTAATATTATAATAATGATAAAAGTGTACAGTAATTTTATAGAAAAGAAACAAGTTATATAGTTGAATATTTAAAGCCTAATTAAGATCAAACAGTTGTTTCCAACTAAGCATATTTTATGTATTAATTTGTGTTGGTTAAGTGATAAAAGACACATTAGAGGTAATGATGGTAAACTAACAGTAGAATCTAGGTGTGATACAAGAAAACCAAATCATTGAGTCGGCAATCTCATTCTGGCTCCACAGCACCTTCTCTTTATAAATACCACAAGAAACAAAATGAAGAAAAAACCAAAGAGAGTAATCTTGTTCCAATATATATACCTCTACTTAACAAGGTCATTTTCTGCACCCTCGAAACTTTCGTTAACCAGCTGTGTTTACACCTACACTTATACTTCCAATGTTACTGTGACCATTCTTAAAACACCCTCTTCCATTCCCTCTTCTCCGCATTCTTTTCCTTTACTCACCCAGCCATGAAGGAATCGGGCATGGAAACTATGAGAAGTTCCAGAAGTGGAAATAGTTATGCCAATGAACAAGTCATAGGAGATGAGCCCTCAAGGCTTGAGGTTTGGGGATGGTATCTCTATGAGTTCTGCTCTTACTTTGTTCAAACTGTTCTCATCCCTGTGGTTTTTCCTCTCATCATTAGCCAGTTACAGCATCTCCCACTGGACTCTCTTCAGGACTGGTTCAAGAACCACCAAGGCATGGTCTGTGCAGAAAAAGAAATTAACCTGTGAGTACATACATTCTTTATCTTTGAGGACTTCTTTCACAAAAACCAGAATTTAATTGTTCACATACAAGAGAAAACAGCGTATTACTAACCCTCCACCCTATTTCTAAATCATTCTTCACATGTTCTTAGTAGTAAAATGATTGCTGATGGACAGAAAAGATGAAAAATACATTTTTTTTTTTTAAATTTGGTAGAAAAGAAATGGTAGGAGGAGTAGTCATGAGTTTGAAATTTGGTGGAAGAGGTTTTGTTTGTTTAAAAATGGATAGAATGATGAACAAAGCACAGGTTCTGATCATGGTCTTCATTATAATGATGTAAAACTACTTGTTGGTGCATGGTGATGGATGCTGTCTGCTTTTACACTTCATTGTTTCTTCACTCAACAACAGTTGAGATTCCACTTCACTTAGGTCACACACTTCATATATTATTGTATGCTCCTTAAGTTCGCTACCTACCAAGTGAAAGAAAGAGTCTTTACCAAGGAGTTAGGGAGTATTAAAGAACATTAAAGTTATAAAACAATATTTAAAATACAATTAGTATTTCCACTATATGATCTAATTTTAAATATATAAAATATAATTTTAAATAATTATAAAGTCCTATACAGATAGATAAAATATAATAATTTCAGATTTTATGAAAATGAAATAATAAATAATGTGAGTATAATTTAGTTAGTAACTTGTAAAATCATATTGTTTATAATTATAAATATATAAACTTAAAAAAAGTGTTAGTTATTAAATATATATACAGTGTGGTAACATAATTTATTGATAATTGAATGTTTTGTGTCCATGTGATTAGAATTTTACTTACACAACTTCAGGTAAATACGTACCAACGTTCATATTTTGATCACATTATATATCAATCTACTATACTAATAATTTATATTTTTCTTGCTGAAAATGAAAAATATATAATAGGAGGTGCATGTCACATTTTAAACTTAATCATAAATAATTAGATTGGAAGAAATGTTTAAATGAATTGTTGCAGGTACAACACAGTAACAGAGCGCAGCATAACAGTGAGTGGTTCATCCTTCTCCTCTTTGGAGTGGACATCAATTGCATGGGGTGGAGGTCTAGCCCTAGCTGCTCCAATTTTGGCCTTCATTTCTGTCCACATCAATGGACCCTCCCAAACACTCATCACAGCTGCAGCCACAGGCGTTGGAGCCTTATTTTGCCTTCCTGTAGGTCTTTTCAAAACCACCAAGATCTTCATTCCCTACATCGTAATCATTGTAGCTGCCATCACAGTCTCAACTGCAACACACACTCACCACTTAGCCCTCATGGCTCCTACATTTTCAAGACCACCCCTAAAGAGACTAACCCTATTTTCCACAAAACAAGGACTTTCTAGTTGGCTCTCTCTCTATGCCACTGTTGCTGGTTGCTTGGGTGCATGTATTGTCTCGTCCTTCACTTACCACATGCTTAGGGAGCCCAGTGAACATGAGTTTATCAGCCTGTGGATTGTGTCAATATTTTCTGGCTTGTTATGGCTAGTGGGGGTGTTGCATGTCTTCACAGCTATGAACAGAACCAGTTCTGTGCCCAACATTTTGCCTTCAAGGCTTCAACTTTTTACTGTGTTCACTTACCCACATGCAATTGGAGGCTTGGTTTCTGTTCTCTTCTCATCGTTTACCACAATGAGCTTATTCACTGGTGGGGTGTTGTTCACAGTGGGTCATCTCTGCATTAAGCCAGTGCACTTGCTTTATTTCTGGCTAACCTATTTCCTTTTCCCTCTGGTTTCCCTGCCATTGCTACTCCAACCACTACAGTACCTAATCAAGGCCAATGCTGCGAAAATGAAGATCATGGGCTTCCTATTGTCACTTATAACTTCTGGTTTCGGGTTCTACTTCTGGGAGAGTCATTGGAAATGGGGGCACTTGCTTATGTTTGGGGCCATTCAGGGCACAGCAAGTGGGTTGTTGTACACTTTTGGAAGGGTGTTGGTGTTGGATAGTTCTCCATGCGGTGAAGAGTGTGGTTTCTCTGTTTGGTATAGTTGGGTGAGAAGTGTTGGCTTGTGTGGGGGTTTCATAGTGGGTTCAGTGGTGCCAGAGAATGTGAGAATTTCTTTTGGGGTTGCGTTTTGCAGTGCCCTTGTTGGAATTGTTGTTCTGCTTTTTGGAAATGTGAGTGACTTCAATGTTGTCAGAGAGGGAGGTGAGATCTCCTTGGATTCCAAGGAATCTATCAACGTCTGAGAGAGTGTCAAGTGTTGTCGGTACCTAGATATTTTGTATCCCTTCACATTTATCCTCTCTTGCAAGTGGTGTAATAGGATTGATTTGTGATTGGTTTTGGGTGTATTTCAGTTTTCCAAACTCTGTAAAAAAAAGGATCCCTTCATAAAATTCTTCAAAAGTTCTTGGGCCATTCAAATCGTCCACCCTCTGACTTTTGTTTTTAGTTTTCTATCTCGCTTCTCATATCAATGTCATTCCTCCTAAAAGAGCATTTCATCATACTAATCTTCAAGTCTTTTTTTATTATGCCAAACATTCTCATTCGCATTCTAATACTCCTAATGACGATGAGAAGGGTTGTCTACCTCTGAAAAGGCATGTGAGGAAAACTTCAAGAGGACATCAAACACATAAGAAGTCTTGTTGAAGATAGAAGAAATATCAAGACTTCAAAGAGTAACAAGATCAAGGCTTACACTTTATCTTCTTGATTTTTACTTGAATCACTGATTTTTTTTTCCCTTCTATATCTACCAACAAATTACTATGCAAGTTATTTTTTGTGTCAATATCCTTCTTTCTGGTATCACTATCGGTTCCATGATGAATGATGTTTTTTCCTTTCGCCTGTGCAAGTCATTCTTTTGTCAATATCCTTCTTTAATGGTACAATATTGGTATTATTATTGTTCTATAATTTGTGTTGGAAATATGTAATCACTTAACCCTAAACCCTCGCTCTTTTAAACCTTATATATCATTTCGAGTTAAAATATTTTACTAAATTAATATTTAATGATAATAATTAAATTATTTTTAAATTATCAAAGACAAAATTATAAAAAATATACTTATGAAATTTATAAATTTAATATAAATTGTTTAAAAATTATAAAATAAAATAATTATATTGTTTTAAGAGAATTATTACCGGCAAAATTCAAACCTAATACTTCAAAGTTAAAGATTAATACTCTAACCACTAAACTACTCAAATTTTCCGATAATAATTTATAAATAAATTATATTTATATACAAATAAATGTATATCTATGTAAATATATAAATATAAAATATATAAATATAAAATATATAAATATAAAATATATAAATACAAATATATTTATATGTTGTATGTGAGGACGCCATCGAGGATGAAAGCGTGTGTCGAGTGAATTTTTAAAATTTGATACCAAATTTAATTTAATTATGATTATTAATAGAACAATTTTTTCTTAACATAGATTATTATAAATTAATCAAAATCATCTTTTAATAATTGACACACACTTTTACTCTCTCGAACGTACTCTCACATCCAACATATAAATATGTAAATATATAAATACATAACTATATCAAATATATATAAATATATTTATATATTTTATATTTATATATTTACACGGATATACATTTGTTTGTATATAAATATAATTTATTTATAATTTATTATCGGAAAATCTTAGTGGTTGGAGTATCCGCCTCTAATGTCAATGTAATGAGTTCAAATATTGTTAGTGACAATTCTCTTAATTGATATTATTTCAACTTTTAACATCGGTTAATTCAAAATCAACGTTGAAAGTGTATTCAACATTGACTCAACTTTTAACCGACATTAAATGACGACGTGTGATATCATATCGAGTTATTATATATATATATATATATATATATATATCAATTAAATTTATTAAATATATTAAAAATAATTATTTATAAAGTAACAATTTTTAATATCTAATTAAGAAAGATATTGGATAATATAATTGTATAGTAAAATTTTACTTATATTTTTTCATCAACAATGAAAATTACTTGTCTTTGTTTATAGTTTGTTTAATTAAATTATTTTAATAAATTCTATGATATACATGCTCATGAAAAAGAAACTCAATTAAATAAATACTTTAATAAATTCAGAATTAAAATATAAAAAATATACATTTCAAATTTAATTACATAAAAACAGTTATTAAACATTTTCAGTTAAAAAAACATACCAACAACTAGGCATGGCAACGGAGCGCGCGAGGCGGGTTTTGCCTCCCAGTCCCGCTCCGATCTCGCGGGGTTAGGAATTAAGTCCCCATCCCCGTCCCACTGGGTTTCGGGTTCCGCCCTGCCTCGTCCCCAATTTATATTATTTTTAAAAAGATAATTATATTTATAATAAATTAATTTTACTATGTATTTTTATATATAAATAAATATTTATAATTTATAGTTATTATTAATTAAATATACATTTTAATTTATTATATTTATATTAAAATATATATGTAAAAGAAATATTTAATTATTTTTTATTTATATATATATATAATATTTATAACATTATTATTATTATTATTATTATTATTATTATTATTATTATTATAACACTGTATTCAAATATTTGAATATTTATAACATTATTATTATAATACTGTATTCAAATATTTAATTATACATATAAGTTAATTCATTTTTAAGTTGTCAATATATAGTTTATAAGAAAATATTTAATAAGTTAATTCTTATTTAATTAGTTTGAAGTAATAAAAGTTTAAATTATTAATTTCTTTTAATCCTTTAAAATGCAATTATTTTATTAAGATAAAATTTGATATATGATAAATAAGCATAATAAGATAAAAAAATATGGCATAATAAATATAAATTATAAATAAACTAATATTAGTTACTACTAAGATTGATGTAAAATATTTAGAAAAAGATAAAGAAAAAAGATTAACTTTGTGTTCATCAAATTGGTTGAAAAGATTGAAAAAAAACAAATTGATGGGAGAGACTAAGAAAATGTGAAAAACTCGAAAGATAAGGGAGAGAATAATATAATAAATTAATTGATATAAAAGATTGAGAAAGATAGAAAAAATTAAAAAGTGGGTAGAAGAAAAATAAAAATTGGTGAAATATAAAAAAATAACCTTATATGTAATAGAAAAAGAAAATGAAATACTTTTAAAATATTAATATTTTAAAATTTAAATTTAAATATAAAGTCGGGGCGGGACGAGGTGGGGTCGGAATGAGGATTGCATTACCCATCCCGCCCCGCCTCGACTTTTTAAAGCGGAAAACCCGAACCCGACCTCCGCCCGGTCAACTCGGGGTTTTCCAGTCAAACTCGAGGCGGGACGGGTCGGTCCTCACGTGCACGGTTTAATTGTCATCCCTACCAACAACTCTTTTTTAATATTAAATATAATTTAATATATAAATTAGGTTAAATAACTTTGTCCTATTGTTTTTAAAAGTTCCATTATTTATTACATTTTATTCCATCGTTTATTTCCATATCAATTTGATGATATAGTTTTTTTTTAAAATAAATAATATTATTCTTTTCTTAATATCATGTATAAAACAAAATATCATATAGCTGTAACACAATTACGTTTATTAACAAGACTTTATTATAGTATTAACATAAATTATATATATATATATATATATATATATATATTACAATAATAATAATAATAATAAATATCACCTCGTTAATATTATTATATTTTTCAATTATATAGTCTAGTAATATTAACTAAAAATAATAAAATAAAAAGTTAAAATATTATTTTACCTAAAAAATATAAAATTTTACATAGTTTTTAGTAATTTTTAAATTGGAAATAAAATATGTGTTTTAAAAATGTGTATATATATATATATATATATATATATATAATTTTAAAAATGTAAAAATTAAATAAAATTAATTTTAAAATATAAAAATTTATTATATTTTTATAAAAATAATAATTATTATAATAAACATCATTTTATTTTCTCATGTAATTTTCTATTTATATATTTTTCTTTTTCATTTTCTATTTTTTTCTGTTCACCTTTTCACTTTCGTTACTTCAATCTCAAATACTCATTTTTTTTATACGTTCATAATTTTATCATTTTATTATTATTTTTTGTTTACTATTATAATATATTATCGTATGTATTATTTATTATTAAGTTAGTTGTTTTAATGTTTCATAGTACTCAATTTTAATGTAAATGTGAAAAAAAATTAGGTTAAATTTTAGATATATTTAAAAAAATTATATATTCATATTTTAAGATAAAAGAGAAAATATATAATAAAATAAATTTTAACTGTGTAATCTTAAATTCAAAATAATATTAAAAATATTATAGCACAACTCACTATAGAAATTATAAGTAACTATTTTTATAATATGAAATATTATTGAATGGTATTTAATCTTATACTTTTATGTTGATATTAAATATAATTAAATGATATATAATTTTTAATAATTATATAATATATATATTTAATACAAATAAATTTTATAGTATTTATTATTTAATTTAATATCAAAATTTCTAATTTTGTCTTATATATATATATTATTTTTTAAATGTATGGAAACAATCATTTAAAAAATAATAAAATATTAAATAGATATAAATTTTTTAAATTATTTATTTAAATAATTTGAAAAAAAAAACGAAAAAAAATAAGCCATCCTTGAAAACATGACTTTACATCGAAAAACTCGTCCTTCTAATTTTTTTGTTAACATGGAATTCGTGCTGGTAAACGTTATTTATGTTTTTAACATTTTTTTCTATTGTAATGAAGCTAAAATTTCACTCTTTATTTATTGTAATAATTTTTTATATTATTATTCATTAATTTATTATTAATAAATAAGATAAATAATAATAATAAATAATAATAATAAAATACAAATAATAATACTTATAAATAAAGTAATTAATATTTATTATGATTATTATTATTCTTAATATTATAATAATTAACAATAAAAATATTGATAAACATAATTATAATATAAAAATAATAATGATAAGAAATAATAATCATAGTAATAATCAAATTAAGAAGTATAAATTATTTTATTGTTAAATATTTTTATTTTATTATTAATATCATTATTATTAATAATAAAATTTATAATAATAATAATAGTAATAATATTAAAAACTAATAAGTTTCATTAAATAATTTTTATTAATACTTATTATTAATTATATTATTACGAAATTTATTACTAATGAAAATTATTATTTTAATATTAAAATTATCATCATTAATATTTTATTATTATTATTAATTATTATTATTATTAATGTTATTATTAAAATAATAATGACCATAATAAATAATAAATATAATAATAAATATTAATTACTATCTGTCAAGACTTTATTGTTAAGGTTAATTTATATTTGTTTGTAATCAATTTAATAACAATATAAAAATATGAAAATATATGAAAGTGATTAGAAGAGAAAAAAAAGAAAAGAGTTAAAAATGTTGAAAAAAATCATGCAACCTTCATTTCAAAATTAAAAGAAAGTATTGTTTGAAAGCATGACTTATTTTAATTTAATGTGAAATTCTGCTTCTAACCTACCCATTTCTATAATATTTTTTAAAATGCATAATTTAAAAGAAAAAGAAAAAAATAAAATAAATGCTCCTGCTTTTGATCGACAGGCCATGTTGTATGTAATGTGTATTTTCAATTTGACCTTACTTATAAACCCTTCCTTTTTCACCTCTTCATTATTTATTACCCAATATTTCACAAAAAGAGAGTCAAATCTGCATCCTCAATGCACCAAAGTCATGACTTCGAGAGTAGATTCTCAGTCCGATCCACAATCCGATTCCCTCGCCCTCACACTGTCAGCAAATGCAACCGATCTCGATCCCACTCTTCCCCTACTTACTTACCTCCCTGCTCCCTACGACGCCGTTCAAATGCAACCGCATGCAGAGGATTTCCGCCGCTCTCCCAGCCTGCTCTCTCCCCCAGCCACCGTTGAAGGCGTCAATGCGGGGTCCAGAAAGCGGAAACTGCGGCTGGAGAAGGAGGGGAGTTCCCTGAGACGCTCCCCAAGATTGTCAGCAGGTTCTGGAACAGGGTCGCGTGATCTCATCAAGGTGTCTCACTGTACTTTTTGCTTCGCATTTTGTCCTTAGTTTTACTCCTTTTAGTCTTTTTTGGATAAAATATGATATTTAAGGTCAGGATTCAGTTAAAGAATAAACTCAATTTCATGATAGTTTTTGTTGTGCTCAAATCTACCTTTGCATAACATGATTTTACTGCATGTAATTTTAATATAACTTTAATATATATATATACATATATATATATATATATTTTTTTTTTTTTTAATTTTCAATTTCGGTATTAGTTAATTTCCTTTGAAATTGTTCCTTTCTTGTCAGTTTAATTTTGAAAGACACAAGTTTTGGTACCCAAACTGGTTAAGACATTAAAAGTGTTGATTGCCCATTTAAAAAAATGGTATATGTTAAAATTAGATGAATGAACCATTTTTCTTTTAAAGAAATTAAAACTAAAATTCTAAAACTTTACAGGGATGAAAATATCTTTTCTTCTCTCTCTTTTTATTCTCTCTAAATATAAATATTTATATTTTTAGGGTATGGGCTATTTCATTTTATCATAAATTCAAGTTCTCATTGGTGGCTGACCACTATCAATTTTTATTTTTATTGTTTGTTTCAGGGGAAGTCAGGGAAGAAAGAAAATATACAAACTTTTACTTGGAAAGAAATATTATTATATCAAAACCATAGAAACTGCATATTACTTGTAAGTAATTAAAAATTAAAGATAAAATGGTAAAATATAGTCCTTTAAATATTTAAAAGTTTCAATTTAATCTTAAAATTAAAATAATTTTTTTGCAAGTTGCTCTAACATGTCATAATTATTTTTCATTTCAAGTTTCTACATGTTTTAATTATAAAAAATTAATTCATTTACTAAATTATATTTTAATGATAATATTGGAATATTTATTTAAAGTTAAAAAGAAACATGAGAGATGAAATTTATATTCAAATTTATTTATTCATATGTAAATATTAACTAGAAAAATTTACACCTAAAAACATGAGGAAGACCATTTGGCGAAAGTTAAAATGTAGTAGAGGAAAATTAAATTGCCTGACTCGGAGATTGAAAATAGAACTTTTTAACAATAGTTATTTAATTCACGTAATTAATAACTAAAGATTTAAATGTAACAAAGAAAGGGAATCATTTATCTTTTTCATTTGTTTTTTTGGCCTGGTAATCATATAATACTTTATACAAAATTTATGTATATTGGGCGTTCATGCATGTACAATGTAATAGTTGAGATTTATTTATATTTATAAAAATATTTTATACTCAGAATACAACATAGTGATCAAATTTCATCTATAGTTTCTATTTTGTGTGAAAATTTAAGCTGCCATTTTTCAATCTAACAGTTATATTGAATAAGTTCACAGATGATGTACGCATGTAAAGGTTTATCCATGCCATGGGTTGTAGGGCAATACTTCTACCTTATGATTCTGATATTTTTGAACTACCACGTAGTATTTATTATTTTCAAACTATACTTTATTCTTAGTCTTGCTTCTTTCGTCCATGTCCTCAACCCTAACTGTTCTACTGTTATTCATTCTCATTTTTGTCTAACTTGATTCTCTTAGTCTTGCTTCTTTCGTCCCATGTCCTCAACCCTAACTGTTCTACTGTTATTCATTCTCATTTTTGTCTAATCTTTCTTTTTTCTAATATAATATTTAACAACAAATTGAGTATTAGTGACGTATTTTCTTTGAATTTATTGAATTTCATGGTTTACAATCTTGTCTGTTGATTCTTGAGTTGTGCAGTGGCAAGGGTCTAGGGGTCCAGAATTACCACTGAAGTGAGTGAACATGGAAGCTGACATATCTTCACTTTCCTGCATTGCTTCAATTTCACGGTTTCGATTCTAGGCCACATAATGCTTTTTCATTTTGCAGTGCTGACCTAAAGGACCAGAGTGTAGATTCCAATCTTTATTCAGATGTCAAACCTATAAAATTTTTTAATGGAAAGTTCATTGGTGAGGAGCACTTCTTGAGGGAATGCCCAGGATTAAATCCATCAAATGAGGCATATACAGAAAAGCTTGATGTGAAACTGTACGGTAAATTGGAGCTTAGGAGATCCCCAAGACTTTCCTCTTCAAATGGGAATGAAAACAAAGAAATTAATGTTTTTTCACAAGGAAAAAGAACATCGAAAGGCATTCACCAAAAGAAGAAAAATACAAAAGTAATTTCTACTTTCATTGAATTGTCCAGTTCACTAGTTGAGCAGCATTCTGAGGCTAAAACTATCTCAAGAAGCTCTACTTGTGGAATTGACGCTACAAAATACTTGAGGTGGTCTTCAGAGGCAATCAGTTCCTCATCCTGGGCTGAAAATGGCAGAACAATTTCTAATTCCTCTGCCTTGTCTGAGTTAGACGACAGATCACCAAGACAGAAATATAAAGTATCTACTTTAACTAAGGAAGGTATGGATTCACAAAGCATCCCTTCCTTCATTGGTGATCCAATACCTGATGATGAAGCTCAGAAAAGATGGGGATGGCGTTATGAATTAAAGGTTGTTGATCTGATTTTTTCAGCATGTCTTTATCTAAAGACTTCAGTATGTTGTGCTTAGAAAAGAGAGAAAATATTAATCATTTTTAAGCCACTTAAAATGACAGTCTTGTTTGCATTTTCTTTTCTTACTTTTGGAAGAAATGCAAGTTTTATTAGTTTCAAGTTAATCCAAACACATTGTATTTATCTGATTTTTCTGCTGAAACATGCAGGACAAAAAATATAAAGATCAAAAGTTCAAAATAAAGTAAGTATTAATCAATTCATAATATTATGTATATTGTAGCACTGTTTCTCATTTGATACAGTTTCTAATTTCTTAACCATTTATTTTTATGTTGTTGATTTCATAGTGAGGGTGAAGAAGATGAGATTATTGCAAATGTTAAATGCCATTATGCACAAGCTGAAATTGGGAATTGCGTTTTTAGTCTTGGTGATTGTGCATTTATAAAAGTAAGTTTAGTTAAAAAGAAACATATTTTTTCTTGTGTTCATCTTTCCACAATCCAAAAGTATGTGTAGTTGAGCTGTATAACGTTACTTGGTAGCTCAACCAGAGTAATAATTTAGATTTATTTACTTTCGTTTTGTAGTGTATTTGTGTTCTCTAACAATTGGTATGATGATTTGTGTTGTGATCAATAGTTTAAGAGTGGTCTTTGTATCGAAAGTCTTCCTGATAGTGAGATAAGTAAGTGTGTCTCGTTATAATAAACGACGGTACATGGAAGGACACTAGTGAGCTTGAGGGGATATACCAACGTGAAGGGACTCATACTTGAGGGAGAGATTGTTGGGTAATCCAAGTGTGGGTTTAAGCCTCACATTGAGTAAGAATAAGAATGTTGAGCAACATAGGAGGAAGAAAGACCCATAATCCAATAACTTAAGGTTTTGGATTGAAGATGGTGTCAATCCTTCATATAAGTTGGACTCACGTCTCATTGATGTTGCAGTAAATCCCTCCTCGAAAGGCCCAACATAGTTAACTAGATAAGAAGATATTGAAGATGAGAAAACTATAGTTCTATTTCTTAATTTAAATCAATACAAGGATGTTCTATTTTTAGAGTATTTTATAATACTTCAACTACCCTAGAAATAATTATAGCACCTCAATTATCCATTATCTGAACTACCCAACCCCTCAAACCTCAACTACCTTAGTAGTTATTAAAGCATCTCAACTATCCTAATTAATACAACTCTTGTGAATCAAACAAAATATTATGGTAATTCAACACTCTTCCTCAAGCTAGTGAATGAATATCAATAATTTTCAGCTTGCATTTGAGATCATGAAACTGTTTTAGAAGTTCATGTAAAAGAGTACGCTAGTTGAAGTCCTGATGGGAAGTAGAAAATTTTTATAAGACCTAAATCCAATTCTTTAATGAAGTGTTGAACAATCTCTGTATGCTTTGGCTTATCATGTTGGACATGATAATGAGCAATACTAATAACCTATTTATTGTTAAAAAGAGAGTCATAGGTTTTTCAAATTTCATTTTAAGATCATTTAGAATAATTTTCAACCGTAACAATTCACCCCCTTATGCCATAGCTTGAAACTTAACCTCTGCATTGGACCTTGCAACCATATTTTGTTTCTTCTCTAACTCACCAAGTTTCCATCTAGGAATACATAATATCTTCAGATGGACTTCCTATGAGTAATAGAACCAACAAAGTTTCCATCACTATACACCCTTCTTAAACATCTTTTTGGACTTGTCTTCAAATATTGAAGGATTCTTCTATTTATAGCTTGTAAGTGTCGTTCCCTTGGATTATGTATGAGTTATTGATCACACCCACAACATAAGCTATTGCAAGTTTAGCGGGGTTAGGTAAATGAGTTTCCCTACGAGTCTTTGATATTTTGTGATTGTGTTCTATAGGTGATCTAGTAACCTTGCAATCAGTCTTCCTAGTTTCTTTGAGAAGGTCTAAAACATATTTTCTTTGGGAGATGAAGATGCTTTTTTTTAGTAGGCAATTGTAATCCCACAAAAGTTGATGCTAATATGAAAATAAGATCGTTTTGATATTTAGTTGGAGGAAGGATAGAAATCATATCAAAAGTACTTCAACTTTCCTAAATCTTTCATCTCAAATTGATTAGAAATCTTTTCTTTCAAGACCAATTTTTCAAGTTCATCATCTCTAGCAATAATTTTATTACCAACATAGATAACGAGAAGAGTAAGTCTCCCTTGATAAATAAGGAATGGTCACCCCGACTATGTTGGTTTACCTAGTAAGACACAACCTATGTAAGTCTCCCAAACCAAGCATGGGGCGACGACTTAAGTCCATACAAGGCTTTCTTCAGCCTAAAACACCTTACTCTTTTCTTCAATACATCCTAATCTAAGGGGGTTTCCATGTAGATTTCTTCCTTTAGATTCCCATGTAGAAAAATATTTTTAACAACAAATTGTTATAGTTCCCATGCAGAATAAGTATGTCCTAAAGCATCCTAAATCTCTCCCAAGAGTAAAACATGTAATTTTGGTTGGTCTCCATAGTTATAGACCCCCATATCTACGTTTTGATCTTTGAATCATCATTATCTCAAATTTGAAAATTAGGGTTATTCGGGGTTACTACATCCCCTTCCATATGGATAAGTCTACTTGTACCCTTTAATGTGCATCAAATTATCTTCAGGTAAATGCAAAAGATCAACATTGCTTAATTAAGAGATAATTGAAGATGCACTAATAACCATATTAATAGATGTTAAAAAGAAGTAACACTCAATAGAAATTGTGAGTAGGGCTAACAAAACCCAGTTGAGTCTTTTAGAGGAAGTTCTAATTAAAATAGGAACACTAGAACAACAGTGGCGACAACAAGGATTGAAACAAGGACGAGTAATTTGGGAATACTTTAGGCAATCCCAAAAAACTAGTGGGTGCACTTCAGGCAACCCAAATTTAAAACAACACCTATAACTAAGTGACGAGGATTTGAATGTAGAAGCAAAACCATCAAGATCGGGAGCTCTAATACCAACTAGAAAAAGTGAGGAAAATTATCAAAGAAGAGAAAACTATAGATCAATTTCTTAATTAAAAATAGAACAAGGATGTTCTATTTATAGAGTACTCTAGCACCTCAACTATCCTAATAATAATTACACCATCTCAACTACTTATCACCTAAACTACCTGACACCTCAACTTCTCAGCACCTCAACTATTGTAATCAATACAACTTTTGGTAAATCATTCAAAATATTCTTAAGGTGTAGTTGAGAGTAGGGGTGTCAAAGTAAGTTTAGCCCGATAGGTTGACCTGCAAAAACTCGATAAATAGACCAAACTAGAAAATTGAATCAGGTTTATTTTGGCCCAACAAGTTTAGGTCATGACTTATATAGGCTTAGGCTAGGTTAGCACGTTGGCTTATGGGTCAGCCTACTTTCTATAATAATAATTTTTTAAATAAATATAAAAGTAATATTATTTTATAAAATATATATATATATATATATATATATATATTATATTAATTTGATAAGGGATTAATTTATTCTAAGAGTAAATATCAAAATAAGTCTCTAACAATCATTTAATTCAAGATTTAATGTTTAAGATCAATTACTATTTTAGATTAATAAATTACTAAAAAATGAATGATGATAATGAATAGTAATTTTTTAATTATCTCTTTGAGATTGAATGGATCTATTCTCTTATAATTTATATATGTAAACATTATATCTTAAATAAAAACTAATTTCATTAACATAATTTAAATTTTAAAAATATATTTTTATTTAAATATTTTTTTAATTAATTAGTTTGATATAAATATGTTAATAATTTGTTTTAACTTTTAATCAGTTCAAAATTGGTTTATTAGCTTGTTGGCCTAAGATAGGGTTAGACCAAGCAAAAATTATGGTTAATATAGACCAGGTTGAGCCATTAAATTTTTTTTACTTTGCCCTACGGGCAAGGGTAGGCTGGGTCGAATCGCCGGTTTTGATAGCTCTTGTTGGAAGAGAGTTGTGTTTGGAAGCTTGGTGTCAATCACTATCAATGCACCTCCATGTCTATAAAGTTTCTATTCCAATATAAAGACCTTAATCTTATCTCTCTAATGGAACATTTAGTGAAATCTGCCATCCTAGACCCTAGTTTTTTATATAGGGTCCTTCTTTTTTACCTTTATACCTAGCTCATTATTGTATTTTGTGAATCAGTGGATTTTTCTCCCTTTTGTCTGTTTCTGTCATAAATCTTGGTTGCATATTTTCCTCTTTCGGTATTTGACGACTAATGGAAGGGTTAATCTTTCAGTCAACATGGACAATACAGTTTCTATATTTTATTTTTGTATGTGTATAAGTTCTTAGCTCTCTCTATATGAGTTTAATAAAAGAAAATGTATATATACAACTATATATACTAGAAGTGTAGAACACAAGTGTACACACATATATTCTTCTACTCTCCTTCATGGAATAATAGTGAGTCAATTTTTAGCATATCTTTGGTACCCCCAATTATAATAGATGGATAGAATAGAAAAACTGATAGAAAGATTTGTACTATTGATGATTAAAGGAAAATTCAATAGAGAAACATTCCCACTGCCACAGGAATGTTCCTTCTGAAATCCTCGCTGTCCATAATAAACTAAGATATTCTTCTCTCCCCCTACTCTCTCTATTCATTCCCTGTACCCAATTTCCCTTTATGCTGTTGGCAATTTTGTTGTACCCCTTCCCACATCATCATTCCTATTCTGCTCCTATATCTCTTCACATAAGATATTTTCCATGAAATTCCCCTTCCTATCTATAAGATCTTTTCCACGAAATTGGTAGAAATATTTAATATGTTACTGATATAGAGTTTCCAGACATTAAATGGAAGATTTAAAATTTGATATTGAGATCATCATCATCATAACTACTTCTATATGTTCAAATTCATTAACCTTATTAGCAAAGATGCAGTGACTGTCTTTTTAACATGCATGAGGAATATGACTAATTATGTTAATCTTTCTGATGTCCATTGTAGAGCAAGTGAGTAACATAATTTGTGGATGTCAGAGACATCTATGAACTTTAACATATCATGTCAACATAATGAGATTTAAAATATCATGTCAATATAATGAGGTTTGCTCACACCTTGAGTAATTATTTTAGGGTGAAGGAGAAGAAAAACACGTTGGCAAGATTCTTGAATTTTTCCAAACAATTGATGGTCAAAATTATTTCCGAGTCCAATGGTTCTACAGGATTCAAGATACAGTGAGTACTAAGGATGTCATAATATTTATCCAGTGATGTCAAAGGATATGTCATTGTAACTGTTGTTCCATTGATTTTCAGGTTGTTCAAGACGAAGGTGGATTCCATGACAAGAGGCGTGTATTTTATTCATCAATAATGAATGATAACTTAATAGATTGCATAATAGGAAAAGCTAATGTTACACAAATAACACCTAGGGTATGACAAATCTTGGTTAGACTCTTTCTTAATTGGTTTTTATATACCCTAGCCAATACTTTTCAGTGTGACTTGCAGGTTGGTCTGAAGTTGGCTTCAATTTCGCCATCTGACTTATACTATGACATGGAATATCGTGTGGATTACTCTACATTCTGCAACATACCAACAGGTATGTCATGAGGGAACACTAGATGCTTTTGGTCATTAGTTTCTATACGTTTAATATTCTTGGAGAAGGGGAAGCCTTTAAGATTTATAACACTTATTTTTGGCAATAGGTGACAACTTTTGCATGCGTAGACATCTATTTTGACATTTTCATGCATAAAATACTAATTATTAGGATTACGAAATAAAAGATAAAAAAATAAGATCTCAATGTATAAAAAATAATTTTCCACCTTCATATCAATGGGCACAAAATTAATTTTACTAGGTAAAAAGTTAAACCATTCTCTCTAAACCCAAAGAGAATATACTCATACTCTAACGAAGCTTGCAATGTGTCCTCAAGAGGGGCTGGAGAGTCGATGAAGGAGGCCTGTAATGAAGTCTAGACTCTCATGATAGCGATGAATGTTGACAGTGTTAACCAGAAAAGATATTTTAACACCCCTTGTCATATTAATGTTGAACTTCTAAGTTTCATTTGTTCTTATGTGATCGATGTTTACATTCATTGCTTTCACGTATTCTTCAAATATATGTTCTATTTTTTTAAGATGTCAGATGTCTATATATTTTCCTTTTGATCATCGGGTTAAGACTAATGAATTATTACCACCTTCTGTTCTTGGGAGTCTCTCAAACAGATGCCTCTACAGTAACGGAGAGTCTATGCTATTCTGAGTTGTACAAGACAGAATTAGCATTACTAGATCTCTATTCTGGGTGTGGTGGCATGTCAACTGGATTGTGCTTAGGTGCCAAAACTGCATCAGTTAACCTTGTCACGGTATTATAAATGAAATGTTTCTCTGGGATGAAATTCTTCCTATTTATGGATTTCATCAAATATGCACATATGATACATTTGTCTTGCTTTGGTTGTTGTTTTTCTCAGAGATGGGCTATTGATAGTGATATGTCAGCTAGCAAAAGCTTTAAACTCAACCATCCAGCCACACATGTGAGTGCTGACAATCTTCTGCTACAACAAAGATATTTGATAGTAGTTGTTCATAGTAGAGATTATATATTACTCTGTTGTATAGGTCCGAAATGAATCGGTTGAGGACTTTCTAGAATTATTGAAGGAGTGGGAAAAACTATGCAAACGGTATAATGCCACTGCTGTAGCAAGAAAACTTCCATCTCGATCCAATTGTTCAGGAGAAAATAGAAGAGAGAATTCTGAAGTTCATGTTATTTCTGCTGGTGAATTTGAAGTTTCTAAGTTAGTTGATGTCTGCTTCGGTGATCCCAATGAAACTGGCAATCGCGGTCTGTATTTGAAGGTAATAAATCCAATTTCAACTTTTGGGAATTCATTTTTCTTATTTTTTCGTGCATGTTTTATGAGCTTAGCCAAGCTGTTTTCGAATTATACACAATGCACTCAGATTGAACATAGCCTTTACCCTTAGCTTGATAAGAAACCTTATAACAACTAGATCATAACAATTTTGTAGTAGGTGGAGAGACCAAGACCTTATAGTGCCCAACTAGAATCCCTACTTCTGATGTAGGACTCAAGTATCATACCTTGCAATTGGACCCTAACAGCTGAAGCTTGAAACTTCTAAATGTTAATCCATATATGATTGCAAGATCTTTTGCATTAGGTGATTTCTTAAATTGAATGTATATTTTATAAACTTAATATATTTTTAATATATTTTCTGTAATTAATATTAGTGAAAGTTGTATAAAATGCTATTGAATTATAGCACGAGTTTTCATTAGGGTACATTCAATTTTTCTGTTAACAGAAGTGGATTTTAGGATATCATTAGCCGTCATAAGAGGTTGGGCAGGCTTCATTTGTAGATTTTTAATTAGTGCTACCAACTTTAAAGGGAAAATTTGTTCTTTTTGTTAAGGTTCCAACATAAAATCAATTGGTAATATATAGAGTAGCCTAACATGTATTTAAGTCATACTAAATGACATGAGGTAGGCGATGTGGGACTTTCAACATGCCCCCTCCAACGAAGCCTGCCAGGCAAAGGATACTTTTGACCAAACTAAAGGGAAACTTTTGGCCCATGACAATATTCGGAAAGATGTAGGCTTTGGCTCTGATACCATGTTAAGGTTCCAACATAAAACCAATTGGCAATATGTGGAGTAGCCTAACATGTATTTAAACCATACCAAATGACATGAGGTAGGCGATGTGGGACTTTCAACACTTTCACTATCGTATCTTTTACGCATATTTTACTCTATTTGGGTAACTGATAGCATATTTGGGTAACTGATCCGGAGAGGTAAACCTATGTTGGAGAAAGGAGACTTTGTTACTTTTGAATTAAAACGTAATTCTGGGAGGACTCCTACAATTATTTAAACATAGGCTAAAAATGTTTTTGGTTTATAAATTGGTGATGATTTCATTCTCACGATTGTTTCATAGGTGCGTTGGAAGGGTTTCAGTGCAAGTGAAGACACTTGGGAGCCGATTAAAAGCTTAAGGTATGTATTTCTCGATTTCTTTTCGATGTGGTTGATGATATTAAACATTCTGGGAGCATCAGGACTTATTTATTTATACTTGTAGTAAGTGCAAGGAAAGCATACAAGATTTTGTGAGAAAAGGGATGGAATCAAAATTCTTGCCTCTTCCTGTAAGTTGTATTATTTATATGGTAGATAGGATAAAATTCTGATGGATTGTGCATTTTAAATAATAGAGTTGTTATTTAAAATTATTTCAGGGAGAGGTTGATGTTATTTGTGGGGGTCCTCCTTGTCAAGGAATTAGTGGATATAATCGATATAGAAATTCTGAGTCACCATTGGATGATGAAAGGAATCGTCAGATTGTGATTTTCATGGACACGGTGAAATTTTTGAAGCCTAGGTATGTTTTAATGGAGAATGTGGTTGACATAATGAGATTTGACAAGGGTTCACTTGGAAGATATGCATTAAGTCGTTTAGTACATATGAATTACCAAGCAAGACTGGGAATCATTGCTGCTGGGTGTTATGGTCTTCCACAATTTCGGTTGCGTGTTTTCTTGTGGGGTGCTCATCCTAGTGAGGTCAGTTTTAAAGTTTGGTATGATATATAAAGTTGACAGATGTACAACTGAATACAAACATCTTTCCCTTTATCTTAATATCTATTTCAAATATTATGCTTATGTTAATCCACCCAACCTAGTGAGGTCAGTTTTAAAGTTTGGTATGATATATAAAGTTGACAGATGTACAACCGAATACAAAAATCTTTTCCTTTATCTTAATATCTATTTCAAAGATTATGCTTATGTTAATCCATCCAAATTTAGGGGAAATCATATCTCTCTACATCAATGTCTTCAACAACTTACGATAATTGTAATCGTATACATGTAACACTCAACATTAAATCATAATGACAATGTTTTATGTGAATCTAACTACTCAAAGAGATCTAATTCCATTGTAATGATTTCATTTTTGGTTGTTTTGGCCTTTCTCTACCCATTATTAGGCTCTCTTCATCTAACCAACTTTTCTAACTGAAGCTTATATTGATGTTTTTTTAACTTGTTCACACCTTAGGTGCAATTTAGGTGATATTCCCATGTTGTCTCTAATGCATTCATACTGGATCTTTCTCAATTCTACTGCTTACTGAATTTCACATTCTCATATAATCATCTTTGAAATTTCTGGTCATGTTGGGCTTTTATTGCCCAAGATTTAATACCATTTAAAACACTACTAGTTATGGTTGTGTGATGAAAATTTCTTATAGCTTGAAAGACATCTTTCCTTCACAAATAACACTTGAATTGTATCTCCATTCATTCACCTACAGAAAATCCTATGATTTACATCTCATTTATTTTTCTTTCATGTTGTAGCCAAGATATTTCAATTGTGGATGTTTGGAAAATATGGTCTCATCTCCAGTTTTACCTCCATGCTAGTGCTAGCATTCTTATTATTGATTTACATTCTACACATTCCAAGGTTGAGTAAGGATGTGTTATAGCTTGCTAAAAGTATAACGGACTATGATTGACCCTTGGTGTTAACCTAGTTGTAGTGAAATCCTAACCTCCCCTTGCCCCAATGTGGTTTCATAGCAGGTTGAAGCCCATTATATAGATATCCATAGTGACCTTAATACAAGCATTGTGAATTCCTTTCTCTAGTGCATTCCACATTATTGGTTGGAAATTGTGGCCATCCCTAGTTTGCTTGAGTTGTAATCTTTTTGACTGTTTTCTTAATTACAACCTCAAACGTTGAGGTTTGGTCCATTATGGACTAAAGAATTGACTTAATTAAAACTTGTGAATCTCATCATATAAGTTAGTTTTGTAAGGTTAAGTTAAATTTAAATCCATATTCTAAGAGGGCATCTGATCCTATTTGATGTGGCCCGAAGAGTTAGTGGGCCTCATGAACCACTTGTCCAAGAAGGGAGTAAGCAAAGATGGGGAAGAGTATATGTGAGAAAGAAGAAACATATAGCTGAGGTGGCATAATTAAGGGGGAGGGCAGTTAGAGGAGAAAAGATATTTTTTGTTAGGACTTATCAGTTATAAGTGGAAGGAGGGGATGTTAGTGATGGGGGAGTCTTTTTGTAGTGAGAGAGAGAGGAACCCCTTGGGTTACTCTAGAGGAGCCTAGCTCTCAGCTGTAGGAGTTGTTATCTTTCTGTATTTCCCTTTAATGTTGCAAATAATACAGAAGAATAGTATTTCTTTCTTCTTCTATTCTATGCTTGGACTTTAATCTTTATTTTGCGGTGCTGGTCTATATCACTATCCTTAAATCCTTTGTTGAGCCACCTACACATGCGAAACTCCAAACTGGTAGGCTTGGGATTGTAGGTAAGCGTTAAAAGCCAACTTAGTTGTTATTATCCTTGGCATGTGTTAGTTACGATTTTTGTGGCAATTGCCTTAATTGTAATTTTAAGAGGGTGGTGGCTTACAAAGTTTGGGCAAACTTCATCTTACATGTTGGTTTTGTAATGTTGAATTATTTTGAAATATTACCAAATCTTACCCTATATCAATGGATATGAACCACCATCATCCATGTATAAAGCCCAAGAGTGTTGAGCAGGAGGGAGTCTATTAGGAAAACCCAAATTCGATGTCAACTATGGTTGAAATAAAGTTGTACATAAGTGGCATGACCCTGATCTCATAAGTTGGTATTGTGATCTATCATATGTTTTTTCCACATCGGTGAAAAGATATTAAGATCTTTGGTTGATTCCTCCAATACCTTTACATAAACCTCACAAAAGTTACATTGCTTCCTTGGTTGACCTCCCCAACATATTGGTTATCTAAAAGTTAGGTGAGTCTTTTCTTAATCCTTATTGGAATTGGGTTGAAGCTAGCTCAAGGAAGGAGAATTGCCCTTGTTTTATAAGGATAAGGGTTGTCTAAGCTCTATAAGCTCTCTTAAAGTCATGTTTCTAATTGAATTGAGACTAAACCACTACCTTGAAGCTACAATTAAGGCATATCCCAAAGAGGTTATGACTAAGGCAGGTTAGGGATGTCTACAACTTGGGTGACAACATTCCCACTCACCTCTAGGGATACTTAATCTGGCAAAATTGACTTGTTGGATGAGAAGTATTTAAGCTTTATAAGTTTTCTTTGAGTCATATGCGAATTAAAACTGCTACACTTTAAGAATTTGTTGAATCCTATGTCAATTAGAGATATGATAATATTATAGTATATAGAAGGATACAAACCTTATCTTACTGACCTAGTACCTCATTATTTCTAAGATGGTATCGTAATCTACTCTAGTAATGATGAGACATTACCCGTGAACAGTTGTAGAATAAACCATCCTTTATTTATAAAATATGTAGATGAATTACTTGCAACCTTTTTTTTTATTAATTTTCAACAATTAAAATTAGTTTACACATTGTCTATTTTGCCCCTTAGCTCATTGGTCTGTCTCTTATGCTCCCTTTGTCTCTTTGTTTCCTCTCTTGTCTATGAAACCCTACTGGAGGCATGGCCACCCTTCTTTTTCTTTTCACTTTTCTGCTTCTCTAGCCCTCTCCCTCCTTCATATTTCATTCCTTTCCGGTAAAAGACATTTGTGGCTGCAATGGCACTTCCACAATATCAGCCTCGCACTTGTACCCTCTCTCTTCCTTTCCATCCCTTCTTTATTTATCCCTTATCAATCTGCTGCATGATCTGTAGTTGCATCTTTATCTTAATGAACATTTGAACATTCAATGCATGCCTGAAAAATACCAACAAATAGATAAATGGAACCACCTTTTCTTTCTCCATGGAAACAAGAAAGGGGGAATTTTACATTTCGATGGTTCCATTGGCATTGGTGTGTTTGAGGGTTTCGTTGAAGTCATTGTTGTGGAGGAAGACAAGTTTGGTTGAGCCTCTGAGTGTGACGCTTTTTCTAGTGGTGGGATTGGTGACCATTCTTTGAGGATGGAGACAGTGGTGTAACTGGGAGGTCATTGGTTGTTGAGAGAAGTGGGAAAGATAGAAAAAGAAGATCGGTGATGTAGTTGGAAATCAACAATGGCAAATGGTTTAGTGCGGTGATGAGGGAAGAAAGAAAGATGAAAAGAGAGCGGAGGAGGGATGGAACAATGTGTCAAGGATGAAATTGTAATTTCCAAATTCAACAAACGGGTAATAACCCTAGTAAAACTATCCAAATTTTGTACGAAAAGTATACTTCTCATGTTTCAATAATTTGATGAAATTTTATAGCTTACCCAAAAAATGAAGAAAATGTTTATGATTTGTCAATTGCTAAACTCTAGCAGGTTATACCTCAATTTCCACTGCCAACGCATGATGTTATCATCAGATACTGGCCTCCGCCAGAGTTTGAGGTATTCATTCTCGTGCTTAATTGTATAATTCTATAATGTCATGTATATTTTTTCACTGGTTTTGTAATTTACATGCAGCGCAATCTTGTTGCTTATGATGAAGACCAACCTCGTGAAATAGAGAAAGCTACTGTTATTCAAGATGCCATCTCCGATCTTCCTGCTGTACTGTTCTTGATTTATTTGCTTCTTTTTTTCTATTTTTTTTTTGTTTGGGCAGACTTCTCTAAAGTGAGTTTGTTTCTTAAGTGAAAAGGTAAGGGTACCCTTCATTTATTTTAAGTGCTTGGTTGGTGATCATAACTCACTAAGATTGCAAGGAGGATACACCCTTGTTCACTTTAAACACTTTAGATGAGCATTTCTTTATGTTTACTAGTGTTCTTAATGCCTTTAATATAATTCGATATTATAGGTCATGCACACGGAAACTCGTGATGAAATGCCATATAGGAATCCTCCAGAAACAGAGTTTCAAAGATACATACGGTCAACTAAGTATGGTAATAGCGCCTTCCTTTGAGTGAATGATTGTGACGAGTCATAAATCGTGTTTATATGGTATTTTTTTAACTGCAACGTTTCTCTGTGATTGTTGACTCTTTATTCATCTGTAATATTAAAGTATAAAAATAAAAGTTTGAACTTTATTTGTTCAGATTCAAGTTATTAAGTTTAGTTGATTTAAGTTCATCACTAGCACTAGTGTTACTATCCTTTATCTATAGTCATTTTATAGTTTTTCCCTTTTTTTTATTTTTCTCTTTTGTATTTTTGCAATCCATCTTGGACCAAACATAAACTCATCTTTTGTTTCCTTGTTATTCATTGAGTAGAGATGACTGGGTCAAAATCAAATGGAACAAGAGAAAAAAAGCCCCTATTGTATGATCACCGTCCCCTCGCCATGTCTGAAGATGACTACCAACGTGTTTGTCAAATTCCAAAACGCAAGGTTGTAGTCTAGATTAAGTTAATGTGTTACACCGTTTATCCATTGCTTGTTCATCCCTAAATTTAATACGACTGTAGGGTGCAAATTTCCGTGATCTGCCTGGTGTAATTGTAGGAGCTAACAATGTGGTAAGACGACATCCAACAGAGAATCCGAAACTGCCATCTGGAAAGCCATTAGTGAGTCTTTATGTTTGTCACTGGAGAGAGGTTTTGTATCCATTTTCATTTATTTTATATACATGTATTGTTCTATGATTATTGAACTTAGACAACTAACTACTCATGATTAAAGGCATTTTGTAAAAATAATAAAAATGAGATTTTCGAGATTGATTATTATAAATGGACCAAACAAAAGCACTAATTTGCTTCTTGTAAAAAGGACCAGAGAGAGAATATAGCTCTATTTGATCTTCAATGTTCGTTATATCTGTTTTACATTTAATGCTTTTTTAAGGAAGTTTGAAAGAATGTATTAAGAGATTATAGCATTCAAGATTTCACGATATGATTCCAATCTGTATGAACACTAGTTAAGAAAAATAATGTTATTAGATGTTTCTGGTTTTGAATGGCAATCTATCTGTTCAGCTTTCTTAATTCATTCATAGAATAGCGTGAAATTTTACCTGACTATTCTGTGGTCTCAGGTCCCAGATTATTGCTTCACATTTGAGCAAGGGAAGTCTAAGAGGTGATTTTTTTCCAATAAAGTAGTATATATAGCGATTTTTCTTGCTTTGCTACATTTGTATTACTTTTAATTTGTATTTTCTCATATATGTAGGCCATTTGCACGGTTGTGGTGGGATGAGAATCTTCCTACTGCACTAACCCTCCCACGTTTTCATAACCAGGTCTTACCCCGGTCTTTGATTTGTTGTAGAAATCACACAAATTGATTTCTAAAATATCTGAAAATCTTGTAGGTTGTACTCCATCCAGAGCAGGATCGAGTCCTCAGTATACGGGAATTTGCCAGACTGCAAGGATTTCCTGATTATTATAGATTCCATGGGACTGTGAAAAAAAGGTACATAACCATTGTTTAATCAAATGTAAAATAGACTTAAATATATTTTAGTCACTAAATATATACAAAAAAAATGGTTTTAATCCCTTTAAAATTTGGATTTGGGTTTGTGTCCCTAATTTTTAAAAAAGTGAGCATTATGATAGGTTTTCCCATCAAAACTCAAGCAGTTTATGGTGATGGCAGGGATCAAAAGTGCTGCTTTTATAAAGCAATGATTACAAACCAAAATTTAGCATATTTGTAAGGACCAGAAACGTACTGAAGTCTATAAAGGATGCATTTTAGAATCGGTTACTCTGTTTACATGAAGCAATCGTATATCTGTAGTTTCACTTAATTGTGTGTACTGTTTTTCTTATTGGAATTTGTAGGTACTGTCAAATTGGAAATGCAGTTGCCGTTTCTGTTTCACGGGCTTTAGGTTACACCCTAGGACTTGCTTACAGAAAGCACAGTGGAAATGAGCCACTTGTAGTCCTCCCTCCCAAGTTCTCTCACTCTAATTATCTTCAGTTATCCAACGATCAGCCGGACAACACTGACTAACTTTCATTCTATTATTGTCCATTCATTTCATTATAGCAAGTGTTTATATTTGAAGTTTTAGCTGAGGAACTTTCCTTCATAGATCCTTTAAACACTCCTCAACTACTCCACTTAGCTTGAATTCACAATTTCATTTATCTGCATTTCTCTTTACTTTAACTAATAAGTTACCATGGTCAATATTTAATTTGAGAGGTCATCTTGAAAATTGCTTTCGATCTCTGAGTGGGGTCATGTCTAGTTTAAAGTTTCACTTTTACTTCAACAAATTTCAATATAAAATTATACGATTCAGTTGATGAATTGAGAAGAAAATATCCATTACTTATGAGGTACAGTATTTTTTAATTCTCTAAAACTTTAATCTGAACATGTGAACTATCTCCTTACTTGATTTCTTTCATGCAGGTAGACAAGGTGGTGTGAGATATATCATCATTATCATTTTTCTATCTAATGTTGTGAATGGAAATTTACGTTATTGTTCCTTTTCTAAAAACAATGAAAAAGCAACGAAGAAGACGTGCGTCAACTAAAAACAATTATCAAATATTCTAGATTTTTTATCTTAATTATATATATATACATATATATATATATATATATATATTTATATTTATAAATAAGTTAGACGTATATATTTTCAAGTTAGTATAAAAGTGAATAAAACTAGAATATGATATGAAAAATGATGGGAAGGAAATTAAAAAATATATATTATTAATATTCATATCTCAAAAATTGATAAAACCATACTTGTATTCCTTTTATGATATCATAGAGCGATTGACAATAACAAGTGAAGTGAACAAATATATAATTTAAAATAATTAAGATAAAAGATTTGATATTTTTTCTAACATTCTTTTAAATTAAGAAGATATTTAATATAATATGCAAAGCTAATTTTAATTAAAAATAAATTGAATATAAATAATAGATCTAATACAAGTATCGATAGAACAAATTGAACAAACAATATACGATTTTAGTACAAAATAGGTTATGAAATATGCAAATGTTTGCAACAAGAGGAAACTTTGTATTAAACAAGTGTTCTCATTTCAATTTAATATCCAACTTTTTTTACATTTATGTATGTATAAGGACATCTTTTGTCTTAAAAGATTTAATTGTTAAATAATATACTTAGGCTTTTAAAAGATTGATCACCTCCAAATTTGTTTTTATTCAAAATGTGATGAGAAAGAAATGATGGGAATTACAAACACAAAATTACTAATTCAAGGCTGAAATTTTTAAATAGGGATTAGAAAGAGCAGGGTGTTTATAAATCAGCCATATTATTCAAATTCTTGATGAGTGTTTTTTTCTCAAGAATCACAGTTATGGCATTGAATAAAAAGTGAGATTCATTTTTATTTCACAAGCAGAACGCACATACACATTCAACTCGTAAAACCCCAGTTAGGGTTTAAGCACACCCCCGCTAAAATGGCGGCAACGTACGTGACTCTAAGAACTTCTGCAAGAACCCTTTTCCAACATCTTCAATCACCCCTTCAGCATTCTCGCTCTGCATATCTTTTGATCAGAACCCTCCATTCCCTCGTTTCCTCAGACTCTCCCACTCCTAAATTTCGTAACCCTTATTCTGGAACCTTTCGAGGCATGGTCTCCGCCCCAGACCCTAATCTCCACGAAGCTCCTTCGCTCGCCCTAGATAATCGCGTTCCCGCTACCATCATAACTGGTTTTCTTGGCTCGGGAAAGGTGTCCCTTTCCCCTCATTTTATTTTCGTCTGTGAGAAAAAGATAACGGTTTATAAAGAGAAAGCCATAAAAAAAAAAAAAAAAAAGTTTATAAGGAATTAATTTCATCACCATATATAATGTACTGATACTCTTTTTATTTTTTCATTTAAAGTTTTAACCGATTGAACAGTTTATAATTGAGTTTTCGGCAATGCAGACTACTCTTCTTAATCATATTCTCACATCTCAACATGGCAAGCGGATAGCGGTAATTGAAAATGAGGTACTGAGTTCTACCCTACCTGTCTTTGTATCAAGTTATGTGTAATTAGATGATGGCCTCGTCAAGGTTAATTGAAAATACTTGATCTCTGTAATTCCACTTGTTTTAAATTAGGATTAATCTTTTTGTTGACTGTGAGAAATGTTTTGGGCCATATATAACTCGAGACATCGCCTAGGTAGCTTTTTCTAATAATAATATATCGAGTTGATTTAGTCATTAGCAATTGTGCTTGTTGAAAGGATTATTTGACGTGTTATTTATTGGAGTTAGAGCAATCGTGAAGTAAGCGAAAAATCTCAGTGCTTGGAGTGTTTCAGAAGATTTACCCTTGTAATATTATGATCTTACTGTTATTTATGAATTTGTCTCAATGTCGTAAATGCAGTTTGGTGAGGTTGATATTGATGGTTCACTAGTTGCTAGTCATTCTTCAGCGAGTGAAGAGATTATCATGGTTAACAATGGCTGCCTCTGCTGCACTGTAAGAGGAGATCTAGTCAAAATGCTGTTGGAGCTGGTTAGGAAAAAACGAGACAAGTTCGATCATATTGTTATTGAAACAACTGGTTTGTAAATTTTTCATGTAGTTAAAGGAACTTTACACAGTGGAATTGAGATATTGAAGGTTGGATTTTACTTGTGAGTTGAAACTAAGGTGTCCATATTGTTAACTGTCGTTACTCTTGTGGCAGTCTGAAATTCACATTGTTTAGTGACTTTTGGATCTTACGTGAAGAAAAAGTGAAAATATATTACTAATTTATTGAAAGGGTTTTAACAAAGAACGAACAATCTGTAGAACCACAATGAGTTCTTCTCATTGTTGTCCTTATCTTAATGCTTCAGTTTTTGAGAACCATGATGAGTTGTCATTATTTCCTTATCTCAACGCTTCAATTTTACTTGTGATCATCTAATAATTAATTACAATTATTATATAGATCTTCCTTCATAATTCTCATACTTAGATTGAAATCATGACTGTTATAATAAAATGTTTGTTCTGTTGTTAGCTTCTCCGTTTCGAGTATGAAACAGTTGAATAGAAAGTTTATTTTAGTGTTTAAACTTTAAACATTTTTGCAGGTCTTGCAAAACCTGCTCCTGTTATTGAAACATTTTGCAGTGATGAGCTGGTCTCACAGCACGTGAAATTGGATGGAGTTGTGACTTTGGTTGACTGCAAGCATGCCATGAAACATTTAAATGAAGTGAAACCTAGATTTGTGGTTAATGAGGCAGTAGAACAAGTTGCATATGCTGATCGTATCATTTTGAACAAGGTAAGCTTCTGCCTTTAAGATTCTCTGATAGTATTTATGTGTGTTTTTCTACTTTCTTTTGTTCCAATATTGACTACTAATAAATTCGTTAATGTGTTTCTAGATTCTGATTATTTTTAATTGCTTTTGCAGGTAGATTTGGTTACTGAATCCGAGTTAAATATATTGACTAAGAAAATTAAGGTGCGTTTTGTTACTTGTGGATCCGTTACACAATTTATTTCTCTATTGAACTGGGATGATAACCGAACTCTATATAGCATGTAAAACGATTATATGTATTTGCTTTAAAGTGGGATCATGAAATGAATGTATGTACATGAATTTCTATACAAATTTCATATAGAGCTCAACATGCCCTAGGTGACTCCATATTTTATGATTATATTTCTATTCTTTAAGTGTTGGATGGGATTGATAGTTAGATCTGATTGAATTGGATTAAATATTTTGTGTTATATGGGCTGTACCAAAACCATGTTGGTTGGTGCTGATTGATATTTGATACTAGTTCTGCTCTTTTGCTGATTTCCAATATGGATGGAATAGATCTGTAATTTTTTATTAAACTGTAATCCTTGTTCTAGGGAAAATTGTATTAAATATGTGATAAATTTTGCAATAGATGATAGCCTTGTAATATTATTATTATGAAATGACTATGAATGTGTATTTGTTTGAGAAAGACAGTGGGAGAGAGATTCAATTATTTTTTATGAAAATGATCAGATTGATGTCCTTTGATATTTTATATGTTTTTTGATGGATCAAATTGTTTTGGATAAATGAATCAGATTGTTGTTCTTTGGTTTTGTTTATGTGTCTTTTTCATCAGCTTCTATAGCATTGTGTATGGATACTTCGCTCCCCAAGAAATCGTGCTTATGGAAGTAATTCTTATTTTTTTGTGAATTGTTAGCACATCAATGGAATGGCACAAATTACGCAAGCTAAATTTGGATCTGTTGACATAGACTTTGTTCTTGGTGTGGGTGGATATGATCTGGAGAGGTAATAAATAGGTGTTCAATTTGTTGTATCTTCTAACATACCTTGATTTTTTTTTAGTCCCATCATAGTACTTGATGCATGCCTTCTTGCCATGCTCCCTTTTCATTCATAAATAATATTGCTTTAAGTATGATAAATCTAAATGTATATATATAAATGTGCTGTATTTTCTACAAAATTGTCTGTTTTTTCAATCAAAATGCGTTGTTACTGCAGAATTGAATCTGAGGTTCGTGGAGAATGTCCATCTTCTTCAAGCCATCCAGATGATTCTGGACATGGTAATACTAAACTCTTTCCCACATTTTTCCTTATGTTTTCAACTGTGCTGTGGGCTGCATAAAATGTTCAATGATGAAAAACAGTCGGTGTTGCTGGACCATGTAGATTTGAATACCATTTATCAAGGCACAAACACTAAAATTGCATGATTGCTGGATCCTTCTCCTTTTGAAATACTGATATAGAAGTAGTAAATAATGAAGTGGATGTCCTCCAATTAGAAAGTCTAGTTTGTATATTTGTATTTTAACCTTGAGAACTCCTCTATGACAGAGTGTTCGTCCATATCAATCATATAACCATTTAAATAAAGAAAATATCGATCATATAATTATCAGAGTATCTAAATTATTTTCACCAATGGACCATATATCCAACATAGCCAAATACCCTAATAAGTCATTCCTAATTACCTATTCCAAAATAAAATAAGGTAATCCTCAACAAAATAAAAACCTTAAATAACATAATAAATAAGTCTAAACTGTAAACCCTATTTATGAAATTAAAAACCCTAAATAACAAAATGATAATACAATCTACATTGTTCCCCTAGACTAGAAGGACTTCCTGAAGATTTCAAAATGATGGAAATATATAATGGGGCAAATGTCTAGCAAACGAAAAATCATCTTCTAGGTCTAATATAATGTATCCAAAATAGGATGTTTCTTCCATTTACTAAGTGATGGTGAAAAATAGTAGCAATGGAGTTTTGTTATTCATCATTTGAGAACGTCTAAATCTCATTTGATGACTGGCTGTTAATAGAAACTTTGAGTCCTTGAGAAGATGAGAAACCTGTAGAAAGCAAGTATACGGGGATAATAATGAAGGTCAAAATGTGCTTTTGAAAAGTTCATAGATTCTCCATCATATTGAAAACAAGACTAATGGTCATATCATGTCACCAGGCAAATCAAATTAATATGCACCCCATCCATTAGTTTATTAATCTCTGCTCAAAGCAAGATTATGCCTATCTTGACACTGTACTCCCCTGCCCCCTTTCCAATCCTAGGTGGAATTCACACAGTATGACAACTACAACAAAGGCTGCACAACTTTATTGATAAAATAGGTTTCCAGAATATTTTTACGCATTTTTTCTCTTGTGGTGCTGCATATGACTTGATCTTTCCAATATATCCACAGAACACAAAGCGCATCATCATCAGCATAACCATGATCATCACCATCACGACCATGTGCATGATTCTGCTGTCTCCAGTGTCAGTATAGTTGCAGAGGGAACTCTCGATCTTGATGAGGTAATTGTTAGTCTTTTTCTTAACTCTTCACAAAATGGACTAAAATCACTGATTGTTTTTTGTGTATTCGACGGTTTATGGTTCAACCTTTACATCTTTGGTGCTTTTGTTAATGGGTGAGCTTATTCTCACTTTTCTTTTATATGATGGACTAGGTTGACGATTGGCTTGAGAGAGTGATTGAAGAAAAAGGAGAGGACCTGTACAGAATGAAAGGTGTCTTATCAGTGGATGGTTCTGATCAGAGATATGTGTTTCAGGTTCTCTTGCACATGCTATCAAGCATCTATCTATCTACAGTTTTTTTAAAGATATGTTTGGGAGTTGAATTTTGGAGAAGAGAGGGGAGGGTTAATTTTTTATTTCTAATAATTTATTTTATTTGATAATTTTTAAAATAGACAAAAATGGTAGACTAACATAACCTTAACGTGTATATATTTTGTTTATTGTTATAAACATTATAATTCTCCTAATTTAAGAAAAATTCCTCCCTTTCCGTGACTTTCAAAACTCAATTACCAAACATTTCCCAAGTGTGTAGGTCCTCTTATTCCATTTTGCCTAATACTTTCAGGGGGTGCATTCCATGTTGGATGGCTGTCCCGGAAAAACATGGGAACCTAACGAGAAGAGGATAAACAAGCTCGTTTTCATTGGAAGGAATTTGGATGAAACTGCCCTTAGAAAAGGCTTTAGAGGTTGTATAGTATAGCATTACAAAATTGTTTCTGGCTGGTTCTGAAGCAGCAGCAGCGCCTTGGTTTTAGAATTTCCAACAAGTTCATGGTAGCACCATCCTAATATCTGGTTGGATTCAGACACTAATTATGTAGTGTGAATAATTATCATATGCATTGGTTGCTCTGGTCAAATTTGATTTTAATGTATCATCACAAGCAACAACTTTTTACAAGTATAAAAATATGTTTTAATAACCTCTTTTAAGAATTAAATTTAAATTTATTATTCATTAGGATAATTATTTACCTATAATATTATTAAGAAAGGGTTAATACGAATTTGTTAGAAGTTGGATTAAAACAACAATTTTAGTGGAGTAAGGTCAAATGATCAAATAAATGGTTGAAAAGGCCTTCATAACTAAAGGATAATGTTCCAAGAGAGATGAAGTGAGCAGTTTTGCATGTTATATATATATATATATATATATATATATATATATATATATATATATATATATATATATATATATATATTGAAAGATTTTAAATTATGTTATCTTAAATATGGACGTTAACATTTAACTAGTAATATTTATTTTCTATATATAAATTAGAAATAAGTAGGATTTATTGGATTTATTTCAGTTTGGAGAAAAATTCGAATAAATTTAATATAATAGGGTTGATTTGGTTTAGGATGTATTTTTAGCTAATGTACGCGAACTAACTTAATCAATTAAGATTGAATTGTTTTGTTAATTTTTTATTTTATTAGTAATATAAGATAAAGATGTTTCTTATTTTTTAATAACTACCTATTCTTTTATTTAATGTTTGGTTTTCCTATAATGATCAATTTATAGATTTTACTAGTTGTTTTTACTCAAAATATGATAAAAAAAATATCCATAATAAATAAGAATTAACTAGTAGTTAATCCGAGTGATATTAAACTTGACTCTCAAACAATATTCTTTAATGAAGTTTAATAATTGACAGGTTCGATAAAAACTCTTTTGTAATAACATACTTTGAAGAAATATATGTTTTAACAGAATTTTTTTCCGTAATTATACGGAATAATAGTATCATTGAAGTACGTATGACAATCATAATACGAGTAAGGGTTGGTTCAACTGAAGAAAAGAAAAATAAAATTGAAAATATCTATTTTTCGGAGAAATTATAAATATGAAAACAAAAATATATAATTATTAAAAATTTTCTGAATTAACATATCTCAAGGATTAACAAAAGAAACTAACCGTACTTGTAACAAAGAGTAGTTAGTAAATTCCTTTACTATAATATGCAATATATGTTGACATCATGTTCTTTTAGGTTTGTTTTATATCTTATCAGATGGCCAAAGAGTTTCAAAACTTGAAACGTTGACCAAATTCATTAGCTTTCTTATGTGTTTCGTCTCATACTTCGTAAGTGTAAAAGTTTAAACTCTACAGATTTGTCTGAACACTTTAACCCGAATGAAATATGTGAACATATTTTCTTATTTTTCAACGATCGTTACATACTTTGTAGAACTTGATCTAACCCTGTTCATGTTTGAATCAATAAACTCAGATATAACGACTTCCTTTCACACATAAATCTTTAGGTACTCATCCATGCGTGTGTAGTTCACTTCAGGGTAAAGCTTGGATGCTTCTTCACCCTCTTCTCCAATTTCAAAATTTGTTAAACACCCTTCATAGAATATATGATAAAAGTGCCCAATCCCTACTTGAAGTTTATAATCCAACCCTGCAAATCAAATTCACGTCAATCAGAAATCAAAATGAATGGTCTAAGAAAGTAAAGTTACTTTCCAAATAAATATTGGATGTGTTGCCTTTCAGTGTTGTAAGAAAGCCTTCTGGAGGTATGTATGTCTTTTCCAGCTCCTTTCCAATGAGTTTCTCCCAAATCCCAATAAGCTCTGCTTGGGAGAGAATATTTTCTGGTGGCCTTAGGTACAATGTTTTGTTAAGCGTTCGTGGATCATCTATTGCCTTCACTGTGTATGTTGCAACATCATCTTCATCCAGAAAAACAGCTGCAATCATCACAGAAATGTCACAATTAATCACAATCCATTTTATTGACATGATATAATAGGTATTGACTGAAAATTGAAATTGTTGTAACCTTTGAGAGTGCCATCCCCAAAGAGATGGACCTTGTCCCTTGGAGGGACAAAAGAGCCCATCTGAGAGAGGCTACCAGCAAAGTATCCAGCAAAAAGGTTTGCAGAGATGTAAGTGAAAGGGATGTTGGCTTCCTCTATTGCCTTTCTCACAGCCATTTTATCTTCAAATGTTACCCTTCCTGGTTCTAATGCATCTCCCATCCTTGCTGGGTCTAGCCCAAATTCAGAAGGCAAGAAACGCTACAGGGAACACAAACAAAGTTTTATGATATTGTTTAGCAATTTGTGTCCACATACATGAACAAGAGTTACTGTTGGAGCTACAAGAATTGATTCCAATAATGTTAATGGCGTAATAAATCAGAGATAAATAATAAATATACAATATGATGCGAATGATGATCATGCCATGAAAGGAATAAAGAATGAAAAGATTACTCTATCAAGTGCATTTGTCTTATGCAGTAGGTGGGGGAATCACTCCACGTGCAAATCGCTCAATTCAACAAAAATTTCAACTTTAAAGTTCAATTTTTTATTATATAAAAGTGTCTAATTTTCTTTGCAAATTTGAGACCGAATAAGTGGACATCTTCAGATACAATTTCTATGTATGCATTGAAGTAATATAGTTGATAAATTGAATTATTTGAAAAATTGTCCTTAAAGAAGAAAAGAAAAGGAAGGGTTTTTGACCTTAACATTGCCAGCTTCTTTGATGGCATGGACGAGTTTGAGCTGCAAGGTGATGCAGTGTGTCCTGAAGTGAACGCCAGAGATGGCACTGATGACAACATCAACCTTCTTCACGGCATCCACAAGGCTTTGGTGGTCGGAGAAAGAGGCTTCAACAAGATGAGCACCCTGCTTCTTGAAGGAGAGCAGCATCTGCAACTTTTCAATTTGAAGGCCCAACTCTGGGCGTTGAACCACATAGGTTTCATGCCCTTGTGCCAAACATGCCTTAACTATCCTCCTCCCTATGTACCCTGTTCCTCCCACCACTAGAACCTTGCTTTTCCCCATCAATCTTCCTTCTTCAATGCTTTGGAATTGGAGGCTTATAGTTGATGGTTCTTCTGGTTTGAGTATTGTTCTGCTTCTGCTAATGATGGTTTTTATATTGATTAAATTATTATGAACTGAAGAGGGTGGTGGTAGCTGGGTAGGTGGAGATCCATGTCAGGAAGAATTTGTAGTATACTTCATTGCTTCATTGGAGGGTAGGTTGACTCTGTTCAGCGGGTGAGGTAGCCAATTTTGAACAAGAAAAAGGGGCTTGGACTTATTTTAGTGACCATTTTTTTAGTCCTCTTGATTAAAAATTGCTTTATTAGTCCCTCACTTTTCTGAAAGTAATATATTTTTTTTCTTTTATCATTAAGAATGATACAATCATTACTTACTCACATGCTTAACAACATTCATGTCGACAATGACACGTGTGAATAATATGATGATTTGGTAATTTACTTTTTAACTCTTTTTTGCTAGAATATTTTATTAATCTCCAAAAAATAGGTCAAATTTTAATTTAGTCCCACCAATTTACAAATGATATTTGTAGTCCCTTAAATTAAAATTTGATATTTTTAGTCACTCAAAATTAAAATTAAATTTTTTAGTCCTCAAATTTAAAATTATTTTTAGTATCTCAAAATTAAATGATTTTTATTCCCTTAAATTGAAAGTTTTCTTTTGGTTTGGTTCAACCCCATTATGAAAAAAATTATTAAAAAAATATTATCCCATATAAAGTTTAAGCCACTAATAACTCATTTTCAAATAAATTTAGAGACACAATTTATAACAAATTTAAACTTCTAAAATTTAAATTACTGAAAAATATTTTAAGATAAATTGTACCTCCCAAAATCTAATAAAGCAAAAAAAAATTAGGTTTAAAAATAAGAAATTTTTATAGTAATTTTCCCTGTGTTCTTCTAATTTAATTTAAATATTTAAATCTGATTAACCTGACTTGAACTAATTAATTTATAATTAAATTGTTTTTACCAAAACAATTGTAATTGAATTGGTTTGATTCGCGTTTTAGACAAATTTTAGATTTTATAATTTTGATTAAATTGAGTCATAGATTTATCCAAAAACGGTAGTTTGATTAAAATAATGTGTATTTGTTCATATTAATTTCCTTAGTATTTCGCTAACAGAACCTCTCTGCTGTCAGACCCAGACACAAAGAGAGATATTCATAAGTTATAATCACCGATGTCACATCGCCACCTTACTCATCGTATCATTCTTTCTACCTTCCAATTTTCACACCTATCACCCTCTTTTCACTCTCTGTTGCTGCTTATTCAAATCATTGCCAGTGGTGTCGTAAATTGGAGAACCATAACAATTTTTAATCGCTGAATCATTAGGCTCTCTGCTTTTTGCATCCAAACCAATCAATCTTTCCCTGTTGTACGCCATATTATTATTGCAGTGAGTACAACAAACCCTTTTTTCTTCATCATTATTTTCTTCATTTTTGGACTTCTTAAGCTTTATTACTTCCCATGTAAAGTATCTAATTATTCATACAGATGGATTTAGCTTGTAATAAAAAATTCCACATGCTTGCACAAATGCACATTTGGTCTCTGTTATGCAAGAGAAGTGAAAGAAACGTACTTTAGATTTTGTCGAGAGCATAAACGGCTTAGATTTAGTTGGGTTTTGAATATGAGAATTTTGGGGGTTGTAGATTGACCTTCCTATCTTCTTTCTCCCAGTATCCAGTTTTTGGCATGTGGGTATGGTGGCAGTTTTTCTTTATTTATTAGATTTTCTGACCATTAATTGTTATAGATTATGACTTGTCTACTTGCTTAGTTTGCTCCGTGGAACTTGACTTGTGTTTTCGATGAAAATGAACAATTGAAGTTGACACTGAATATCAGACTTTCGGCTAGGGAATCTTAGCAGAAGAATTGGGTTAGGGTTGCTTGATTAGCAACTTCTTGCTATTATGACTAATGAACATTATCTGGACCTTCTATCCAAGAAGTTGTGATTGTACAATTTGGAACTGACTTGCTTTTATCCATAACAGAATTAGCTGGTGGGTATACAAGGAGGACATTTTATTGTGGTCAACGATTTGCTTTGAACTGATAAAGAATCATTCAAAGATCCGGTTGAGTGAGTACTAGGAAGATGGGATCTTTCATAGGTCATATACTGCCAGGGACCTTGTTTCTTCTAGTTGGGGCATGGCATATATGGGGATCCGTGGTGAGGTATGTATCAAATCCTAAAACATTCAGAGTTCATGTTTGGAATCCTGTACCGGGATTTAATGGGAGACTCAAGCACTTGGAGCTCTATGTCATTTCGATCGGTGCTTTCATTGACTTGTGTGTGGAGCTCTTGTTAGCAACCCACCTTAGGTTTTTTTTAGGTGGATCCTTAAACACTACTTACTTCAATAACTTTGAGCACTCTGGAATGCTTCTAATGTTTCTTATCTATGGTGTTGTAGCACTCTTCTCAGAAAAGACACGGTTAGTTGTTGCTGTTGTTCTTATTGATATTATATTGGTCAATTTTTGTTAAAATTCATTACCAATCTCCATTCTCCAGTACCTGCTATATTGCATGGCTAAGTTGTGGTAATGCAATTTTAAAGTGTTGATATCCCTCGCTTAAGAATAAATATTTCTCATGTCTTTTACGCAGGCCAGATCAATCCCATTAATCAATACAAATCTTTCTTTTTCTGGTCTGAAAAATTGAATCTTAATTAATTTTAATGTTTTAAGTCTATGATACTGTTACCCTTCTTTCAGAAGGGACAAGTTGTTTATCTTCTTATTATTTTGTTTCTGCCATTTTATTTTTAAAAATGAGTCAGAGACACCAATCTCTAGAACCTGTTAAGAAAATGAATAAGTTGCTAATGGAATTTTAAATTGTTGGTATCTATCAGTTGACGTTCTAATACAAAAAAGGAATGAATGCTGCAGCGCTGCTTGAATGTGTCTACAGTAATGGTTAAAAAATTTCTATTAATTTATTTCATCTGATTTACTTTGCAAATTAAACAAAAGATAAAGTAGGATGTTGATAGCATCCTCCTTTGGTTGATTTGAGGAGAGAACAGTCCACTTCCAACATCTACCATCGAAACTCAAGTTTCTTGGATGGTCTTTGCTTGCGCCATCATTCTAGTGCTATCAATCCGGTTGGATTTAGGTTTGGTTGTTGTGATCTTGGACGGTTCTTGGATTGATTGGTTGGTATGGGTCATGTTAAGTGTTCTTGAGGGTAAGGTGAATGTCTTTGGGCGCAAAGCTTGTTTGGCAAGTTTGGTCCAAGAACTTATGGTTAAATGATGTTATGGATGGAATCTTTGGTGGGGTTTTGTCACAAGGGTGTGGTGAGTTTTGTGAAGGTGGTTTTGATGGTGGTTGGTGGTGGTTTTGGGTTGCTTGGATTACAAAGGTTAGGGAAAGAAAGTGCAGCCAAGAAAGAAACAGATCAAAACTCAAAGAAAGGAAAAAGTTGAAGGTGATGAGATTACCTTGATGAAAAGAAGGAAACTAACTTTTGATGAAAGCTAGTCAAGAACCAAAATTAAAAGAATGGAGGAGGAAAGGAGGCGGAGACTTTGCACCACTTACTAGAAGATAAGCAAGGAGGGTGCTGCATCACTTGAGTCCTAGTACCCTAGATAGAACCTACAAAATATCTCACCATCTTTCTAGCTCTAAGAAAGATGCTCTCAATTCATTCATCCAAGTTATGGCCAAAATAAACTAGATATATCCTTATATAGAGCTTGGCATGTGGAACCGGTGGCCTAACAAATCCCTTCCTACACTTGTTTCCAAACACTAAGCCACTAAAGGCAGAGTCAAACATCCTAAAGATTATGCTTATGTCCAAAGAAGGGGGGTAATCCCACAAAACACTAAAAGAAGAGTGCAGACTAGGATTTGTACGAAAGAAACTATATTCTTCCATCTTAAAAGCTTGCAGCCTTCATAAGCTCCTCTTCAAGCTCCATAGCCTTAATTCTAGTCAACCTTCCTCCAGAAACTTCTTCAATTTGTTGGATTCTCGATTACCCCTTCTTAGCCTTAGCCATGGCTCTTGTAGCTGCACCTCATTTAAATGTGTTCTTTCCATACATGCTCCATAAAGTGGGGAGGATAGTTATGGGACCTGAAGATGTTGATGGTGAATGAGTGATAGGATTCCACGACACGAGCATTTCTTTTTTCTTCTATTTACCATAACATTTTTTGTATTATCCAATTCTTAGCTGATCAAATACTCAGTAGACATGAAGCTGCAAATTCGCCCTACATTTTCCTGAACCTCATTGTGGTAACATTTTGTGTAGTCACCGTGCACTAACAAATGGGAATGAGTTTAGTATGCAATTTTATTAAAAACAAAATCATTTAATTTGAATAGGTAAATAATCTAATACGAGATATTAGTGAAAACCCGAATTCCCCATAGTAAAAGCTTCACTAAATCCATGGTATCAGCTATTTAACTCTTAAAGTGAAATATGTTTCTTTACAATTATGAGGATCATACCTACTTTCTCATTATCTCTGGTTCTGATTTTCTATCATATACATTACTTCTTAAGCCACCTAGAGTTTATGTCCTCCATAAAAGCATGAAAATTGATGCTTCAGTTAATCAGTCCTAATGATGCATCCTTTCATCCTTGTGGGAAAATATGATGCCTTTAAACAAAACTGAACAAAAGTTTCCTGCCTACTTGAGAGGTACTGGTTCACTTGATTGCTCTGTTATTTCATTCGTGTAGTGTTTTGAACTAGCTTCACATAAGTTATTTTATTATGCTTTTGAAGATTCTGATGGACAATGACTTCTGTAATCATGCTTATAAGCTATTTTTAGCAATGAGTCTGGATATCATTGGACTTGCATTGCATTACTTTTTATCTCATCTATAGCCTTGTGCAAACTGCCATATCTTCTTTTTTCACTCAATTGTCCTTAGATAAACCTATGACTAGTAATATTGTTGTACTTGTACATATGCTTTTAGAGGGAGATCACAATATTTGTGAGGCTAACAACATGCTGTTGTTTGGCAGAATTTGTGTTATTTAAATTTATCCAAGAAATGTTAATTCTTTCAATATATTAATCCTTGGGTTGAAGTATGTATCAGAAGTAATGTGTACATGTTGCGCGTAGGTGTATATGTGCTTGAGTGTATGTGTGCATTTTGGAGATTGGTACTCGAAAAGTCTGATATTTCCCTGTTTGTTCAATTTCCACAGACCTATATATCCCCAAATCTTAATTTATTTGTTAAGTGCTGCATGTTTAACCTGTTTTCTCTTTTCCATTCTCATTTTCTTGATTCTGTCATGTAGATATCTTCCCTTGCCGCACAGTGCTCTTTGTTTGATTGCTGCCACAGCATTCTGTGCAGAGTATCTTCTATTCTACTTTCACTCAACAACACATAAAGGCCTTGAGGGCTATTACCATGTCCTCCTTGCTTTCCTCATTGGGCTTTGCATTATATCTTCAATTGCTGGGGCCCTTTTGCCTACCAGCTTCCCAGTAGATTTATGTAATGGCATTGCTATAACGCTGCAAGGAATCTGGTTCTATCAGACTGCTTTTGTTCTTTATGGTCCCATGCTACCCTCTGGTTGTAGGCTCAGGGATAGTAATATCACATGTCATGCAAAAGAGAGTGAGGTTCGGGCTGAATTGCTGGCTAATGTTCAACTCTCTGTTGCAGTCCTCGCTGTTCTTGTAGGAAGTGTAGCATCCTATGGCTTTGCAGCTTCAAGATATCCCAACTGTGAAGAACTTGCTAGCAATTCCGGTTGAGTTAGAGAAGGAATGAACTACCATTAACATGCAGAATCGTTGACAGATTATTCTATTCTTTTAATTTGTTGCCAGAGATTCGTTCCTCGAGTTAATATATGTTAAAAAATATTAATCTAAACGAATCTCATTACTTTCAAGAATTTGTGATTGACTCTGTACAGGGAAAAGTTTTTGGTTAAACAGTTTTTCTGTCTTGTTATTTTTTTTTTTAATTTTGTTTTATCATCATTTTTAATACCACTTTAATTTCATTTTATTTAATGTGTATAACACACAAGTATGTGATATATTTTTGTCTTTGTATTGGTAGTAAAAGGCCTAAATGGGATCATGAGCCAAGCTTTAAACCATAACTAAATCAAAGTGGGAGATTGTAAAGAATATTTCAGTCTTAAAATCATTTTAACGAAAATTTAAGATTATAGCAAAGTGTAATATATTTAGGGTTTAGGCTTAGTATATTTACATCTGATCAATGGTGGAAAAAGTAAATTTAACACAAGGAAAATGGTTTATTACTAGTATATTTCTTATGTTACTTTTTTTATGAAGAATTTTAAGAGAATGATTTATCTATTTTAACTGTATAATTTATTTGATAGTTAATAGGATAATAAGATTGGCAGACTCTGCGTTACAAATGTATAATTCCTTTATTAATGTCTTAATGGAAAAAGAATTCAAAGAACTAATATGAATTGATTAATCTTTAACAAATGTCCATCAAATCATAACTGAAGCAGAGACACTTACTGAACCAAACTATTCATTCCCTTATGTAAAAACAATAACATAAGTTAATTATTTTCACACTTTTCATATCCCTCACCAACTGTTACTAAACTACCATTTCTATATAAACCACAGCCAAGGTTTCACCAGAACCATCTCCAACACAGTTTCATCTTTTCTTTAGACTAAAATGGCTTCCACTCACACCCTCTTTATCCTTTTTTGTGTTGTGACTATAACTGCATTGCTCTCATCTGCATCAATTGTTGAGTCCAGATCACTCTCTAACCCCTCTTCAAGCCTTTTGGTTCGGTTGAAGCTTGAGGGTGAACCATCCAACTGTTGGGACTCACTCTGGCAACTCCAAGCATGCAGTGGCGAAATTGTGACATTTTTTCTTAATGGTGAGACCTACCTTGGACATGGTTGCTGCCAAGCAATTAAGGTGATTGGACACGATTGCTGGCCTAACATTGTTGCCTCTTTAGGATTCACCGATGAAGAGACTGATGTATTGGAGGGTTACTGTGAAGAGGCTGTTCATTCACCTCCTGCACCACCAAAATCTATAGTTGACCCTAATGACATTGTTCCATAAAGGAACAAACTTTGGTCTTGGTGGTTTCAATGAATAACTAATAAGATGTTTGTTTTGTTTCTTTTTTCAATTTTATGCTGCCACGCATCCTGATGTTGGGAATCATGATCATGCTTTTGAGCTGTTTTATTTTCTGAAATATGAATCAATGATATGATATATAATAATACGTTCAAGTTGAGTTTTATGCTTAAGGTTAATTGTGGCATTGACATTTTTCCTTCTTGATTATTATATTTTTCAAGTTTTGTGTTGAATGTAAATGTAATTTTGGATAGATTGTGGTGCAGATAACACTGTATGCACCTTTCAATATTCAACCACGGGTAGGTGTTGTCCTTTTAAGACTAAACCATGAACCAATCTGAATTAGGAGCTAAAAAAAATTGAACTACTTTCAGTGATGCACCTAACCAAAGAAGCAACTTGGTTCATTTTAGGCCAATTATTTTACAATTCAGTTGGTTTAATTTAGGGAAAAACATTTTCTATTTCATTTTCTTTGGTTCAAGTGCAATGTATTTCAATTTCGTTGAAGGATAAATATGTTACTATTCTGTGTGATTTACTTTTCTATATTAAACCAAATCATGAATGAACTTGCTTTACAATTAAGAGGATGATAATCACTTCTGGTAAATATTTGAATACTTTTTAAATTTTTTTTACCGTTGAAGTAAAAAGTTTTAAGTATTTCGAAGTTAAATTCGAGTCAATTACCAAAACCTCTTACTAACAGAGTCGACGATTATCGATCAATCGTAACATATCGTAAAATTGGCAGAAATTTTCGATGCCAAAAGTGAAGTTCTTCAAAACATTCAATTCTTTTAGTTTTGTTGGTAACGAAGATTTTGTGTACATTTAATTTAGTTTTGTTTTTTATTTTCAAAAATAAATTTAATAATCATTTTAAAAATAATTTTTGAAAAAAAAATAAAACATTTATTTGAAAATCTTAGTTTAAAAAAAAATTATTCATAATACCATGTTGAAAAGTTACAATAAAAATTAAAAAAATAAATAAAATAAAATGAAAAAGATTAACACAACACAACTTCTAATAAAAATGCACAGATAAAAATAAAAACTTTATATATTCTGTACTGTTCTGTTTTGCAACGAAAACAAAAAAACATGATCCTCTCCACGCCACTCTACAAAACTTAATCTGTGTTCGCAGAGATGTGAAGGAAAAAAAAAGAAAGGAACAAAAAAGGCGGATAATGGCTTCGTTATCGCTTTGCGTAGCCATGAGAGCACCCACTCCCTCGGCTTCTCTTGTTCTCACTGCCCCGAAATCATCTTCACTCTCTCTGAAAGTTACCCGCAGCAGTTTCTCCAACGTTCGCTCTGGACTCCTCCAATGCTCCTTTCTCTCCTCTCCTTCCCATCTCTCTTCCCCTTCCTCCATTTCAGGTACTCCTAGATTTTATTTTCCATATGGGTGCTTGTTCTTTTCCCCTTCCACGTGATTCTTCACTAATTACGCACTAAGTCGTTTTGAAATTGGCTACGCGGTGAATTTCGTTCTGCCCTGTTGACCATGGTTTTGTTCAGTTTTATATGGGAAGTGCTGAGTTCTTCATTTTTAATATATGGTATGCCAAGCTTAAACTTTTTTTAATAGCTGTTTTAGTTGGAACAGTGGCAGTTTTTAATTGGAAGTGGCTTCTCCTTGTTTTAATAGGGATGTAAGGGCTTGTGTTGCTAATGGGTTTAGAAAAACAAAATGCTTTTGTGGTTGGGTTGAATTTAACTTAACATTGACTCATATCGGAACACGGAAGTTGCTATTCTAGGTATTAAAAGAGATTTTTTTTTTAAGCCAAGTAGAAAGTTGATGCCATTTCTTGCTGATGAAACAGTGAGGTTGGGTTGTAAGTGAAGGCAAGTAGATACATTTATATAGTAAACGAGTACCATTACTGGTTTTTTTATCATTGATTAGAACGATACCAGTTCAAAATGCTTGCACTTTTGACGTTTTGGTTTTTGGATTAAGTGCAGTAAGCACAATTGATTCCAGAACTTTTATGGTTTTATTGACTGGTTTACTGAAATGGAGTGTTGAGTTTATTGATCCTCCTGTCTCAGGATTTTGGTAGGTTGTGATGGAGAAGAGACTCCAATGAGACGAATAGCCTGCATCAGTTAAGAATATCTCAATATCATCGGGAGCATTAAAGAACTCAAGCAATAAATAACTCTATGATTAAAATTCAACATATTTTGTCAATGAAACTTCCTAACGAATAACTTAGCAAAGAATAAAGAGAAATAGCAAAGACTAGAGATGCTAGCTTAGCATTGTTAGTAATAGATGACTAGCTTTGGATTATTTGGCACTTTTGTTTTGCATGACCATAGTTGTTCTGTTTAATCTGACAAGCTGTCCACGCCTACTGGAATAAGGCTTATATATATATATAAAATTCTTGTTCAGATTTAGATTGACTTGATCTCAACTAAATTGTCAATGTTAAGGCTTGTCACTTGGATTGGACTTGACGTCTAATGTTGGGGCCAGAAGAGGAAAAGGTTCTGGCTTGGTTGTGAGGGCAGGCAAGGCTGCTCTTTGTCAGACTAAGAGAAACAGATCAAGAAAATCATTGGCACGTACTCATGGTTTCCGCAAACGAATGAGCACACCTGGTGGAAGAGCTATTTTAAGGCGAAGACGTGCCAAGGGACGGAAAGTCCTTTGCACCAAGTCCCACCCAAATAGTGGAAAATAGTGGCGAAAATGGCCTGTATCTGTTATGTTTTAGTGGCTTATTGTATTGATTCCTCCCAACTCGTCTGTATTTCGAGCTTTACATTTTTTTTCCTAACAGTGGTTCTTTGTAACCTTTATGTTTAAAATTTAAATTTATTATTTTTTATCTGTGTTGTCACCTATAATTCTTGCCAAGCTACATCCATATTTACTTCAAAGATGTTTACTACGAAACGAATCACAAATCAAATTTGATTGAATGGCAAACAAGATGTTGGGCATTGTTAAAAATTCTATTTTGCTGGAAGCTGTTGGGCATTTTCAGCAGTGGCAGCTGAGAAGGCATTTCTTTACCAAATAAGAGCTAATAAATTGATGTCATTTTCAGAGCAACAACTAATGGACTGTGAAAGAAATAACAAGGGAATCATTGAACTCATTGTCATCCTCCATATCAACATTCTCGTCATTGAAATCACTGTCATCCTCATCCTCTTCCTACATCACTGTCCCTTCTAGAGGCACCACATGGTGACCTTCGCATTGGCCATTCGGCCCGCAACCAAGTATAGGAAACCCTTTTTTCTTCATCATTATTTTCTTCCCTTAGGACTTCTTAATCTCCATTATTTCCCATGTAAAGTACCTAATTATTCATCACCTTCACCAAACTCGCCAAACATGCTTATGATGGAAGCTAGTCAAGAACCAAAATTAAAAGAATGAAGGAAGAAATAAACGAGGGTGATTCATCACTTGAGTCCTATCACTAAAGATAAGAACCTGCAAACACAATCTTTCAAGCTCTAAGAAAGATGCTTTCAATTCATTCATCCAAGTTATTGCCAAATTCACTAGAGGTGTCTCCTGATATAATGGGTGTCCAAAACAAACCCCTTCCTACTGCTCTTTTGCACCCTGCACCCCCATAATTTCTTATCGCTACTCCGTATCCAAAGTAAAATATCCAAAATACCCTTCCTATAATTTTGTTTTTTACTTTAACTTCTTCTATTTTTGTACAATTTCTACACTTTCATTCATCGGTATCTCCGTTTTATTATTTGATTTTTTTTACTATCAAATGAATTTTGGATTGAATGTTCCATAAACATTTTAAAATAGGTGTTCTGGAATGTGTTTTCAAACAAGCCTTTCCAGAAACATATTTTAGACTGAATGCCAGAACGTGTTTCCAAAAAAATCAATCTGAAGATAAAGATGAAGATACGTACAAGGGTAAAATAAGATTTAATTTAATTATGAAGTACAAAGAAAAATTACGAGGATAGAAACATGTGATCAAACTCTACATCTATATTAATTTTGTAATAAAAAAATAGTAAACAATTAACTATGATATAAATGAGAAAAATGTAATTTTCATAAAATATAAATAATAGAGTAAAAGAATAAAAATTTAGAAGTAACCTATATATAACATAATCGATTTGGAAGACTCTTTGTTTACAAATGTATAATTTCTTTACTTATGAGAAGGAACTTAAAGAACAAATTACGAATTGATTAATCTTTATCAAATGTTCATCAAATTAATCATAACGGAAGCATAAAGTGACACTTATTTGAGCCAATCATCCATTCTCTTCTTATATGTAACCACCATATGATAGTTATTCTCACACTCTTCATATCCCAACACCAACTGTTACTAAACTACCATTTTCTATATAAACCACAACCAAGATTTCACCACAATCATCCACTCCAACACATTTTTATCTTTTCTTTCGACTAAAATGGCTTCCACACACACCCTCTTTATCCTTTTTTGTGTTGTGACTATAACTGCATTGCTCTCATCAGCATCAATGGTTGAGTCCAGATCACTCTCCAACCCCTCTCCAAGCCTTTTGGTTCGGTTGAAGCTTGAGGGTGAACCATCCAACTGTTGGGACTCACTGTGGCAACTCCAAGCATGCAGTGGCGAAATTGTGACATTTTTCCTCAATGGTGAGACCTACCTTGGATATGGTTGCTGCCAAGCAATTAAGGTGATTGGACATGATTGCTGGCCCAACATTGTTGCCTCTTTAGGATTCACCGATGAAGAGACTGATGTATTGGAGGGTTACTGTGAAGAGGCTGTTCTTCATTCACCTCCTGCACCACCAAAATCTATTGTTGACCCTAATGACATTGTTCCATAAAGGAACAAACTTTGGTCTTGGTGGTTTCAATGAATAACTAATAAGATGTTTGTTTGTTTCTTTTTTAAATTTTATGCTGTCAAGTATCCTGATGTTGGGAATCATGACCATACTTTTGAGCTGTTGATATTTTATGAAATATGAATGAATGATATGATATATAAAAATACATACAGGTTTTGAGTTTTATGCTTTTATAAAAAACCACCGATGATTACATGTCTACAAGGTGTGAGTTTTATGTTTTAGGAGTATGAAAATATATTTAGTTCCATAAAATGACCTTGAATGTTTGAGAATAGAAAAATTGGAGTTCAAATTAAATCTGATTCGTTTAAATTAATATTTAAATGTGATAATTAAGATTAATAAATATTCTCAATGATTAATAATTAAGATTAATAAATATTTTATATCATCAAATTATTAAAAAATATGATGATGAAAACTAATTTTTTATTTTTATTTTAAAATTAAATTATTTTATTTTTTGTAATTTAAATTATATCCTAAAGAAAAATTAATTTTGTTAATATAATTTAATTTTAAAAAAATTATATTTAATTTATATAAATATTTTTAATTAATTATTTTAATATAAATACATTAATATATTTTTTTTATTTTCAACAAAATTAAAATTATCCACATGTGACAATGTTGGTGACGGTACACTTGAATTATTGCATAAAATGGTAGGTATGTGTGCACGTGTCAGTAATTGAAGCGACCACGTCATCAGCGTGTCTCTATCCACCATCATTACACACTCTTAGTTATTAATTAATAGATTGCCCCACCTATATTTTATACGTACAAGCAATATCGTTGATTACGATGCAATCTTATATTAATATTTTAAAAACATATTTGATCAGTTTTTTTGTTTTAATTTTTTTAAATGGTTTTACAAATTAATTTTTAAGAATATATTTAAAATAATTAAATAAAAATAATTTTAAATTTATTTTCAATAAAAACTAATGGCTATGATAAAAATTCCCAAAAATCAAACATGGTACCAAACGAGTCATATAAGGAAACTAATTAATAGTGAAAGAACATATAAAAAATATATATTTTATTAGTTTTAATTTTTTTTAACTTTTAATAAAAAAAATTTAACGATTTTTTTTAGTTTTAATAAATAATTATCAAATAACTTTTTTAATTTTTAGAAACTAAAATATTTAAAAAAAATTAACAAACAAATAAATTTAAACAGAACAAAAGTATATTTATCAATTTGAGAAAAAAGTAATATAAAAAATAAAAATTATTACTTAAAAATAATAAAAATAAAGATTAAATAATTATACAAATAGAAAATTATTTATACATTTTTTTTAGAAAAAATGAGATAGGGATGATGTTAGAAAATAATTTTTTTTCTTATATTTTTAATTTTTTAAAGTAAAACATGGGAATAAGGTTAAAAAGAAAATATACATTTTATTTATTACCGAGAAAAAAATGTATTTTTCTGATTATTTCTTGACATTTTTTTCCAATAAAAAAAGTACAAATTTGTAAAGAAATGAATTGACAGAAGCATCCTAAACTTCTGGAAGTTCTATACCTCACTCGAAGCACAGTGGAACATAAAACTACCATCCCACACTTTTTGTCACAAACTTGTGCACGCCACTTATTCTTCTTTCTCTGCTCACCCAACAAAACTTCTCTCAAATATTTGCTTCAAATATGAAGACTCATGCATTTTTTCTTGTATCAACCATCTATCATCACAACCCAACAATGTTTTTTTTTTTGTTAAGATATTTTTCTTTATTGGGTTTCAATTGATTTAAACAAATGACCTGTAAAAACAATGTTACTAAAACTTTAAAAACTTTTATCCAAAACCTAATACAATTACGTGTAAGATAAACATGTTTAAATGAATTAATTCATAAAAAAATAGTTACAGAGTATTATATAGAAACTCTAACATATAATTTCTCTAAAGTTTTATTTTTAATTTATAAATTAATTGAGTCCCCACATCAAAGTCCCAACCTATGCAACCTACCCTACCCAAAAGCAGAGAAGTAAATATTTACTTATAATTTAATAAAAATAAGTTTTTTTTTTCAAATCATCTTTATTTTAAAAGTTACTTTCAAAACTAATAAATCACGAATTGGGTAAAGTACCGTTCGGTTATCCGTTCACAGTTCCATAGGCCATCATCAATGACTTATCTTACGAAACAGAAATTTTTTAAATAAAGTAAAAACAAATCATACACCAGACAAGAACTCGATGGAAACTCCGAGACCAATTCATATGACATTTTTACCCCTCACACTTTCTCCATTTTACTCCAACCCCCCTCTCTTCATTCATAAGACAACGCTTCCTCCTTCCCTCATTGCCTATCACACCATGCAGCGTGCGGCGGCCAAACACCAACCACGGCGGAGCTCCGGCGGAGATGCGGCTGAGGAGGAGAAGGTGTTCAAGGGGGACCAGGAGTTCGCTGACTCGTCATCGAACTATTTGAAGACCATTTTCGCCCTGGCGCTGTGGCTCGGAACCATTCATCTCAACGCAGCGTTGGTGCTTTTCGCGCTTTTATTCCTCTGTGTCCGCGAAGCACTCTTGTTTGTTTCTCTCTCCTTTTACTCTTCCCTTGAATTATCACACGTGTCTCTGTGTGAGTGAAGTTAAAAAAGAGGTCGCTCTTTATTATGTTATCTCAGGCTGTTAGGTTTGCTTTTCGTGTTGATGCTGATTCCTATTGATGAAAAGAGCAAATTCGGTCGGAAATTATCCAGGTGCTTGTTTTTGTTTGCCGCGTGAAAAATTGATATCAAACGCATTAATTAACTTAACGAAGCTTTGCTTTTTTCTTGTTCTGGTTGCCACACTGGGTTTGAGTATCTTGCTTTTCTTGTTGAATAAAATGTATATTTTTTCAGAAAAAAAAAATTGGGTGTTTTTCAGGTACATATGCAAGCACGTTTGCAGTTACTTTCCCATCACGCTTCATGTAGAGGATATCAAGGCCTTTCATCCCAATCGTGCTTATGGTTTGCCACTTAGTGTTTACTTATGTTTTGACTGTTGAAGATTTTTCGTTGAAGAAAGTGCATCTTTGTTCTCATTTGCAATTTTTGCCTTCTCTTGGAGATTGTTTACCTGTTATAGTGATACCGACACGACCAGAATAGTATATGAGCTACTTTTTATATTGTGTTACTATATATGTAATTTATACAAGAGCTTCTGCGTATATAATCTTCTTGACTAAAAATGGCAAGAGATTTTAAACATATTTTTTTATTTTTCGGGTAAGTTGGTTCTTTTGTTTTAACTTTATTCCGAGACGGTTTTGCGACGGATGGTTTTAATTTTGAGTGGGTTGAGGGAGGAAAATGACGGTTTTTATAGACTACTTTTGATTGAGACTTGAATGGACACCGGAAAAAAAATGAGATTTTGATCTATTATTGTTCCTAAATGATTTAGACTAGAATTCATTTTGAAATAAAATAATACTTTAATTTAGAGATTCAACATTGTATAAATATGCCTTAGTGTCCTGAATGAACTGATTTATTTCTTATCCTTTGGAAGAGCTAGATTTGAAACATTTTTTCGAGTCTTAAGCTAGCATATCTCTCAATGGTGATGATTCGTATTTTATTTGTGTTTTATTGTTAGTAGTTCATCAATATTAATAAAAGTATGCATCTTCATGCAGTTTTTGGTTATGAACCACATTCAGTTCTGCCAATTGGAGTTGTTGCATTAGCTGACAACACAGGTTTTATGCCTCTTCCTAAAATAAAAGTTCTTGCTAGCAGTGCGGTAAGACTTTTGTAGACCCTGTTTTTTAATGAAGGTTATTGTGGTTATAATTTAAATTTTTCTTATTACATTTGACAAATAGGTTTTCTACACACCATTTTTGAGACACATATGGACATGGTTGGGTCTGACACCAGCGACAAAGAAAAGGTTTGCCTCCCTGTTGGATGCTGGCTACAGTTGTATCTTAATTCCTGGCGGAGTTCAAGAAACATTTCTCATGGAGCATGGTTCTGAGGTGCATTCTTTTTGGCTCTCCCTCTTAACTTTAATTTTTATCTTTTTTTTGGCAACTGAAAATGTTTATTCTTTCATATATAATATCATAACTGATGTCAAGTTGAAGTAATATGTTGGTATAGGCATTTCCCCTTGCTATGCAACACTTGAGAATTTCCCATTGAGTGGAACATGTTTGATAATCTTAACTAATACTTTAGTTTCGTTCCCCTCTGATATTTCATGTCTAATTTTGATGGAAAGGTGGGGAAATTATATTCTTTTCATTCATTTATATATGTTATTGACCTAATCTTAGGATCACTTACATAAAATGTTTCAGCTATGGAAATATGACTTGCCAATAACACTCGTAAGGTGTATCTCATTCTTGATATTAGAGTAATGTAAAATGTGAGAGATTATAGAGTAAGGTGTATCATACACCAAGAAACAAGGTTGATTGCTTGATCTATTACATTAACATTGCATTTGAAAGAAACTTGGATTTCTTTTTAAAAGTATGAAAAGTAACTCCTTACAGCAGAGCTAGAAATCTGTAATCTTTTAAAGACAGAAACCAAACAATAACAGAAATGAAGATAGTTGCAGACACGTTGAGGGGTCTGCTACCTCCCTGCCTAAGGGCCCCTAATCATTTTCTCCTAACTGTTCTGCCACACCCGAGCCACATGGACAAACCACAAGGTTGTTACAGCCCAAATCAATTCAATTTGATTACTGCAATTGGCCCACTGATTACAATCTACCAATTTTACACCTTGTCATGTGTGTGGTTGCTTTTATGATTGAATCATAGTAAAGTCACAAACTGCCTAAAAAGTTTGGCGAAGAGTATATTCAGTACATCATCATAGTTTTTAAATAATTTGATGGCTCTATCTTTCTGATTGTTTTCTAAATAAAGCTTGTATCTCTTACTGTTTGGTGGGGCTGCATTTAACTTGTTTCTACTATGGTAAAGATAGGCAGAACAGGATTCCGAATAAAGTGGGTTTACAATATGAAATTCCTTTATTAATATATTTTGTATTCGTACAAGCTAAAAATATTATGAATTATCTTCTTTGTAGATTGCCTTTCTTAAAGCAAGGAGAGGATTTGTCCGCGTAGCAATGGAGAAGGGTAAACCCCTGGTTCCAGTTTTCTGTTTTGGGCAGGTATTTATTTCTTGCCCGTGTTTACTCTTAAGAAAAAATCTTGCAACTTTTGCTGATTCCCACCTATTAACTGCATAAAACTGTTAAAACTAAAAAGTTGTGTATTATTTCCCTATCTGCTAATGTTGCTACTTTATGTTTCTTTCTATTCATTCAAATAAACTATCACTCCCCTTTTGATGTAATTTTGCTGTAGTCAAATGTCTATAAGTGGTGGAAACCAGGTGGGAAGTTATTTCTGAATTTTGCCAGGGCTATCAAGTTCACCCCAATATATTTTTGGGGAATTTTCGGGTACGTGTTTCTTTTAAATGTCAGCTTGCCACCTGCCTGTGATCTCCTTTACACCTATTTCAGTTTCAATAGTCAAGGGAGTTTTGCATGATGAATGAAGCTAATTTTTTTAATTCAGACTTGGGGTTGTTCAATGAATTAAATTCGACAATATGGAACAATAGAATATGCTGATTCTAAAACGTCAAACCAATCTGAGAGTCGGTTTAGTTCATAATTTGGAAGGTCAATTTTGTCTGGTTCAGCTTAAAATATTTGCTAAGAATGTACCTGGAAAAGGTGGACTCAATTGAAGTGTTGCAGGATGCATGGATTTTACTGTCAGTTTTTCGCAATGTTTTATGTATACAAGTTTTTATATAGAATGGAGTCATTGTTTTTGTTGACAGCAGTCATTTGACTGGTCTACATGTATACAGAAGTTGTTATCTGGAACTAATTTTTTTGCACGGGTTATCTCTTCTCTTCAGATCTCCGATACCCTTTAAACATCCTATGCATGTGGTGGTGGGTAGACCAATTGAACTGGAGAAAAATCCAGAGCCAACTTCTGAGGAGGTATATACTATCATGCCTTCTGATTTTAACTGGCATTCATGAAGTATCCAGTAGCTTCGATCCTCTTGTAGATATAAAAGTCTGTTTTTTCATCTTGTTAATAAGCGTCCAATGCAGTAAAAAAAAATGATTACCATGGAATATAAACTTCTGTATGGTAGTCCTTTAGACTCTAGTACAGCAAAATATACAAACGCAAATCCGAGATTTGCATGATATGGATAAACTATGTTTAAATAGGTACTTGCCAGCTATGGGGCCGGCAAGATATTTTCAAATTTAAGCTACACATAACATAACTAAATTTTTGTCTCTTTTTTTACTTTCACTTTGTTTTAGGTTGCCAAAATACATAGCCAGTTTGTTGAAGCACTTCGAGATCTATTTGAACGACACAAAGCTCGAGCTGGATATCCAAACCTTGAGTTAAGAATTGTTTGATAAGGTCGCAACTTCGACCTCAATTTTCATGGGATAATGACGCTTATCTACTCATAGGTTAGGTAAGATGCAGTGGAGTGAGGGATTCGTGATTAATTGGATTTGGAATGGGGTGACGTAAAATAATACTGTTGATTGATTGAGAGGGATTATCTTTGTTGTCCTAGAAGTCAGTGCATTATTAGTGTAAATTACAAATTTTACTTCCTCTTATGAGTAAGATATATTTATAATATAAGATTAATTTAAAATGTTACTCTCTATGATTTCAAATACATTTTCTCAATTTCAGTAATAAATTTACTTTAACTGGTAAAAGAGTGATTTTTGTATCTCGTTGAAATTACATTATGAGTACCTCAGTTCAAATCTTCCTCAATTAACGCAAGTAATAGAAAGGAAAATGTTTATAATTCATATTTTATACTAGTTTTAATAATTATTAACTTCAAATCAATATACTTTGTATGGCATAATTATTTCTCTTCATAAATGGGGATGATGGCACATAATTATAGCATATATTAAGTTTTTTCTCCAATGACAGAAAATATAATATCAATGTTAACAATTAATGAGGAAGGATTCACGCTGTTACTTTTTGTGTTAATAATTAATTGGTAATCTAATATACTAATTATAATATAATATTATAAATAGTAGGAATGTTAAAATAGATTTAATATCATAAATCAGTCTGAAAAATTGAAATTGAAAAATAGGTTGGGTAAAAAAGAAAATTATGACTTAAATAAAATAAAAAAAATTAGACTGACTTATTTGAGTTAGATTTAAATGAGTTTAAGTTTTAATTGACCCGTTTTATAAATATATATATATATATATATATATATATATATATAATTTAGAAAAAATAATTTGTTAGGTTGTTTATTGATGATATATTCTTAAATGAAATATATTTTTAAAATATGATGACATGAAAATTATGTTTAATAATAAGATTATCTTATTAAAATAATAAATTTGATTCTAAAATATACCAAATGTGGAAATAATGTTTGTAAATGGACAGGACGACCTGGACAGTGGACATTGGTAAACGACAAGAAAAAGAAAGAGATACGAAGAAATTTGATTACGCAACTAAAGCTTTGATTTTTAGAATTGAACATGAAATCATCTGCTTCATGCCCTGCAACAGAGGATTAAACGGTCCTTTACGGTGATCCAAACGCAGGGTGTTAGCTGTGACACCACATTCGTATTTTCAGTCTTTCGGGTCGGGTTGGATCCAGTGAAAAACACCTGGGTCGAGCACACACGCACATCATATACAAGCCGTTGATTATTTTTTTTTAATCCACGGCTACAAATGCAAAACAAAATAGCCAAGTTAGTGGTGAACGATTCTCCCAAGCCACTACAGAGAGTTGGGGAGGAGAAGTTCATTTCCCTGTTACGATCATGCGAAACGTGCACGCGGCTGCACCAGATCCAAGCTCATATAGTCACCCATGGACTCCAGGGAAATGATTACGTCACCCCTAGTTTCATCACGGCGTGCGCGCGCCTCGGTAGAATGGGTCACGCCAGAAGAGTGTTCGACACAACTGCGCAACCAAATGGCTCCACCTGGAACGCCATGTTCCGAGGGTTCGCCCATGCGGGGTGTCCCTTCGACGTCGTCGTTTTCTTCGCGCAAATGCACCGTGCCGGCGCTTCGCCGAACTGCTACACGTACCCCTTGGTGGTGAAGTCTTGTGCTCAGGTGAACGCAGTGAAAGAAGGAGAACAGGTTCACTGCGTGGTCGTCAAACGCGGTTTTAAGGCGAATGCGTTTGTGGGAACCGCGTTGATTCACATGTACTCCGCGAGAGGGGAAGTGTCCGTTGGGGATGCTTACAAGGTGTTCGGGGAAATGCACGAGAAGAATGTCTTCGTTTGGACTGCGATCATCACTGCATATGTGGCGTGCAGTGATATGGTTTCCGCGCGGCGTCTTTTTGACCTCTCGCCGCAGCGGGACGTGGTGCTGTGGAACGTCGTCGTTTCGGGGTACATCGAATTGGGGGACATGGTGGCTGCGAGAGCGCTGTTTGATAAAATGCTGGACCGCGATGTGATGTCGTGGAACACCATGTTGAACGGTTACGCCTGTAACGGTGAGGTGGAATCATTCGAGAAGCTGTTTGATGAAATGCCTGTGAGGAATGTTTATTCTTGGAACGGGTTAATTGGAGGGTACGTTCGGAATGGGCTCTTTAACGAAGCTTTGGAGTCTTTTAAACGGATGTTGATGTTGGTAAAACAAGAAGGTGAGGAGGGTGATGTTGTGGTTGTTCCTAATGATTACACAGTTGTGGCAGTGCTGTCCGCGTGTTCCAAATTAGGGGACCTTGAGATGGGTAAGTGGGTGCATGTGTATGCAGATAGTATTGGGTACAAGGGTAACTTGTTTGTTGGAAATGCTTTGATTGACATGTATGCAAAATGTGGGGTTATAGAGAAAGCACTTGACGTGTTTGATTGCTTGGATGTGAAGGATATAATAACTTGGAACACCACAATTAATGGCCTCGCCACGCACGGTCATGCAGCCGATGCTTTATGTTTGTTTGAGCGGATGAAGAACGCGGGAGAGAAGCCGGATGGTGTTACTTTTATTGGGATTTTGTCTGCTTGTGCGCATATGGGGTTAGTGAGAGATGGGTTTCTGCATTACCAATCGATGGTTGATGACTACTCAATTGTGCCTCAGATTGAACATTATGGATGCATGGTGGATTTGTTGGGAAGAGCTGGTCTTATAGATCAGGCTGTGGATTTCGTGAGGAAGATGCCAATGAAACCTGATGCGGTTATATGGGCGGCACTGCTCGGGGCGTGTAGGATGTACAAGAATGTGGAAATAGCAGAACTGGCGCTTCAGCAGCTCATTGAACTTGAACCCAATAACCCTGCAAACTTTGTCATGCTTTCGAACATATACAAGGATCTTGGAAGATGGGAGGATGTTGCCCGGTTGAAGATTGCAATGAGAGATACCGGGTTCAAGAAAATACCGGGATGTAGTGTTATTGGGTGCAATGATAATTTGGTGGAATTCTATTCTTTGGATGAGAGACATCCTGAGACAGACTGTATATATAGGGCATTGCAGGGATTGACGATTCAATTAAGATTGCATGGATACGTTCCAAATCTTGTGGATGTTGCTCATGGAAACTGAACAAGAAGGGGTATTTTGAGGAATAGCCAAATTTTTATGAACTAGCTCAGCATCTGAAAGAGCCAATCGATTTTACAGGCCAAAATCAATTCTTCAAATTCCTGGTCTATTTTGAAAATCAATTGTAAGGCCTTTGAAATAGTGAAGAGTTACGTGGGCAAAATCACCGGGTCTTACATCCTGCTGCTGCTTCTTGTCGAACTCGGTTATTGTCAATGGTCACTTCTGAATGTATCCCTACTTCCACTTGGATTCATCTGAACCTGAGACTAGGGAAACACCCATGCTATCGTTGGAAAAATGTATTACATACACTATTTGGTTCAGAAAAGGTTATGAAGCTGTGAACTGAAAGATTATACCCATGCTTAACTAAGTGCTTCGCGATTTACCATTCTCTTTTCAGGGAATTATCTTTTAAGAATAGGTTCTTTGAACCAAGTTCCAATATCTTCCCCAATTCTTAATCAATCAATACCACTGTATCTTTTAATTTAGTACAACCTATTGTTTCATGTTCATTTCTGACTTTGTTATGGTTAAAATAAAGTTGGATAGTCCTGAGACTTAATATTCCCAACTCAAACAACTCTTTTTGTCATGTGTATGAAACCTTCAAAGTTAGTCATTGCTCAAATGTTTCATGTGCTAATCTTATAACGATCATGTGGATCATATCACGTCCTAGAAGTTGAAAGAACTTTAATTTCATCGTTTGGACAGACATGGATTTCTTTACTCAACACTAATTTCCTTGATAACATTAATTATTTTTAGTTTAAGAAAGTAAATAAAAAAAATAGTAGAAAGTGAAATGATTTTTCAAGTTTCTATTAGAAGAGAAAGTGAAAGAAAGGTGAATAAAATCATGTATATAGTTGTCGTAAATATGTTTGATAAAGAAAGAAAATATTTTGAAATAAGGACAATTTGAAAAAAAAAATATATATATATATATATATATATATATATATATATTTTTTTTTTTTCACCTACTACTCTTACTTCTGTTGAAAGTCTTACAAACCAATTTAAAATGATATTTGTAAGTCATCATTAATATCTACTAATGCTCTTACTATTTTAAACTTTTAAGTTATTAATTATGTTTAATGTTTTTTTTTAACTATTGGAAATATGTGAAGTGTTTGTAGAAAAATAAATAATATATGTATAGACAACATAAAATAAATTTTACATCCCGATTTTATTTTGAATTGTCGTGATAAATTTCTTAACTTTTAAAATAATTATTTAATTTTAAACTATCATTATTTGTTATAATTTTTAATTTATCATTGTCAACTCTTTTATATGGACATCAAGTTTTTTTAAAAGTTATAACAAATTGTTCTCTAGGGTTAAGCTTCCCGAAATGCTTCTGACTCGTGGAAATGCTTTAGATAGGCTATGATATTATGAGTTATGTTACGATGATTGTTCCTTTTGGTTGGGATACTTATAAGGTATGTATTCAACATCCATAGTCTATGCTTGGATTCTGGCCTAATCTATAGCTCGTTTCGAATGCATGTTGGTCGACAATTTGAAGATTAAAAGATTAAGCCATTAAAATTGAGGAGGGTGGTTCTGCTACATGTTTTCATTATTGGGAAGATGTTTTACATCATTTTAAGCACCATTTCTAGCAAAAGCACCTTCGGTTCTAACTATGACATAATCTCTGACTTGCTAACAAAAATTCTCCACTCATACATTAAAGTGATTGTTTTTTTCTTTATTACGGTAATTGCTATTTTAATTTCATAACAAAATGAGCTCCTGTAAAAATATTAATTAGTGAATACAAAATCAAGAGACTAGCCACATAAAGAAAGTTGACCAAAGGGTAACTGCAAATGAGGCTAAACTGTATGTCCATAGCATGATTACAGAACATTCACTTTCTCCAGATCCAAACAACTGAGCAATGGTGCCTGCCAAATGATATTTGTTATGTAAGAAGAATTGACGCAAAAGCAAAGTGAGTGATAACAGTACCTATATTCATGGCTGGGGGAAGTGCATATTGAAGCAGAAGCACGAACTGATACAAACAATCTGAATGCACCAAACTCAGATGTATGGCTGCTTTCACAACTGCAACACCCAAAAGTGGCAGAAAGATATATCTCACTGCCACAATCCCCACAACAGTCCACAGTGGAGTGCTTGATCCTTTCAAACCTGCCCCATGCATTTCCCCATAATTATTTTCTTTAAGCAAATCATCAAAAAAAAAAAAAAGAGAGAAAAAACTATTCCACTTCAAAAACTTGAGTTAACAAAGTACAATGTGTGACCTTTAAGTAGGTTTGCACCCATTATAAGAGTGACAGTAGGGATGGCTGCGTCACTGCATGCAGGTAACGGGACACAGAAATGAAAGTTAGATATATTTCTGCAATTGATGCATGCAAAACAGTTTAGCCATATTAACTACTAAAAATTTATTACTAATATTATATCCAACTCAAGTGCTAATTAAAACACTTAAAAATATATAATTGTTTGAAATCTTTCTATTAGAGCATCCTAAATAATATGATGGATTGTTTAATTTTTTTTATTAATAAATTATATTTTATATTTTTTAAGATAAAAAATAATTCTCTGAATTATTCCTATTCGATATACCTTCATTTAACTTTTTATTGAAAAAAATCGAAACAAACATTATAAATAATCCTTATTGTATCAATGAAAAAAATTATTTTATTATAATATATATATATATATATATATATATATATAATTTTTAAAAAACTTGAGTTGACAATGATAAATTAAAAATTATATCAAATAATGATAATTTAAAATTAAGTAATTATTTTAAAAGTGAAGAAATTTATCACGACAATTCAAAAATGATAAAGAATGTTTGGTTTGCAAGACTTTGAACAGAAGTAAGAGTCTTAGGTGGAGAAAAAAGTAATCTCTCTCTATATATTATTATTATTTTTTTCCAAATTGTCCTTATTTAAAAATATTTTCTTTCTTTATCAAACATATTTACGACAACTACATACATGATTTTATTCACCTTTCTTTCACTTTCTCTTCTAATAAAAACTTGAAAAATCATTTCACTTTCTACTATTTTTTTCATTTACTTTCTTAAACCAAAAATAATTAATGTTATCAAGGAAATTAGTGTTGAGTAAAGAAATCCATGTCTGCCCAAACGATGAAATTAAAAACGTGATATGATCCACATGATCGTTATAAGATTAGCACATGAAACATTTGAGCGATGACTAACTTTGAAGGTTTCATACACATGATAGAAAGTGGGTAGCTATCATGTCAAACAATAACAATATTTTGTAGTCAAAATTAGTCGACAATGTTTTAAGTTTTTCCATCATTTGAAACTGAAAAATGTTGAAGAAGTAAGTTCTGAGATGCTTACCCCAACATGGAAGCAGAGTCTTCGACAACGCGAAGCGGAGCCTCATTGCCTATAGCGAAATTACGTATTTGAGGGACAACACCAATGATATAGCCACAAATCTGTCAAAAAAAATGAAACAATATAAACATATGCAATTTGGAGAATCACGGAAACTCACTTAATAACACTACTTGAGATAGTTTTATTCTCACTGTATTAAGCTGAATTAAATAATAAGTGACTGATAAACAGGGAAAACAAGAAAACAAATTGTTTCAAGGAAATGACTACTGTATCATACAGCTCCGAGTGTTGATGGCGTAAACATGGACTTCAAATTTAAGTTGCTTGAGATCATCCTAAACTGGTGCTTAATTTTACTTGGGAACGAAACCTGCTAAAAACACACACACACACATTATGTTCCTGCATTTCTTGTCATTAGACAGATGTAAAGCAACAATAACAGAGGAGTATATGACTTAAACTTTTTGTAATCAGCGATATACACATATGCATCATTTATTGATGGTGAATTTGGCAAATTCTCTTGCCTAAACAAGTGAATCAATCTTGAGATGAGATCTATAAAAGTGAATGGTAAAATTTAATATTTGGTGGGATTATGCATTCTGTATAGGAATTCAAATCATAAATAGTTTAATTAATATACTTAAACTACATGTTATTATGTTTCTAAATACACTTACAATTACACAGGCTGTTTATAATAGTATGTTGGTTAATATAAGTATTTTACAGAAGCTGTTCATTTCTGCTTGACTTATTAAAATGCAAGTTGCAAACTAATCAGAAATTTTAATCAGTTAATAATAGATTTTAAAAGGTAAGTTAGTAGGAATGAAGCCTCACTTTCTTCTCCGATTCTTCATCAGGAAGCAGAATGGTATATGCATCATCAATGGTTGTATTGTCTTCTTTTTGGACTCTACTTGAAGAAATCCGCATTATGTTGTAAACATATGACCATAGAAAAACTGCTCCAATCTAAAGTTACCCCCAATCCAAAAAATTAACATAGAATCAATTGTAGCAAAAACTAATTCTGGAGAACTGCTATGGTAGTACAGAAATCTAATTGTTTCATTACAACTACACGTCAATAATTTAATGAAATTGGGCCTACTAAGAGAGAGATTTTAAAATATATTAATACGAAATCCTTAAATTTCCAGGGTACCACAGAATTTCTTTCAAGTTTATTTTTTTCATGCGTAAGTGCATGTTATATCATCACCAGCACATGCACTTTCAAAATTAGCACTTTGCATACCGCCATAGAAAGTGAAGCATAAGCCATTCCATATTGATGGCAGAGATCAGGTTCTCCAAAAGGACTGCCTTTCTCGTTACATATAGCCGGAATAATGATCATAGGTAGGTTCCCTAGGTTTCCTGTTCATATGAATCTAAAAAATGAGGTCAACTATAAAATGCATCAAACAGAGAATGATGCAAAATTTGACGCTTTAATAAAAACAATACATTGAAAATGTAATGCATGCAGCAGACACCACAAAACTCATGCACAAGCAACTCCTATATAACATTAACACAATTTAGGATATTTCCTTTTATGGTTTATGCATTTGAGAGAATCTGCAGAGTTGACAGAGCTTAGAGTTGGACAGAACACAAAAAAACATAACCAATAGTCTGCAAGGGTAACGGTATTCATATATACATATTACATCCAAGAGTAAGATAGACAGAATATGAAGCTGCATTTTTCATCTTAATGACTTGAGATTGGATGTGGATCCTCTCCACTTGTAACTTGCAAGATGGTCTTGTTTGGGAAAGACCACAAATATACTCAACTAGAAACAATCCTACTTGAATCAATTAGAACAATTGTGGTCAACAAAGTTTACTAACTTAGTAAGCTGAGAAAAACAAATGGGAACCACCTAGATTCTGAGTCTTTCTCTCTTTGCCACACCTACCAATAGCTGGAAGGGGACTAGGAGCCTCAGGAATTTCTCAAATCTACTATAAAAGAAATGAATTCAAAGTGGGCGTTTACTATAGGTTATGCAGATTACAAATGTGGCTTCCAGCATTTATTTATTTGTGCAGAGGAGTTCGTACCAGCAGAACAACAACCCAAGATTAGACCTTCCATGTGTTTGGGAGGCCTTGTAATCTTAATCAAAATCCATCCCATGGCCGAGCCTAATATGAATGTGGCAAGAATATTCACCGGCATGAACCACCTACACGACAACAAAAGTATGTCACGGATGTTGTGAATTAACACCGAAAACGGATACTCAAACTACGCTCCTGGACATACAACATTAAAAATCAATACTCACAACTTAACAACACTCTCAAAGGTAATCGTTTTGGCCAGATTGCTACCCACCAGTGAGGGATTAAACACATAAAACACAAGCTGTCACAGAAGGAACACCGTTTTCAGCAAACTGCACAAGGAAAACAAAGAAAAAACGTTTTTTTTTTCTTCGAGTATTGTATAATTTGTATTTTTAACCTGATTCACTATCTTCCTTGCATCATCTCCCAATATTGATATGTCATCCAGTGCAAGAAACAAGCCAAGTGCAGTAATCAATAACACTTTGATAACGGGGAAAGAGGCAACAACAAACAGCTCTAGAAACCCCATTATACGAAACCTTCAAACGACCTATGCTAATATTGCTACAAGCAAATAAAAATATATCTTGTGCAACGAAACTACGATTCTTTAAAAAATTCAAAACTTAAGGTTTTTGTCCCATCCTCGTTCAATAAAAGATCTTAATCATGTCTTCACACGTTCATGAACGTGAAAGGGAGGAAGCGCAGAGAGAGCAGTTCCGTAACTAGACAAACGCTTCTAATAGACGAATAAAAAAATCATAGAAATGTGATCAGAGAAAATTATAAAGAAAGGGCGTTTAGATTTGGTTACGTGAGGAATATATAAACGAAACAAAACAAAAAATGTGGGTGAAGATGAGAATGGATGAAAATAATAACTCTTTATGATGTGTAGCCATAAAAAGTGCTATGCAAGCACTTCCGAATTACTCTTCTGAACAAAATTAGAGACGTAACAATGAACAGAGGAGAACTAAATATTGTTTAATTTTTTTAGGTTTAATCACTTGTTAATTACATTTTTCTCATTTGATTTTTAATCTTAAAATAATTATTTTAGCTTTTATGTAGATAATTATTAATTTCTTTTCATTCTTGGAATTATAATTCATTGTGCAAGGAATGGAAATGATTAAAAATTAGATGCACGATTAAAATGAATTATTTTTAAATATAAGGCTAAAAAATGATTTTTGTAATTATAAGTTTTTTTTAAATATTTATCAGTTTCTAATCCATTAATTACTAAATATTTTATATACCTTTGACTAATTATGAAATCCATTAATAAGATGTTTATTAATGAGAAGTATTTATTGATTTATTAAGAATATGAATGGTATTAAATATTATCACCGCTTATATTATTAATTTTATGGATATTTTAAAAATAAAATTGAAGTTTACGATATTTAAATTTAGACTAACGTACTTACTTTTTATGAGTATTGGTAATTTAAGTATTTGTTTTTCTCAAATATTACCTATCTATTACTAATTAATAGCAATCAAATATTATTTCCTTTTCATTTCTTTTAGATATGTGGTGGTGCAATTAAAATTTCAACTCACAACACTAAATTATTATTCTTCTTTATATTTATATATATATATATATATATATATATATATATATTATATTTCATGAAACTTCTACATTTTTTAACTTATTTATATGTTCATTTAATTTTTTCTTATAAATATTAAAATAAATTATCAAATATATTAAATAAATAAATATGTTATATTTTTTATATTATTTATTATATATTAATAATATTATTTTTGCAACAAAAAATTATTAATGAAGATCCCCCAATAAATATATACAAAGAGTCAATTATACTAAACTTTAATAATTTTTCACTTCTCTTACTAAAAGATTTTTTATTAAATAAAAATATATATCATAATAATATACTTAAATGTAGGATATAGATTAAAGTTAAAATATTTTTATTAAAATATTATTAAGTGAAGGAAAAGTAGTTAGTCTAAAAATAATAATTCTTTTAACATAAGTAATCTTAAATACTAATATTGCATTACATTGTAGTTGATACTAGGATGGATACATGTTAAATTTACATATATTTAAATATTAATTCATTTTATCTCTTTTAGTGAAAATATTATTTCAATTGTTTATTATTTAATTAAAATTTTACCTTCAATGATCTTGATATGACAAAAATATATTTTAAACATATTTATTTTAACAAAACTAATATCATTTAGTAAATTTATTAATTAATGTGAGCGAAAATAGTGTTGATGCATCATTATTACATAATTATTAGTTTTTCATAGTAGTTTATCTTGATTATTAATCATGAGCGACTAAATAGTATATTATCAATAAATAATAAATAAAGATAAAAAGATAGAAAAATATAAAAGGATGATAGATTAAATTTGTAAATATATAAATATATTTAATAATTATTAAGTTTGGGGAGTTAAAAATTATAAATGTTAATATAAGTTACCAAACTTTTAAGTTTTTGGGGACCAAAATTATAAATGCAAGTTATAAAACTTTCAGGAGGTTATTACCCCTCATTATGAGAAAGAACACATTTACACGTAAGGGTGTCAAAATAGATTTAACTTGATAGTCAACCCGAAAACCCTAAAAAATAGGTCAGATTATGCCCAAAAATTTATGACTTAAATAAAATTGAACAAATTTTGGCTTGATTTATTTAGGTTAGACCTAAATGAGTTTAGATCAGGCTCGTTCATAGGCTTATGAACTGACCCGCTTTATAAAATAATAATTATTTTACCAATAAAATAAAAGTAAAATTATTTTATTAGAAAATATATCTATAATAAATTAATTTGATAATATATTGTTATATATATATATATATATATAATTTAGAAAGAATAATAAAATCTAAACATAATTTTCATTTGCTTTTAAAGACCAATAATTTAAGTTGATATATTCTTAAATATAATATATTTTCAAAGTATCATGATGTGAAAGTTAGGCGGATACTAAGGCTAGCTTATTGAAGAAATGAAAATTTAACTCTAAAATTTACTAAGATATACTTAGATGCATTATTAGGCATGATCTTTAATTTAACTATGTTAAGTATGAGGGAGTTTCGGAGGTAAAAAAATTTTTGAATCTTGATTTTAAACCAATTACTAGAAACACTTCAATTACAAGTTTATAACGTGTATTTAACAAAAAAGAGATATGTTATATAATATTTCTGGAAAGAGATTTATAACATGTCTTTAAAAAGCTAAAAAATGTGTTACCTAATGTTTCTTTCAATATATGTTTGACTTGTGATATATGGACAATTATAACTCTTCAATGCTATATGATTATAAGAGTTCATTTTTATGATTTTATTTTATTTTGCTTGAATAGATTATATATGAGTTAATTTTAAACAAACAAATAAATGATATTTTTTTAAATAAAATTAAAAAAAATTATATAAATAAAAAATTATTTTTAATTAGGCAAAAAATGGTTAGTTAATTCATTGACCTAACATAGGACTATATTAGGAAAAAAAATAGCTTATTTTATAATACAAAACCATTAGATTTGTTCATATCTCCCATTTTGACAATGCTAAGAAAAATAAGATGCATGAGATAATAATAAAAAATAAAACAATATTTTTTTTTCATATACAAATATCTATTTTGCACTTTGTAGTATTTGTTTTAAGGGTTAGTAAATTATATACATGAAAATAAAAGTATATAAAAACTAGAACACAGGTAATTTTTTAAAATACATTTTTTATTTAGGTTTAATATCAAAACACTATATTATGGTAAAATTTGTCATTTATCAACTTACTAATTTGATAAAATTTTAAATGTAAAGTTTGAAGTAACTATGATAAAATTCACAATTTCTAATATATAAATATAATTTATTACCGGCATAAAAAAAATTACAATGTATTCTATTTATAATTTTTATGTTAACTAAAATTAATTAAGAATAATCAAACTTTTTAGTTTAATGAATTTCCTTTATATTTTATAATTTGATAAAATATTAATAACAAGAAAATTTATGAACTACAAATATAAAATATAAAATTTTGAGATAATTACTTAAAAGTATACTTGAAGTCATAAAAGAATAATAGGAATAATGAATTTAGAAAATCTTGTTCTCAAAGTGGGACTTTGTAGCCGCCAATGGCTTCCGTCTTGGAAGCAAATACCTATCTATTTCTTCAACCAAAATTATTAGCATTATTCATTACATTTTTCTCTCCTTGTTTCTTGTGCGAATCTATAGAGTTCAGATCTGACACGATTTTGGCTGCATAGAATTTTCGGTAGAAAATATACAAAATCAAAGAAAACGGAACTCAACCTGTTGATTTGGATTGAATACAACTTACAAGTATCAAATTTGATATGAACTTTGATGTAGGTGGTAGAATTTTAACAAAAAGTAAGCACGCAATTATGAATCTTTACCTAGACTTTGAAAGAAAGAGAAAAAAAAAATTAACGTGTGAATTTAAAAGTTCTTAACAAAATTTACATAAACATGAATGAACAAAATCATGAGACTAGCCACAGGAAGAAAGTTGACCAAAGAGTAACAGCAATTGACGCGAAAGCATATGTCCATAGCAAGATAACTGAACATTCACTTTCACCAGCTCCAAACAACTGAGCAATGGTGCCTGCAAAATTGTAATAGCGCTAAAACTTATGATATTTGCCGTGTAAGAAGAGTTGAAGCAAAAACAAAGTGTGAGTGATAACAGTACTTATGTTCATGGCTGGGGGAAGTGCATATTGAAGCAGAAGCACGAACTGATACAAAGAATCTGAATGCACCAAACTCAGATGTATGGCTGATTTCACAACTGCAACACCCAAAAGTGGCAGAAAGATGTATCTCACTGCCACAATCCCCACAACAGTCCACAGTGGAGTGCTTGATCCTTTCAAACCTGCCCCATGCATTTCCCCATAATTATTTTCTTTAAGCAAATCATCAAAATGAATCAATCATATATATATATATATATATATATATATATATATATATATATATATATATATATATATATATATATATATATATATATATATACTCCTTGAATACAAGTTTACCTTTAAGTAGGTTTGCACCCATTACCAGTGTGAGAGTAGGGATGGCTGCCTCACTGAGAAAAAATCGAAGTTAGATCTCTTCAATGGAAGACCCAAACAACATTGCAAACCCCGAAAACATTAATTACAACATTTACACACGCACATGCAAAAATATACATGAAATAAAAGTTTAAATAATCTAATTATGAATTATTATATATGTAGTAAAATTTTATAATTTTGCGTAATAATTTCTAGCTAATGATAACAAAACATATTTTTCGTTGAAAACTTTTCAGTGAAAAAAAATCAAATAATTTAAAATGAATATCATTATTTATTATTATTCCTTATTAATAGTTTGACTTAAAATGTTTTTTTTTCTCCTAAAATTTGTTGTTATCGATAATAACTTTATATATTTTTATTTCATACTATATATTAAAAAATAAAGAGAAAAAAATATCTATTTACTAAAAAAATAAGAGTCAAATTTATCATTTATTTTATAATAATATTGAGATGAATTATTATTTAAAAAATGAATAATAAAAATGAAGAATAAATATCTAAGAAAACATTAAAAATAATAATAATAGAAACAAAATCATTAGAAAAAAAATAGAGAACAATATTACCTAGACTTAGAATAATATTTCTTATTCCACCTGGTTGGAATAAAATTGTTTTAAAATCTTATGAAAAACATCTGAAGAAAAAAAATGATAGGAATAGTACTCCTTTACAGAAAAATTGTGTTAGATTTTCATTTAAAGATAACTTAAAAGAAATGTTTTAGGTTTCATGTCGATTGAGAAAATTAATTAAAAATTAAAGAAATGATATATTGACATTCTTCATTACAAATAACTTCCTAAACAACTTAATTTTAATATTATAATCTTTTTTAAACCTTTTTATTATTATATTAATAAAAATGGGTTGTAGAAAGAATGATCTGTGATGAAGAGTGCCAGTATATTGCCTCTCCAAAATTAAGGTGTTGAACTTTTGGGACGTGCACAGACATGATAATCAAGCGACTGTTCATCATTAGTAGCATCCCTAGGATGATGCATATGATTGCTACAGCATTTATTGTTATTGTTGTGGGTGACAAAGTGATGGTTATAACATTAAAAGATAGCATGAAACTTTTGACTAGCAAACTTTAATGTTTCAACTTTTTGAGACACGCCAATAAAAGGTGGTAGCTATCATGGCAAACAAAAACAAGTTTTTGGTTAAATCTTATCCTTTGGAAGCTGAAAAATGTAAAGAACTAAGTTCTGAGATTCGTACCCCAACATGGAAACAGATTCTTCGACCACATGAAGCGGAGCACTACTGCCTATAAGTAGATTGCGAAATGGGGAGATTAAACCAATGACAAATCCAGCAATCTGTGGAAAAACAGAAACAAAGACCAAATTTACCAAAAAGCATAATTATTGTTGTAAAAATATGGAGTAATGTACTGTTGTTAATGTGGCAATGCATGAGACCTTGTGAATTTTACCAAAGTATGCACCAAACAAATTCATGCATCCCTTGTTCTCACGTTCTAAAATTCTATGTTATTGAGTATGCACCAAATATAAGTGATTGGTAAACAGGGAAAACATGTTTCCAAGGAAAAGAACACCGAATCATACAGTTCCAAGGGTTGATGGCGCAAACATGACTTTCAAATTCAAGTTGCTTGAAATCACCCTCAAGCGGTTCTTAATCTTACTTGAGACTGAAACCTGGAAAAAACACCAACTCATTATTGTTATTTATGCATATGCATCATGGATTGGTAGTAAATTTGGTAAATTCTCTTGTATCAAGAAGTAGATCAATCATTGAAAGTAAACAAATTGCACTCATATATATTAATGCATTCAATTCAGTACAAGATACATATTATGTTACTAGAGATACTTGAAGGGCTAATTCTGTTGTCATGCTTCAGTTTGAAGAATGCTAAGATATTGTTTCCAATGAGATCCACTAAATTAAGAGTGTGCCTGGATGCTTTGTTAGGACTCACATAATAATCCTAATAATAAAGAATATGATGGAAATACAGCATTAAAGAGTATCTTGCTACTAAAATTCTTCTTAACTTCGTAAATGCAATTGAAGCAATATCTGTAAAGGGAAGTCATTAAGAAAATTTAATCATTAAATATAGCTATCTTTTGAAAAGGGAAGTTTGTAGCAAGCCTCACTTTCTCCTCTGATTCTGCGTCAGGAAGCAGTAAGGTATATGCATCATCCATGGTGTCTTTTGTAGGAGTAAGTGTTTCCGAAAACTTGTGTGGATGTGACTCTGATGTGTCCCCTGAAGCCTTCAATATACCGCTTCCATTGCTTGTACCGTCTTCTTTTTGGATTCTACTTGCGGAAATCCTCATTATGTTGTAAACATATGACCATATAAAAATTGCTCCAATCTGAAGTTCCCAAATGAACACCAACAAGAAAAATAAACATAGAATCAATTATAGCCAATTAAGTGCACACTATATCAGCAATTAACATCTTACATACCGCCATAGAAAGTGAAGCATAAGCCATCCCATATTCATAGCAGACATCAGAGTCTCCAAAAGGACTACCACTCTCTTGACATATAGCAGGAATAATGATTATAGGCAAGTTCCCCAAATTTCCTGTTCATATTAATCTAAAAAATGAGCTCAACCATAAGATGCATAATGCAGAGAATGGTGCACAATTTTGACACATTATTAAAATTATAAACAATACATCGCAAACGTAATGCAGGCATTAGATGTTTTATAGTTTAAGTAGAATTTGTGGGTACAATAAGCACATGACTCTCATCAGTCAGGATTTTGGGTGGCATAAACCTCAGTAACATCGTTTGATAGGATAATAATTCTTTTTCATATTTTAGAATCTGCAGAAAAGTAAAGAGAAAACCTAGACTTAATACAGAGGACAAAAAGGCCGAATCAATAGAAATCTTCAGGAGATAAGTTGATTCGAAAAGTAAGTTAGACAGACTATTAAGCAACATTTTCATCTTCAAGACTTGGATTAGATGTGGATCCTCTTCATTTGCAGGATGTGCAAGGAGAGAAAGACAAATGGGTCCCACTACACATATTCACATTTTTCAATTTGTGAATAAAGATCTTGCAGAACTAAAACTGTGTCTCAACTAAGTTATGAAGAACTGCAGGATTAGACCTTCCATTTGTGCTGAGAAAGAGGTGCATACCAGCAGAACAGCAACCCAGGATTAGACCTTCCATTTGTTTGGGAGGCCTTGTCATCTTGATCAAAATCCATCCCAAGGCCGAGCCCAGTAAGAATGTGCTAAGAATATTGAACGGCATGAACCACCTAAATCACAGCAACAAAATGTCACAAAAGCAGAATTTACCGGATGCTACCTCCTTCACTCATAACATCAGAAATCAATACTCACATCTGAACAACACTCTCGAAGGTAATCGTTTTGGCCAGCTTGGTACTCACCAATGATGGATTAAACACATAAAACACAAGCTGTCACAGAATCAGCACCGTTTTCAATAATCTGCACAAGGGAAAAAGTAAAACAAAACAAAAATGTTTTTCGACTACTGTGTAATTTGTATTTGTAACCTGATTCACTATCTTCCTTGCATCATCTCCCAATATTGATATGTTATCCAGCGCAAGAAACAAGCCAAGAGCAGTAACCAGTAACACTTTGATCACCGGGAAAGAGGCTACAGAAAGTAGCTGAAGAAACCCCATTACACCAAATCTTCAAACTACCTACGGCAGGTGTTTGTCTAACAAAAATATATATCTGCAAAAGTACAAAAAACTGAGATACAGAGGTCACTCTCAAAAATTCACAATACTACTGATAAAAAAATAGGGAAGCAAAACACGCATTGAATGCAAAAAATTATTTTCTCCACCCTCGTAGGACAAGAAGACATTGACAATGACCGAACGCGTTCATGAACGTGAGTGAAAGTGGAGAAGAGCAACTCTTCTATTGTAAAACAATACGCATTGCGTACACGAAAAAAAATCGATCAATATTACAATATAGAAGTCACAAATAAACAGCGATTTTTTATTTGTTCACGTGACCTTCGTAAACAAAAACCATCAACATGATATTAAATTAATATGGGTCAGCTATATTACGTTAATAACTAGTCACCATAAAAGGTGCTAGCTACCACTTTCAAACCACTCTTTTTGATTAAAATAAGAAGCACAGATACTGATCTAACGTTAATCAGAATAAAATATACTTAGTTACAAAAAAGAAGCTTAATTTATGCTTAACCAATAAGAAGCTTGGCCATTTTTTCTCCTTCTAGATACAGGGTGGTGCGATTAAGTTCTGGACCACCAATGATAACACGGTACTGACCAATCACAACATTAGTTGATGCAACGTTTGATGCATCAACACGAACAAAAAAATAATGCATACCTTTTGTTAATATCTCAAATTGCAGGCTATAAAAAGGATTGAGATATTCCTCTTTATCTTGCTGAGTTCATGGTCATAGTCAATTGAAGGAAGGAGTAAAAAAGAAGAAGAAACTAGCAATGGTAACCAGTCTCGAGAAGGAACATTGCATTACATCATGATGAAGCATGGAGTTTATATGAAGACATTAAACTGTTTACAAAAGAAATTCCAACACCATGAGATAATAATCAAAAGGGTAATACCTTTTTTCATATACAAATTGGTCTTTGTACTTTACCAAATTGTTTCCACTGTTGAGTTGGCTTTATCATAAAGGACGGGTGTTTGGGAACTGGATCAAACTCTTTTTTGTTAACTTTTAGTTTGATATACTATTATGGCAAAAGAAAAATGATATTTTTTATTTATATTTTTTTATAAGAGCAATGTCTTCTTTCATAATTTTCCTTCAAACCTTGTATCCTTAAGATAATAAATCTTATTTCTAACAACTTTATGATCATAAAATTTGCTAACAATAAAATAAATAATTAGCCAAACGGCATTGCCCCGTTAATTGTGGAATTGATTTTACTCTAATCAATGATTAGGTTTCACCCGAGGATGTGGAAAATCATTTGCTTTAGCTTAACAATCAGTCGCGCACTTTGACTTTGCATTTGCTTCTTTTAGAAGTTTGAGAAGGGAATTGAAAACACTGCAGACAACTTGATTTTTTCTTTGACGAAACAAAATTTACATTAAAAATTACAAGAGAAGAATTGTAGTAACAAACAAAACATGGACGGAGCCACCACGTTGTTGTGGGGTGTTATGCTCTGTATGAGTGTTCAACTTTTGTTGTAACAACAAAAACGTGTTATATATCTAATAACTCTTCTTTTATTCAATTCAACGCGTGCCAACAACCAACACCAGGCAACCACTAGTCAAACAATTTACACCAACGCCTCCTTCTTCCGCCGTAACATTGCTCTCACCAATCATCTCCACAACTTCTATCTTTCTAACGACACGTGGAAGACTAAACTCTTTAGCATGTTCAAAAATAATAATTTGAGTACAAATTTACTATTTTATTCACTTTTTTTTTTTCTTAAAACTTGTTGAAGAATTAAAACATATTAAATGATATTTCCTATACAAAAAATATATAAAAAACTGAGACCATAAATAATAAGAGGTCAGTATCTTATCTGGATTGATGTACAAGTAGTAGTACTATAATTGACACGTACTTAAAAGGTCATAAATATGATAAAATGAAAAAAAAAGAAAGAAAAAAAGAATCGTACTAGATTGGAACTCATGATTTGGAGAGTTACAACGTGACACACGACATGTAGATGTCAATCATTCTTCTGTATTAACAAATCATATTTAGAATAATATATTACCTATCAGTTATGTTTTTGTTTTTATATAAAAGAAAGAAAGAAACATTTTATTAACTACTATAACATTTTTATATTGAAATTCTATAATGAAAAGATAGAAAATTTACAATCATGTGATGTCAACTCTTTTTTAGTCATATTATCAAGAAAAAATAAATAGATATCTTGCAAATTTCATACAAATTATTATATAATAATAAAAAATAATATCTTATTATACACATTGAATTTTTGTTCTTTAGTATAACCATAATTATTCAGACTTTACAACATTCTATAATTGCTCTCATTAATTTCCAATGGAATTGATTCAAATTAATTAAACTATGTCATGGTTTCTTCTGAAAACACATTAAACAAACATATGATTAATTAAAACCATTTGCCATACTATATATTTAAGTAAAGTAAACATAGTCACTGCTTACGATATATACATTTTCTTTTTTATTTTCTTAACGGCATTTCATTGGTTTAACTTTACTTGTATTGTTCACCTTAAAACTTTTTAAAATTTATGTGGATTAAGAGCAGTCATATTATTTGTAAGAATACATATTAAAAATGTAAACAAGAGTTTGAAGTTTGATATAAAAAGCTGAGTAAATGATAAGTGAAAAAAAATCTAATATCTTAAAATGTGAACTTTTTTTATATAATTAACTTATATCTTATTTATAAAAATCTCTATTATTAATCTTCTAAAAATATTTAATTAAAGTATATTTTTAGGGTTTAGGGTTTAATTATTTTGTAATTAATTTTAAAAAACTATATTTTTGATCAATTAAAATAATTGTTAACTATTATACAAGTCAATATATATTTATTTTAATGGTAAATCGTAATTGAATAATTTATTAAAAAAGTTATACTATTACGTATAAAGTTTTCAAATGGATTGGGTTAACCTAATTCGGCCCACTCAAAAGAATTTATCATATTAGTCTCGTATTTCAAAATGTTTATTTTCTAGGTCTAATTTTATCTCTATTAAATTGACACTAAAGCAGTCATTTTGACATATTTTTTTAACAAATAAAGTTAATTTAAAATTAAATATAATTTTAAAATATAAGATATATTATTAAAAGTAATTTTAATTTTAACTATAATAATTTAATATGTAAATATGTTTACGGCGTACATCTATATTTATTTTTAAACCTTTTTTAATATAGTTATTATTAGGTGGATCGACCTATAAAATGTCTAGTGTAATTTGATTTAAACCTATTTAAATTATTGTAAAATGGGCAAAGTAAAATCCAATTTAGATCAAAATGTTTTGATTTACTCTGATCTATTTTTTTTTTTTTTATAATCCTAACCACATATATTTATTTTATGAAGGCTCTACATTTTTATTTTAGATATATATGGATATGAATAATATAACTAAACTTATTTGTAACATTCTGTATTTTATATTTTTATATTTATCTATTATATATTTTAATGTTTTTACTTATTTTGTATTTTAATATCTTAAAATTTAATTTATTATATTATCATTCTTAGTAATATAAAAAAATTTCAATATTTATAATTTTAGTAATTAATTTTTAAAATAAATTATAAAAAAATTATTTAATAGTTGTAGGTTAAAAATTATTTAAAAAATATATATAACTGTGAACGTTAAAAAATATATATAACTGTGAACGTTAAAAAATAATTTAAATTGTAATTAAAAATCAACTTTTAGTACAAATAATTTTTTTATTTCATAATTTATTAATAAAATAATATCTATTCATAGTTTTATATATTTCTTATCAATTTTATTATTTAATGAAAAAACTAAATATAACTCAAAGTTATGATAATTGATTTAACGTAATTAATTACACTACATATATTCATATCTAAATGAATTACTTAAAATTTTATATAAAATTAAATCATAATATTTTAAATAAATTTTAATATAATGTTTTTATAATATTATACTAATCAGATCTAAAAGGCTAATACTTATAAGGAAATTTTAATTTAAAAATATTTTTAACATACTTGTAAACTATTTAACCATGTTCCTCCTTCTCTAACATGTTTATTTTAAATTATTAGAGATAGAAGTGTCTATGAATACCTATATACGTAACATCAACATCTTATGTTAAAATGTAACAATTATGAGATGAAAAACTCACATTCTTACAAAATTAGTCAGACAAAACATGAAATTAACACAATCCCAACTTACATTTGATATATAAAACAATTACATAACAAACTCAACATTTTATGTCACATAAAATTTATGATATAACATAAATTTATAATTTTCATTATATTCTATATATATATATATATATATATATATATATATATATAATAAAAATCAGAGAAAGATGATAAACTTAAATAAATCATTAGATGATCATATCCTCTAAGTTATCTATGTTGGTTGGTATTTAGATGAATTTCTATTAATAAAAAAAAAAGTTATAACTTTATAGAAGACTATAAGAAAAACTATTACTGGACATGATATTTTTTCTCACCAATACCACTCCATCTTTGGGTGCAATACACAGTTCCCTCTTTTGGGTGTGACACACAGTTCTCACTGATATATCATCTCTCTTCATAGGACACTCAGTTTTTTACATTACTTTCCTAATTTGAACTCAATTATTGCCGTACTTTTTCTCTCAGTTTGTTTTGTCGTATCAAGGAAGATATTTTATACAAATAAAGCAAAAGCAATGTTTTGTCTTCCTTTATTATCTTCTCTTTTCTTCATCTTTTTTCTACTCTTTTTTTTCACTTTTTCCACAAGAATTATTGTATTTTCAAGGATGATATTTTCCAAATTATAAATGCTAATAATGGGCATGTTTTGTTTAATTTTTTTAGGACAATAATAACATATTATGTTTAGGTAAACTTATTTAAAAAAAAAAAGTTTTCAACTTTGTTTTTGAAAAGTAAATTTAGGTTGTTTCTCATAAAAATCAGATACAACTAAAGAGAAGTAGCCTTCTCTTGTGTGATATACACACAGATTTCCAACAAATCAATTCTTACTTTCTTGATTGATATTCTTTTTAAAAGAAATCATGTGTCAACTCACAAAATCTAATACAGATAATAGATAGTTGGGTTATTGAAGTACTGTGATAAATATTCACACCATGCTTCAATTGAGAACATTATCTCCAATATTGCAGGCCATGTCAGTGAAAGTGTAGGGAGACACATTTGTGTTCTTCAATTTCACTCGAAGATTTTAGCTTCCTCCATTTCCATGAAAAGTTCGCTACCACAGTCCATAGATAGCTGATAGGTTCTGTTATATGAAGTTTTTTCTTTATTCATACATAGTATCTGTCATTCAAAGATATTTTATGTCTCGTATATTGTTTAACAAGTTCTATTGCTATTTTTATTAGCACACAAACAAGTTACTAAGATTTTTTGTTTTCTTTTTCCTTGTTATGTTTGCAGTAAAATACAACATGAGCAAAGTTTTGCTTCTTGTCCTTCTCATCTTCTGCAGTGGCTTTCCCTCAAAAGGAACCAGGTCTGCTTCTACAAGACCGAGTTCTGTTAACATTGGGGCAATTTTATCTTTCAACTCTACAATTGGTAGAGTATCCAAAGTTGCCATCCAAGCTGCAGTGGACGATATAAATTCTAGTGCAACGATTCTCAATGGAACTAAGCTTAAGATTTCAATGCTGGACACCAAATTATCCCCTGGACTCCTAGGAATCATTGATTGTACGTCCTTTTCAAACACATCCCAGTTTTCCATTTCACTATTTTGCTCATTTTCCTCACAGAAGCATATTTCTTAGTCGACCTTGTTGTTTTTTTATTACAGCATTTCTGTTGATGCAGAGTGAAACTGCAGCCATAATTGGTCCCCACTACTCAGTAACTGCACATGTGATTTCACACATAGCAAATGAGATGCAAGTGCCCCTACTTTCATTGGCAACAGACCCTACACTGACTTCACTGCAGTTTCCATATTTTGTTAGGACAACACAGAGTGATATGTACCAGATGGCTGTTGTGGCAGAAATTGTTGATCACTTTCAATGGAGAGATGTCATAGCCATTTACGCTGATGATGATCATGGAAGAAGTGGTATAGCAGCCTTAGGGGATAGGCTAGCAGAGAAACGTTGCAAAATATCATATAAAGTACCCTTTAGGCCAGATAATATAACCCGGGAAGAAATAAATAGTGCATTAGTTAAGGTAGCTTTAATGGAGTCTAGGGTAATAGTCATTCACTTATACACTTCTTCTGGTCTAGAAGTACTTCATCATGCGGCTGGGTCTCTTGGCATGATGAGAAGTGGTTATGTGTGGATAGCCACAGATTGGCTTTCTACAGTACTAGATTCAGACCCATCCTTGTCAACATCTCCAGCCATGAATGACATCCAAGGTGTCATCACCTTGCGCATGCATACCCCAGAATCAGATATCAAAAGAAAATTTATTTCTAGGTGGAACAAACTGAGCCGAACAGATGATCCTAATCAGAACTTTTTTGGGTTAAATGTCGTTGGTCTTTACGCCTATGACACGGTTTGGGTGCTTGCGTCTGCACTCGATTCATTTTTTAAGATGGGGGAACTTTGTCATTTTCAAATGATTCAAGTCCAAACATGTCAAGAGGGGGCACCCTTAATCTTGATACCATGGGGGTCTTTGTTTATGGTGACATATTGCGTCAAAAAATTGTAGAGGTTAACAGAACTGGTTTATCAGGTCAAATGGTGTTTAGTCCGGATGGAAACTTAGCGCATCCATCATATGAAATCATCAATGTGATAGGCACTGGAATTAGGAGGATTGGTTATTGGTCTGAAACCTCTGGCCTCCATACTGGGGAAGATCCCAATCCCTCAAATTCTAGTAAGGGACTGTATGGGGTCATTTGGCCAGGTCAAACAATCCAAACCCCACGTGGATGGGTTTTTTCCAGCAATGGAAGATACTTAAGAGTTGGGGTGCCACTTAGAATTGGTGGCGCTGAGTTTGTGTCAAGAATTGAGGGAACTGAGATGTTTGGTGGTTATTGCATAGATGTGTTTACTGCTGCTCTCCACTTGTTGCCTTATCCGGTACCATTCAAGTTCATTCCATTTGGTGATGGTAAAACTTACACGATAAACTCAGATCTTCTTCACATGATAACAATTGGTGTGAGTATCAAGTTTTCATAATCTATCTACATTTTCTGAATCTGCTTCTTTTTTTGTTCTAATACTTGCATGGAAATTGCTTATTCTATGCGCAGGTCTTCGATGCTGTGGTGGGAGACATTACTATCACTACTAACCGAACTAAGATAGTGGACTTTACACAGCCTTATATTGAGTCTGGTCTAGTTGTTGTGGCACCTATCAAGAAGTTGAAATCCACTGCTTGGGCTTTCCTAAGACCATTCACTCCAATGATGTGGTTTGTGACTGGAATGTTTTTCTTGGTGGTGGGAGTTGTTGTGTGGATTTTAGAGCGTCGCATGAATGATGACTTTAGAGGCCCCGCTAGAAGACAGTTTGTCACCATTATTTGGTAATTAAGTGACAAGGCTATTTTAAAATATGGTGTTGAGTGGTACATATGATTACTGGCATACTTACAATTTACTGACGTGAAGATCATTTACGCCTGCAGGTTTAGCTTTTCAACTCTATTTTTTGCACATAGTAAGTGATTTCAGTTATCCTTCCTCTCTTTTTAACTCTATTACCATACAATAACGAATCCATGGCTGTGTAGATTTAAGTCTTACATCCAGGAAAAAAAAAAAAAAAACTTCTATGCAGGAGAAAAAACTGTGAGCACCCTTGGTCGCTTAGTGCTGATCATATGGTTGTTTGTGGTTTTGATAATCAACTCAAGCTATATTGCAAGTCTCACCTCCATCCTCACTGTAGAGCAACTCTCTTCACCGGTTAAAGGAATTGAAAGCTTACTAATAAGCAATGATCGCGGTTTCCGGAGAGGTTCATTTGCTGAGAATTATCTGACCGAGGAGCTCAACGTGCACAAGTCTAGGCTTGTTCCTATCAGTTCACCATCAGAATGTGAAAAAGCCTTGAAGGATGGACCAGCAAATGGTGGTATTGCTGCAATAATAGATGAACGTGCATATATGGAGCTCTTCCTGTCCACCAGATGTGAATTTGGTATCGTTGGTCAGGAGTTCACCAAGATGGGATGGGGTTTTGTGAGTACATATATCCACTTCTCTTCTGTTCATCTCAGCAAAAAATTCATCATTCAAAGTATTAAGATAGGTGGTTGAATAATTCTATAAATATTCTTTTTCTGTAATAAAAAAAAGTATCGTTGATAGCTCATTCTCTCTCTCCAAGTCTTGTCCATAAGACCCATTTGAATCACACACACTGTTATGATATTTACTTACAATAACAACATGGCTTGAACATGTTTTGAATGTAACATATACAGGGCTTCCCAAGGGAATCTCCTCTAGCAATTGATATGTCAACTGCCATCCTTAAACTATCAGAAAACGGTGACCTCCAGAGAATTCATGATAAATGGCTAACAAGAAGTGCCTGCAGTTCAGAGGGTGCAAAACAAGAGATAGACAGACTTGAGCTAAAAAGCTTTTGGGGTCTCTTCCTACTTAGTGGCACGGTATGCTTCATTGCTCTCTTTTGTTATGTTATTAGAATGGTTTACCATTTCAGCAGGCACTCCAACAATAACCTTGAGGGCTCATCTCACTCTGCTCGTTTTCTATTGTTCCTTTCCTTTGTTAATGAAAAAGAAAGGAAAGACGCAAAAGGAGAAGTGATCTTGTAGAAATAGTAGTGCATGAAGGTGGATCTTTGGATGACTCAACTGTTCTGTCTACATAGAATATAATATAATAAGCCTTGTAAGTTGTAATTTAAAATTAAAGTACTTAATAATGCCAAATGTTGGTGTTTGAAAAGTAAAAAAAAAAAAAAAGTGGCATGTGGTTGGAGAAAAAAAATAGAAAGTCTTAAATGCACAATAATCATTCCTTTTGCTATAAAATGTTTTTTCATTTCACTAATTTATATCGTCCAATTCCAAAGCAACTATTACAAGAGATAGCAAGCAAGAAACAGAAAGAAAATAATCTAGCTTTTGGGTGTAATTAGGTTGAGGGTTGCGAGTGTTTTGAGAGTGCTTTGTAAACACCTGTGTATTTTCTTTTCTTCCAGTAAAATATTTGCAGTAGTCCGGAGACGTAGACAATTTTGGCCGAACTCCGTTATCAATTGGTGTGTCCAATTATTCCGTCTTTATTTCCTTTTTATTTCACTTTCACAGATATGACTACATGGAAAAGTTCTGTGTATTTTTCCTAACAACTGGTATCAGAACTGGTTGTTAACTCTGCAATTTTTGTGGTGACATTATTCATATGAATAGTGAATTTATCATTCCGTGAATAGTAAAACGTGAATAGTAAAAAAATTTTCGGTGCTACAAAATTATCTAGAGACGTATTCCGAAACACGGTAGTTCACAAAAATTGTCAGAAACGATCCACAAAAGTCAGGTCCGAGTTGGAGTGATGACTGCAGATGAAGGAAAGGTGAAAATCAAGAAGTTCGATGGTGCAGACTTTGGGTTCTGGAAGATGCAGATCGAGGATTACCTGTATCAGAAGGATATGTACGAACCACTCACAGGAAAGAAACCAGAGGGTATGAAAGAGGAGGAATGGACTCTTCTCGACAGAAAGGCCCTTGGAGCCATTCGACTGACGTTATCCCGTAATGTTGCCTTTAACATTGCAAAAGAAAATACGACAGCAGGTCTTATGGATACTCTTTTCAGTATGTACGAGAAACCATCAGCCTCAAACAAAGTTCATTTGATGAGGCAGTTGTTCAATCTACGGATGTCTGAAGGCGCTTCAATGGCGCAACATATCAATGAACTCAATACTGTTACAACTCAGTTGAGTTCAGTTGGGATCGAGTTCGATGATGAAGTACAAGCTTTGATACTTTTGTCTTCTCTACCAGAAAGTTGGAATGCTACTGTCACAGTTGTGAGTAGCTCATCGGGAAGCAATAAGTTAAAATTTGATGATATTCGTAATTTGGTTCTCAGTGAAGAGATCTGGCGGAGGGAGTTGGGTGAATCATCAACCTCTTCAGTATTGCATACAGAGTCAAGAGGAAGAAGTTCAACCAAAGAAAGCGGACGCGAAAAATCAAAGGACAAACGATCCAAGTCCGGAAATCATCATAGTTCCCAAAACTCGAAGCAAATCGAGTGTTGGAATTGTGGGAAGACCAGGCATTACAAAAATCAGTGCAAGAATGCACGAAAGAATCACGAAGCGAAGGACGAGGCAAACGTTGCATCTACCTCAGGGAAAGATGATGTGTTGATATGCTCTTTAGAAAGCAAGGAGGAGTCTTGGGTGTTAGACTCTGGAGCATCTTTCCATGCTACCTCACAAAAGCAACTGTTCGAGAATTATGTTCCTGGAAATCTTGGTAAAGTTTACCTTGGTAATGAGCAATCGTGTGAGATTGTAGGTAAAGGTACAGTAAAGATTAAGTTGAACGGGTTTGTATGGGAATTGAAAAATGTCAGACATATTCCCGACCTGACGAAGAACTTAATCTCGGTGAGTCAGTTAGCCAGTAAATGTTACACAACAATCTTCCACGGTGATGATTGGAAGATCTCAAAGGGAGCGATGACAATTGCTCGAGGCAAAAAGAGTGGTATTCTTTACAAGACTGCAGGAGCATGCCATTTGATTGCAGTTGCAGCAAATGAAAATCCCAATCTATGGCATCAAAGACTTGGGCATATGAGTGAGAAAGGGATGAAGATCATGCACTCAAAAGGAAAACTACCAGGTCTTCAGTCAGTAGAAATTGACATGTGTGAAGACTGCATACTTGGAAAGCAGAAGAGAGTTAGCTTTCAGACAAATAGAAGAATTCCAAAGAAAGAGAGACTTGAGCTTGGCCACTATGATGTTTGGGGTCCAACGACTGTCCCTTCCGTTGATGGGAAGCAATACTTCATGACGTTTATCGATGATCACTCCAGAAAGGTATGAGTTTACTTTCTGAAACACAAGTCAGAAGTATTTGAAGCTTTCAAGATTTGGAAAGCTATGGTAGAAAATGAAACAGGATTGAAGATTAAGAAGTTCAGATCCGACAATAGTGGTGAATATGTAGACACCAGATTCAAGAAGATTTGCTATGAGCACGGAATCAGAATGGAGAGGACCGTGCCTGGTACGCCTCAACACAATGGTGTAGCTGAGCGTATGAATCGAACGTTGACTGAAAGAGCCAGAAGCTTGCGTGTACAGTCAAGCTTACCAAAGCAGTTCTGGGCAGAAGTAGTCAACACAGCAGCTTACTTGATCAACCGAAGTCCATCGGTACCATTGGAGCACGAAATACCAGAAGAGGTATGGAGCGGAAAAGAGGTAAAACTCTCACATCTTAGAGTTTTCAGTTGTGTAGCATATGTTCATATCAGTGATCAAGGTAGAAACAAACTTGACCCAAAATCAAAGAAGTGCACTTTCATTGGTTATGGTGAAGATGAGTATGGCTACCGCATATGGGATGATGAAAACAAAAAGATGATCCGCAGCAAAGATGTAATCTTCAATGAAAGAGTGTTGTACAAGGACATGCATAAAATAGGTATTAGCAATTCAGAATCGAGTGGGCCAGTTTTTGCAAAAGTGGAAGATGTCCTAGAAAATCCTATAGTGAGGAGTCCTCAGTCAGAGGAATCAATTGAAGAAGGTGATGTGCAACCATAACCTCTTACTCCAACTCCTGTATTGAGAAGGTCCTTTAGACCTCATGTGCCAAATAGGAGATACATGGACTACATGTTGCTGACTAATGGATGGAAGCCCGAAGATTATATAGAAGCTTGTCAAACCACAGATGCTAACAAGTGGGAGCTTGCCATGAAAGAAGAGATGAAGTCTCTGATCTCCAATCAGACATGGGAACTAGTCAAGTTACCCATGGGGAAGAAAGCACTTCACAACAAATGGGTGTATCGGGTGAAGGAAGACCATGACGGTTCCAAGAGATACAAAGTCCGACTAGTTGTCAAAGGATTTCAGCAGAAAGAAGGAGTTGACTACACTGAAATCTTTGCTCCAGTCGTAAAGCTCAATGCTATCAGAACAGTGTTAAGTATTGTGGCTAGTGAAGAGCTCTACCTAGAGCAATTAAATGTGAAGACTGCATTTCTCCACGGAGACTTAGATGAGGAGATCTACATGCACCAACCTGAAGGATTTTCAGAAGGAAAGAAGGATATGGTGTGTAAATTGAAGAAGAGCTTGTACAGTCTGAAACAAGCTCCAAGACAGTGGTACAGGAAGTTTGAAAGCTTCATGCACAAGGAAGGTTTCTAGAAGTGCAATGTCAATCACTGTTGTTTCTTCAAGAGGTATAAGTCCAGCTATATCATATTGCTACTTTATGTTGATGACATGTTAGTAGCAGGTTCAAATATGAGGGATATCAGAAATTTAAAGATGCAGTTGTCAAAGGAATTTGACATGAAGGACTTAGGACCAACAAAGAAGATTCTTGGAATGCAAATCACGAGAGATAAGCAAAAAGGAGTTTTGTAGTTATCTCAAGAGGAGTACATCAATCGTGTTTTGCAAAGATTTAACATGGACAAGGTCAAACCAGTCAATACACCTTTGGCCAATCATTTTCGTCTATCCAAGGATCAATCTCCTCAAACAAAGGAAGAAGAAGAAATTATGGCTAAGGTTCTGTATGCTTCAACCATTGGAAGTTTGATGTACGCAATGGTCTGTACAAGGTCAGACATTGGTCATGCAATGGGAGTTTTATGGCAAATCCAGGAAAGGCTCACTGGGAAGCCGTCAAGTGGATTCTAAGATATCTACGAGGAACAACAAAAAATGTCTGTGTTTTGGAAAAGGAAATCTAAGATTACAGGGTTACGTAGATGCAGACTTTGGAAGTGAAGTTGATCACCGAAGAAGCATCACCGGTTATGTTTTCACGGTTGGTACTACAGCTGTTAGTTGGATGTCGCGGATACAAAAAATTGTTGTTTTATCCACTACAGAGGCTGAGTATGTAGCAGTGACAGAAGCCAGTAAAGAATTGATATGACTTCAAGGACTGTTAGCAGAGCTGAGATTCACTCAAGAAGGGAGTGTTTTGCATAGTGATAGTCAGAGTGCAATACATCTGGCAAAGAATTCAACATTTCACTCCAGAACCAATCACATTGATATTCGTTATCATTTCATCAGATCTCTACTTGAGGATGAGGTGTTAACATTGAAGAAGATTGTAGGAAGCAAGAACCCAGCAGATATGCTAACGAAGGTGGTGACCATTGACAAAGTGAAGTTGTGCTCAACTTCAGTTAGCTTGCAAGAGTAGCAGACTAGAGAAGACTACTGCATTAATCAAGGTGTGAGGACAGATTAAAATCAGTCCTCAAGTGGGAGATTGTTGGTGTTTGAAAAGTAAAAAAAAAAAAAAGTGGCAAGTGGTTGGTTGGCAAGTGGTTGGTTGGCAAATGGTTGGAGACAAGAAAAAAATGGAAAGCCTTAAATGCACAAAAATCATTCCTTTTGCTATAAAATGTTCTTTCACTTCACTCATTTCTATCATCCAATTCCAAAGCAACCATTACAAGAGGTACCCAGCAAGAAGCAGAAAGAAAATAATTTAGTTTCTGGGTATAATTGGGTTGAGGGTTGCGAGTGTTTTGAGAGTGCTTTGTAAACACTTGTATATTTTCTTTTCTCCTAGTAAAATATCTGCAGTAGTCCGGAGACGTAGGCAATTTTGACCGAACTCCGTTATCAATTAGTGTGTCCAATTATTCCGTTTTTATTTTGTTTTTATTTCATTTTCACATATTTGAGTACATGAAAAAGTTATGTGTATTTTTCGTGACACCAAATATGTTTATAATCATCACTACATTACGCATGTATATTTTATGGAACATATGCAGACAATAAATAACAAATTTCTTTTGCATATTGTGTAAGTTTCTTGTCTCTGAATATCCACTACTTTGTAATTGTATCAGAGTTCTTACTAAAGGTATGTTGAACTGTTTATTAAACCTTTGTAGGGAATCAAACCCTTCTCACCATGGATCAAACACCTTCATATTTATTCGATCCAGTGGAAATTCATCATCTATTTTCGCCGCGTCCATTCTGACCGGGAACAATTATCACTCATGTTCGTTGTTAGAATGACTTTCATCTCCAAAAATAAAATAGGTTTTCTAATGGGTTCAATCTTTATATGGGATCTTGTTGACGCACTGTACCCTACTTGGGAGTGCTGCAACGCAGTCATTATATCTTGAGTTTTCAACTCCCAATTTCAATAACAAAATAAAATTAAAGTTAAATATTAAAATTTTGAGGGGAACCATGATTCGATCCCCCATAGTTTCAACCACTTGGGCAACCATAATACCTAGGACGATCTCGATAACACAGTTGTGCAACTAGGTCTATGAACAATGCACAAAGAGAAGACTATGAGAGCACTAAATTAAAAACTCAATCCTTGTATGCTCAACATTAAAAAACTCAAGATAACTCCATCCCAACATTAAAAAAAAAAACTCAATCCTAATATCATTTCAATATTTCATATGTTCCACCAGATGGATCCTTGTTTACTTTAGACCCAAACTTCATTAATATTCAAATTTTAAATATTTCAACCAATTGTTCTAATAATTTGTTAAACACTTCTTGGATCATTGATTCAATAGCATCTGAACGTATATGCTCTTATTTAAATCATTTTTAAACTTATTCTAAAATAAAGGTCATTAAAATTACAGGTATGGGAATTAGTTTTCCATTGTGTTACAGCTATTATATAAAATAAATATTTAAGATTTGATTTTGCTTTTGTAGGTGTGTAGTGTATGAAATTAAATTATATTTTATTTTGGGTTGGCACTGTAATAAGAACGAGACACCAAAAAAGATATTTATTTGTAGAAGACCACCAGAAATTAAATGAAATTTAACAAATGTCAATTCCAATCAACTTTTCTTTTATTGAGTAACCCCATTGTGTTTTAATAATAATTTTCTCACTTGATTTCATTTTGTTAACTAGTTTAAAAACTTGAGTGATGAAAAAAAAAAAGGAATTATTTTAGTCAAAATAGATAAAATTAATAACATTACTTAACACCATTATTTCAGGAAGATTAAAAAAATATTTTAAGTATACCTCTTTTACTATTCAAATCCCAGATTGAAAAGTTAGAAAATTTACAATCAAATTCTTATTTAAGATGTCACCATTTTTGTTGGCACCCAAAACAAATAATCATATTATCAAGAAAATAGTTAAAAAAAAAAACAAAAGGAGATGAAAAATAATAATATGAAAGAACTCTACTAAATTTCCTACAAATTGTTATACAATAATTACACATAATATCTTATTATACTTAACAACAATTTGATCTTATTACATGATCCTGTTTGTAGAGGTCATTGTAATATCCACATGAAGAAAGTGCACCACAGGGTGAGAGTAAGTGTAGCAATGGCGTATGTCCATATCATGATAAGAGAACATTCACTCTCACCTACCCCTAACATCTGGACAACGGTACCTACGAAGTTTAGAACAAACATACGTTAAGCAACACTTTCATAGAATATATGCATGGCATACAGAAACCAAGAAGACATACCTATGATTGCAGCAGGTGGAAGCGCATACTGAAGCATAAGAACAAACTGATACAAAGAATATGATCCCACGAGTCCCAAATAATATGCAGTTTTAATAATCAAAACACCTAGGATGGGTGAAATTATGAGTTTCACTACCATAATCCCTATAATCAAGAAAATATTTATTCTTGACTTCGTTAAACCTGTCAAATGGAAACAAACCATTGTAGAGAAATATATAAGGAAAATGAAGTAAAACTTCTTCAGTTCTAGAAATCACAAGCATCAACTTCATTAAAAGGGAAACTAAATTGATAGACTATACCGTCAAGAAGATTTGCCCCAACTATCAAAGTCATAGACACAATTGTGGCTTGCCTATAATTTTTCATCAAATGATATGGATATAAGAACAATTATATGAAATATGTATAACATTGTTTTTCTTATGGAAAATAATGCAAAAAAATGAATACTAATAATTCAGTACATCATGAATGAAAAAAAAGGAAAAGGAAAAGGAAAGAGTGAAGAAGAAAATGACAAATCAAAAGAAAAAGAGAATGAGAAAGATAAGAAGAGTGTTAGAAATAAATAATTGCACTATATCGTTTAAATTCCCTCTCACTTTTTGCAGAAAGGCAAATATAAGTTAGCAAGAGATATGAAGAATCCGTACCCCACTAAAGATGCAGAAGTGATAATCACACGAAGAGGAGCACTATCACCAACCATGAGCTTTTGAATTGGAGAAATTGCTCCAATGGCTAATCCAATAATCTGAAGAAAACCAGACGAAAAATTCACTTTACCCCCATTATATATCATCTTTAGTTTATAATAGTAGCAGTAATTAAAAGTACATCACAATGTTTACCACTGCAAATGTTAATGGTGTAAAGAATCTTTCCAGCTTGACATAGCCCATCCATTTCGTAATTGGACTTATAATATAATTCCAGATTGGCATCTGCCAAAACGATATTCAATAGGGTTAAAAGATCAATTTTCATGAAAACATATCACAAGAGAAAATTTTCTTAGATAAAAATAGATCAATATAAATGCTGGGTAGTTGTAAAGCTATGATCTGCGACCTTTCTTCCTTTGCTGTTAAATGGTGACTCAGGTTGAACTGAGATGTCTTCAATACCCTCAGAGTCCGTTGAAGTAAGCAATGATTGTGTGATATTTACCGGAAATCTTTCCAGGGTTTCAGTAGAATATGTTGCATTGGTCATGGTTTCACTGGTATTCTTATTTTCAGTATTCTTATCTGTACTTACCCCCATGACGATAAACAAATATGTCCATATAAAAACTGAACTTAGCTGAAATATCAAAAACCAGATAAAATTCTGGTTACAAACGATAGGAATTTGAGAATTCAATAAAAATGTCTTGTATAGCAAAGTTGGAAATTGGAATAGACATTGAATTTATTCTTTATTTATAACCATAGTTTATTCAGACTTGGGAACATACCAAAATTGGTCTCATTAATTTCCAATACCCTTTTGATCGATTTTGATGATAGTTATATGAAATTGATTCAAATTCACGAACATATTGGAATAAACCATGGTTTCTTATGATTAATCAAACTCTATAATTTGGCATAACTATATATTTAAGTAAAGCAAAGTCATACTCCCGCAGAAACTGCTGCATAAGCGTCTCCATATGCAGAGCATGTGGATGAATCTCCAAATATACTGCTGTTCTGCTCACAAACTGCTGGGACAATGATAAGAGGCATATTCCCCAAATTTCCTGCGCACATCAATTATTTTTTACTAGTTAACAATACATAACTTTTACACACAACTGCACGAAAATTATACTAAGATACAAATTAGTTATTCCATTCAAATAAGTTAAAGAGAAAAACATCATTTTCAAATATGTAGTACTGGGTTTCCATTTTTTTTTTTTTAAATTTGCTTTTGTTCTGAAGTTTAGCTGGTGCCTAACATGTTTTACACTTCAAAATCATGCTTTGTATACAATCTGAAAATGAATATTAAAATAGAAAATCAGGGCGATTGCTCACCAGCATGATGTTTCACCTAAAGTAATGTGTGGCGATTTCAACATAGCAGTTAGATAGACATTGGTGATGGTTGGGTAATATAATAATTGCCAACAGTAAGTATATATTTGTGACGGTCTTATAATTGTGTTGAAAATCTACCGTCATTTTTATGACGCTCATTATTTTAGTCTTGATTTGAAATGTTAAAAAACCACCAGTATAAATTCATTTTGTTAGTGAATAAACACACAGAAATAATATTATTGCCACGACAAAACCCTAAACAGTGAGATTTGAAAGGCACCAACCAGCACCGCATAAACCATTAACAAGGCCACGCAGGTGATGAGGCGTTCTGGCGATTTTATTTAGGATCCAACCGAGAATGGAGCCAACCACTATCGTTAAAAATATATTGACCACCATAAACCACCTGAACATAATAACATTTAACGATCAACAAACGTATAATAAGAAACAGAAGATGAAAATGTGATGGGAGGGGTCACTCACGTTTCAATCAACCGTTGGAACGTGATCGTTTCGGCCAAATCCGCAACTATGAGCGCCGGACAGAAAATGTAGAAGACAAGCTGCCCAACCAAGCATGCACATTAGAAATTGAAGCACGTTAAGATCGAAGCTGTGACTTTTATTCTTAAAAAGTGCATATGGGATAATTATTCTTAACTTAGACTTGAAAACGTGAGAATTATGAACGAATTTGTTGATGGAGTTCAAGTTGAATTTCAGGTTGAGTAAAACAGAAAAAATTGAGTAAGATTGAAGTAGAACAGTCTCACAAATGTTGTTAAGAAATTTACATATGATATTTAACAAATTTATGGCAACTCCAAAGCATACCTATAGCATTTCTATCATGGAAACATGATAATATTTTGTAATAAACATATATGTCCTCATTCAATTTCATTAATAATATATTTAAGATAATATTTAAATTCGCTTAAATAAATTTTTTTGTAAATTTATTTATCTATGTTTATTATTCATATCTAAAATTTAATAATAAAAAATAAATTAATGTGATATAATATATATAAAAAAAAAACATCTTCCTTTATTTTTTTATTTTTCTTTTTTTCTGTCTTTATTTAATGTTTCTTTTCTCTTCCGTTTATTCTTCTCGATTCATCTAATTTTTCTAATTAAAAATATTATATTAGATCGTTTATTATTTTTAAAAAAATTAAAATATTTGAATTATCTAAAAATACTATAATTTAATATATTATATTTAAAAAATAATATATAATAAATTTAAAGTATTATAATAATTATTAAAAAATAAATATTTATTTTAAAATAATTTTTTAATAATTATTTTTTAATTACTTGATTTAACTAATTATCATTATTTAATATAATTATAATTAAATTAAATTATTAAATAAAATATATTTAATATATAAATATTTAATATTTTTAATTAAATAAGTAATTGATTTATTATGATAAAACAAATTTAAATTAATTATTTATATTTTTATAAATAAAATTATTTATTAATATAATAAATAAAATTATTTATTATTATCTTAATTTTAAATTTTTAGTTGATATTTTTTAATTTTAATATTGATTTTAAAAAGTTAATTTTATCAAATTTTGATTAAATAAAAAAAACATGTAAAATAGAATAAAGAAAAATAATGGGAAAAGGAGGAGAGAAAAAACAAAATGTATATAAAGACTAAATAAGTTTACCATAGTACATAGATTGAGTGAAACTTTATTTAAGTTATATTTTTTTAAAATATATTATTTATAACATTCATCTTTCATCAATATAAATAAATAAAATATTAAATTTTATAATTTAGCTTAATTTTTTTAATAATTTTATCGTTGTTTATTTACTAATTTTTTATAATAATTTATCAATGTCAATATTTTTTTTTCAAAATAGTCTAAATATAAAATATTTTTTTCATTTTAATAAAAAAATTCTCATTAAAATTATTTACAACAATTCATATTTTTATCATTTTTTTCTCCATAAACAAAATTCAGGGAGAAATTTTTGCTTAAAAAATTAATATCACTCATAGTTTCACTTTATTGAATTTAAATTTTAAAAAATTACTAATTTAAAAATATAAATATGAAACATAGATATTTATAATTTGACATAAAATTAGTGTAATTTTGTAACTTCACTTTATCTGCAAATTTATTTTTAATTAGTTTTATTGTATCTAGTAAATTTTAATTTTGTTTATACAAATTTTATTAATTCATGAGTTTTAGATTAAAAATAAAAAAAATATTTATTATATTATTTATTATTAATATATTTGGAATCTTTTTAAAAGGAAGTATTTAATACAAGATTTCATTGAAATATTGATAAACAGAACATAATTTTGGATGATTCGGACTAACCTTATTCAAACAATTCCTTGATTCAACGGTTCGTAGGAGATTCAATCGTTGGGTTGCAATTAGTAATCCAAGGAGAGTGATGAAGAGTGTCTCCAGCACAGGCACGAGAGCCACCAAGAACAGGTCCAAGAATTCCATTGAATGGCTGTGCTTCCAGATGCCACCACCAACACTTAGTTCTGCTTGCAATTACAACAAACAAACAGCATAATTTTAACAAACAGCTTTTGTGCATGTTTATGCCAAAGGGAGAAAAAGAAAGAGGAAATAAAATACCTCCACTGCTACTAATTGTTCAAAGTCTTACTAATGCCTGTATATATCCTTTTCCATGGAGAACTGTAATTGCAATTAGGTTACCAATTTTCATTATTTGTACTCTATAATTGCATTGTCCTCAATCAACAAGTTTTCATTTTCATTATTATTATGGGTTGAAAAAAAAATAATTATATCCACGAATAGATATTCTCCATAATATCAACTAAAAAAAATAATTTATATTGACTAAAATATAATTTTATTGACGATAATAATATTTTCTTGACATTCATATAGACAAATTATTTTTACATCATCAATTATAGTGTTCTCTAAAAATTAATATCGATCTATATTATTAAAAATAAAACTTTTGTTATTTTTTATTTCTTTTTAAAAATATATATAATTTTTTTAGATTATATTTTTAAGAAAATTAGATTTGACCTCTCTCTTTTTAATTCTGTATGAGACTACAAGGTGAATGTGTGTCAATCAACCAATAGTAAAAAAAAACACAACTTAAGGTGGAAAAGATCATAAAAAACTTTAAATTATTTTATTTTCAATAATCAAAATGTTATAATTTTTACAAATTTTAATATTATCTATTTAAAAAATATATTTTATAATAAAGTGTTATGAATTATTTATAAAAATATATTACAGTCTAAAATTTCTCCATCATATCATGATCATAAAAAAAAAGTATTTTTTTTAAATATATATAGTCATTTTTAAAATATTCATTATTAATTTATCTAAAGGTTGGTAGTGCAAGAAATAAATAAAAAAATACGATCATTTTATAAGTTTTTAATATAAAAAATTATAAAATCGAAGTAAAACTTCATTTTTTATTTTTCTTTATGAAAAAAATACCAATGAAGTTAAAAAAATTAAATATAATAAGTAATATTAAAAAATTAATTAATATATATTTACTATTATTGTAATAATAAATAATTTTAAAAAATATATTAAAAAAATAAAAATTTATTAATAATAGATTATTTTATTTTATTTTTAATCTGTACCACTTCACTTTTAGTGTCTTTCTGATATTTTCACTGTCTGGGTCCATACTCTTCTATGGATGATTTGGTTCCGTATGAATCATTGAGATCATGATTCGCTAACTGTTTCTTCCTCTTCGTCCATCAGTCAAATGGGAACAAGAAAAAAGAATGATAGATATGAATTATGTAAAGTACCTTTTTAATATATTTTTATTTATTAAAATTAAAATTTTATTGAGTTATTTAAATAAAGATGGAATATTTGTAAATTATCTTTGATAAATTCAATTAATATAAAATCCATATATTTATTATTTTGATATGGTGAGGATTTGTTTTATCAGTTTGGTTATGCTACTTCACCGTATAAGTCAACTTAGAAAAAGAAATGTATTTTTGGTCTTTAGATACATAATTATTTGAGTTAGAAATATCTAAAATATTTAAAAATAACGTGTAGTTTTATTGAGAGAATTATTTATAACAGAACAATTAAATTGTAGTTAAGAAAAATGTATTTTAATATGATATAAGCACTTGGCAAATTTCTAGAAGCCATTTGTCTCGTTTATGATGGTAATGACCTTTCATGGATTCCCACTAATTGCATATTGAGTATCGACAAGTCCTTATTTACTTTTTAATCATCTAAAAAGTGCAGAATTTTTCTCAAATCATAATATTATTAAGATTATAAATATAAATGATAATAAATCCATTAATAACTTAATAGACAAGTAATAATAATTCATAATAAGATTAATATTATAATTTTTCTTATTAAATTTTGTTTTAGGGACTATTGGTGTCTAAAATGGCTGTATTGCAATTTCGTATTTCTGGGCTGCGTGTGAGAGTCCTCGACTTTTATTTTAACATTACTATATATTTATTTTAATTAATTCGATCTTTTAAATAATTTTATTTTATTTTAGATTTTTTACGATATTTTTTTATATAATAATACTCGTTCGTGTTATTATTCAACTAAAGCAATTTTTCTTATCCGGCACTTTTTAAATGTTTGTGCGTGATATAAACATGATTTTGCGATAAACATTTTTTTTAATTTACATCATTGTAAGCTCACATTTGTGTGAATTTTGATTTTACGTATGCTATAAGTGGTCATGCTTCTATATTTTCTCTCTCCTTATTTTTTTTTATTAATTGTAAACTATATATATATATATATATATATATATATATATATATATATATATATATATATATATATATATATAGATCTATGGAATCAGTCACAACTCCCTCATCAATTTTTTTATATATAATAATTACTAAAACTAATTTTATAGATATAAAATAATAATTTTTATTTTTGTTCTAAATTTTATTTATAATAAATATATATTTATTCTTTTATATAATTTCTCACTTACAGTTCTTTTTACAATTTTCATAGTTTATATTTTCTTTTTTTTTACTGTAATTTTTTTCTATTACACACTCATTATGTACTTTCACATTTCTGTAATTTCTTTTCTCACTTCTTCACTTTACTCTTTTTCTCTTTGTGGTTTTATCTTAGAATAAAATTTGTAAGTTTTTTCTTATTAATTTTAAAAAAAATTATAATTATATCTTTATAATATAAAAATTATAATTTATTGTTCCTTAATTTTTTTACTCATATTAAAGATATAAGACAAAAAAATTAAAAAAAATAAAAGAAACCCCACATTTAAAAAAAACACTAAATAAATTTATTTTTAATTATTATCATTATTATTATTATTATAAAAAATTAATATTGTGTAATATAATATAAAAAATGGGAAATATTAATATAAATTTTTTTATTTATTATAAACTAGTTAATTATTTTAATATTTTATGATATTCTATTTTAATGTTAAAATATAAAAAAAGATCATATTGAGTTTTAATAAATAATGAGATAAATTTTATTCTCTCCCAATTAAATTCAACTAGTAATATTAATAACGTTGATAATCATTTTATATATTAATCTCTCTCATATATATATAAATCAAAAGTTAAATTAAATTAAATTAAATACTCAACTTATTATGTATTATGATATTCACAAGAAAACCGTTAATAACTTCTAAGAAAATCTTGTTGTAACTTTTAAATTTGTCTTTATTTTAAAAACAAATAAATAAATAAAAACACCTAATTATTATTACATTGAAGAATAATTTATTTTTTAATAAAAAATATAGATTTATATTTATAACATTAAAGTAGTTAAAACATATTTATTATGAAATAAACCAATGCTAAAAATTATCATTACAGAGGTCTTATTAGGACAACAATAAGGCTAGAAATGCAATTCCATATTTGGGACAAGAGAATATATATATATATATATATATATATATATATATATATATATATATATATATATATATATATATATATATATATATATATATATATTTTTTTTTTTTTTTTTTCTTCTTTTTTTTTTAACCAGTAACTACAAATATTTCAACGAGATAAAGAAAAAACTATAGGCAAGACAAGAGAAAATTTTCACTATATGAAAAAATGATTATAACTTCTCTTTAAATTAGAAGGAAAAAAATAATTGCACTTTCTCTTAATACGATAGGAGAAATCACTTATTATAAGAATCTTGCATGAGAAACTTTATATTCTTTTTTATTTAATCACTCTTGCTGGGATGGATTGATCAAAGCATAAGAGGAGACCAATACTTATAAAGAAGAAGAGACTTTTCTTCTTTTACTTGATATTTAATACCACCGTAAAACTGTGACTATTTTCTTTCAATAGCCCACAAATAACTCACAAATAGCTCTCTTATCTTGACTTTTTTTTTTCATTATAATAGCCACAAAAGTGGCTTTATGACAACTGTATTCACAATCTCCCACTTAAAGTCACTTTTTTGAGCTTCAAAATCTTTCTCTACTTGCATGTTCCATGCTGCTTATGTTTCTAATAGACCACAGGAGGATATACACCAGATAAACTTATCAGAGTTGATTGGTTTTGTCATAGCATCTACTAGGTTATCTTTGGTATGAATATTCTACATATCCACATTCCCTTTCTCTACTACTTCTCTGACAAAATGATATTGTACTCCTATGTGTTTCATTCTAAAATGAAAAGTTAGATTCCTTACAATGTGCAAAACACTCTCATTGTCACAATACACAGTGATATTCTATTGCTTGTGTCCGAGTTCTCCCAATAACCTTTGAATCCAAATTTTTTCCTTGCATGCCTGGGTAGCTGTCATATACTCCGCCTCTATAGTACATAAAGCTACAACAGTCTGCAGTTTAGATAACACATATCCTGTAGTATATTTTCTTTTATCAAGATCACCTGCAAAATCTAAATCAACATATCCTCTGACAATAAACTCTGATCCTCCAAAACATAATGCAACATCTGAGGTTCCTTTAATGTATCTTAGGATCCTCTTCACAACATTTTAGTGCTCTCTACCAGAATTTGTCATAAATCAACTGATCGTCCCAACTGCTTGTGCAATATCTGGTCTCGTACAAATCATAACATACATAAGACTTCTCACTGTCGATACATACGAAAATCGAGACATTTTCATCTTCTCTGCTTAACTGCTAGGACACATATATGAGGATAATTTATAATTGATAGGCATTGGGGTAGAGATTGACTTACAATCTTGCATGTTGAAGCACCGCAAGACTTTCTTAAAATAATTCTTTTGAGAAAGTTAAATCTTCCTATCCTTTTTGTCTCGATGAATTTGCATCCCTAAAATATTGTTTGTGAGTCCTAAGTCCTTCATATCAAATTCCCTAGCCAACTATGCCTTCAATTCTTGGACTCGATCTTTGTTGGGGCCTACCACCAACATGTCATCCACATATAACAGCAAAATGATGAAATCATTATCATCAAACCTCTTGTAATACGTACAATGGTCTGAACTCAGTCTGAGGCTAATAATGAAGGAATCAAATCTCTTGTACCAACATCTTGGTGCCTGCTTTAAGCTGTAGAAAGATCTGGTCAACTTACAAACCAAGTTTTTTTTTCCTTGTTCTTCAAAGCCTTTTGGTTGGAACATATAAATTTCTTCTACAAGTTCTCCATGAAGAAAATCAATTTTTACATCCAATTGTTCAAGATGTAAGTCAAATGCAACACACATAGTCAACACTACTCTAATAGTGGTAAGTATAACTACTGGAAAGAATATCTCATTAAAATCAATGTCTTCCTTTTGAGCATACCCTTTGATCACCAGTCTTATACGATATCGTTCCACTTGATCATTGCCATCGCGTTTGAACTTATAGACCCATTTGTTGTCGATGGCTTTCCGACCTTATGGAAATATAACAAGCTCTCATGTCTTGTTTCTGTGTAAGGCTTCTATTTCTTCTTGCATTGCTGTCATCCATAGAGAAGCATCTGAACTACTCACAGCCTCCTGAAAGATTGACGGTTCTCCCTCTTCTGTTAGAAGACAGTATGCATCATGACTTGTCATTACATAGTCTGTGTCAAGATGGTCTCCTTATCTGACATGTTATTCGTTGAACTTTTATATCATTGGCCTCTTCTGGTTCTTGTTCCTCATGCTCTGGTTCTGTTTTTAAAGAATATTCTTCTCCAGATTTTTCATTTATTTTGTATAGTAGTAACATCTTTAGAAGTGTTGTTTGTCATTTTCCTGTTCATTTTGCAGTTCATTATCTGCAAAGATTACGTCTCTGCTGACAATAACCTTGCAGGCAGTGGGATCCCACAGGCGATACCCCTTAACTCCGTCAGCATAGCCTAAGAATATGCATTTTCTGGATTTTGGATCCAGCTTTGTTCTTTCTTGGGAGTTGTACATACACAGGACATCCAGACACATGTAGAGAAGAATACTCTGTTGGCTTTCCTTTCCACATCTTCATAGGTGTCTTTAAACCAATCACAGTTGAAGGTGATCGATTTATTACGTAACAAGTTGTCTTTACTGCTTCTGCCCAAAAAGACTTGGCTAATCTTGTCGTTCGTAATATAGCTTTAGTCCTCTCTAGGAGAGTTCAATTCATTCGCTATACTACACCATTCTACTGAGGTGTATGGGCAACCGTGAACTGCCTCCTTATATCCTCCTGCTTGCAGAATGCCAAAAACTTACTATTTGTATATTCTCCTCCATTGTTTGTCCTTAAACACTTAATCTTCTTCCCAGTTTCAAGCTCCACTTGTGCTTTGAATTCTTTGAAAACTGGAAACACATATGACTTCTTTTTGATTGGGTACACCCATAATCTCCTAGAGTAATTATCAATGAATGATACAAAATATTTAGCTCCTCTTAGGGACATTTCCGGTGACTCCTACACATCATAATGTATCAAGTCAAGTATGTGTTTGCTTCTAGTAGTTGACTTCTCAAACTTCAATTTATGTTGTTTGTTTGTCACACATTACTCATTGAAAGGTAAGCTTACCGATGTGAGCCCAGGTAAGAGTTTACGTTCCGCAAGGACCTTCAAGCCTCATTCTGACATACAACCTAGTCTGCGATGCCACATTATCGTTGATTCCTCTTGACTAGCTGATGCAACTGATACATCTGCCTCTTGCAACGTATCTCTCCCAAAAGCATGTATAGATTTGTAGCAAACTTCTCTGCTTTCATCACTACTAGAGCACCTTTCACCACTTTCAAGATCACACTTTTAATATGGGTCTTGCAATTGAGGTCATCCAATTGTCCAATAAACAATAAATTCTTTCTCAAGCCCTTCACATGTCGTACCCCTTGAATTGTACGAATAGTACAATTGTACATCTTCAATTTGACAGCACCGATTCCAACAATTTCCAAGGCGTGATCATTACCCACAAACACATATCCCTCTGAGATAGGTTTATAAGTGCAAAATCAATCTCTTCGTGGAGTCATGTGCCATGTTGCTCCTGAATCTATTATCCAAACATCATTGAGCTGTTTTTCACCTTTGGAACCAATTGCTGCTTCGCTATACAAGATTTCTCCATCATCAGAGGTACTAGCAACACATCCTTGAGATGCAGTTGCCTCAGGAGACTTCTTAACATTTTTCTTCTTCTAACAATCTTTCTTCAAGTGTCCTCTCATGCCATAGTAGTAACATTTGAAATTTTTCCTTCCTCGAGATTTTAATCTACCATGATTTTGACTCTCACTAGAACCACGCTATGTTGATCTTTCTCTCACCACCGTCAAAGTTTTTGCTTGCTTGGAATTTTTCAATCTATCTTCCTTATTCTTGCACTTGGATTCTTTTTCAAGAATGACTCCGACAACATCATCAAAGTTTAGATAGTTGAAAATCATATTATTTGTGATATTTATGATGAATTGATCATACGAGTCTGGTAAATTTTGAAGTAGAAGTTTCGCATGTTCACTTTCTGCTATTTTGACACCTGAGGTTGTCAATTGAACAAATAACATGTTGAGATTGTTGACGTGATCCGTGAATGATGTAGATTCACTCATTCGAAGAGTGTAGAGTCTCCTCTTTAAGAAAATTTTGTTGTGAAGAGACTTAACCTCATATAATTTTACGAGTGTATCCCAGATCTCCTTTGCTGTTTGTTTTTCTACAACACTAGACAAGATAGAATATGTCAATGTCAAGTGCAAATTAGCAACAACAATGTTATCCATCTCCTTCCATTTTTCATCAGTAATACCATTAGGTTTACCTTCAATTGCTACTAAGTAATTTTTTTTTCTCAAGTATGCCTTTATTTTCAATTTCCACATGGAGAAATTACTTCCACTAAATTTTTCTATCTCAAATTTTGCCGCCATGGTTTAAACTGACTTATGCACCTGTTACTATAAATAGTATTGTCTACTAGAACAATTTTTATATCTAGTAACAAGAATAATTATGTTCTGATGTGAAAGATCATATTAACTGCAACCATAAAGTATATTAAGAATTTTCTCCAACACTATTTTAGAAACTATAACAGTGGAATAATATCACAACCTAGTAGCAAAATAATATTTTTTAGCTAAAATATATATGAGAAAATTAGGAATTGACACAATATTTTATGTAGGAAACTCTCAACGAGATAAAAAAAAAAACTACGAGCAAGACCAAAAAAAATTTTCACTATATGGAAGAATGATTATAACTTCTCTCTAAATTAGAAGAAAAGAAAAATTGCACTCTCTTATGATAAAATAGGAGAAATCATTCGCTAGACAAATCTTATAGGATTATATTTTCTCTTATTTAATCACTCTTGTTAGGATGGATGAATCAAAAGATAAGAAGAAACCAATATTTACAAAGAAGAAGAAACTTTTCTTTTTTTTCTTAACATTTAATATCATCATAAAACTGTTACTATTTTCTTTTCATAACAAACAAATAACTCTCTTGTTTTTTTTTTTTTTTTTCATTTTAATAGCCATAATGACTTTACGGCAACTATATTCACACACAGTGCCAATGAAAATAATTCATATTATGCATGTTGAAAATATACGATATATAAATAAATGAAAATATTTGATGTAACGTGATAATCACAAGCAGAACAGAATATTATAAAAGACAAAAAAAATAACACCAAATAACAAAATATAAATACACCAACTTACCTCGTAATTAATTTATATAAAATTTATAAATAACACAATTAACCTAAAGTAAATGGATATCTTTTTTTATTCATATAAAAATAAATAAACAATTGTAAAATAAATACCAATTCAAATAATATGAAAGCCCAACACCAAAAAGTGTAACTTACCCAAGTATAAACTAAGCAAGCATATTTTAAAAAAATATTTTTCTTAAAAAATCAATATACCAACAGCGTATTTTTGAAAATTAGTTGAAGAATATATAATAGAAAAATATAATAATTAAAATGAAACAATATAATAAAATAATTGATCTGTAAATAAAAATTACAATATTCAAAGTTAGTTAATAAAACTAAATTATAAATACTTTAAATGTATTTCTATCAATTAAATTAAATATAAAAATATCATTTAAATGTCTCCTTATTTTCTAATTTATATTTATGAACAATTTATCTTATAGAATGGGTTAAAATATTTTTAATATGTTCAAAATAAAAATAACACATTTAAATAAATATTAAACTTCCATTATATTTAATTCATGTAATATATAAAATATACTTAAGTTAATTATCATGTAGTGTCCTTTTTTAATTCTCGTCTTAATAATTTTATCTTTAAAAGAAAGTTTCGATAAATTAAAAGAAGAAAATGTATTTAAATTATCTTATTAACTTTTAAACTCGAATGTAATGTATGATATAATTGTTAGAATATTATTTTATAATTATTTTTGTACAAATACTCAAATCAAATAGATATATTTGTAGGATTAACACATTTTATTTCATTAAATAATTATAATAAAATTAGTTGAAATATTTAATAAATTGAATAAAGGTTTAATAAAAATTTTATGGATTGAGATTACTCAATCTTTTAATAAAAATAATTACTGTTAAAGTTTTATTTATGTTTTAGTTGAAATAAATAAATATGAGATGAAACTTAAACAGTGAATTATGTTTATAGATAAAAAAACAATGATAATAAAAAGATGTTTGTTTTATTAAAAGATATTTAGTATTTATGTTTTACACTTTCTTTATTAGATAATTATCTTATGATAAATTCGTACACTCAGTCACAATTTCATTTCCAAATTAGGTTCAAATCTTTAATTAATTAAGAGGAACAACTGCAAACGGAAATAACTTTTTTAAATCTTGAAAAAATCTCGGCAATCACTAATTTAAATCTCTACATTTAAAAAAAATTATTATTAATTTTGTCCTCCATTTTTTAGAATATGTGAAATTAGTGTGTGAAAAGGATGTTAATTTCATCAGATATACATTAACAATTTTAGTGAGTCTTCAATTTCACCTATTTTAAAATTTCCAAGGTTTGGAAAATAAAAAAAGTAATAAATTTAAGAACTAAATTTTTTTTTGGTAAATTTCAGGAAGAATAAAAATATATTCGATCCATGCTTTTTACAAAGTTTTTGTAAATTTAAATAAATAAAGGGTCAAAATGGCGTGGCACCTTAGAGTTTTTCCTCTTATAATTTTTCTTTTTTATTTATGCAGAATTAGGGTTTATCAAATTCAACCCTTTTGATTCTGCCATTGTTGGGTTTCTTCTGCTGTACGATTGAATTTCAACATAGGTAACGCTGCATTACTTTCTTTCTTCACATCTATGTGTTTTTTATTGTCAATTTGAACGCCTTCGTAGAAATCCGAGAAATCAATTAATTTTGTAGCTTTCTGAACTTGCCTTGGCTCACTGCAATTATGGATGGAAAACTAGTCTCTATTCTTTTGGGTAATTTTTTTTTGTATGTATAAATTTCCTTCTCCCTGTTTTCAATATCTCTTCATTTTTTTTTAATTTCTGGAGAAAAGGAAATGGATTTTGGGAGTTGTTCGGATAAGGGTGCCTTCAATCTGTTATTTTTTTATTTTTATTTTTACCACTTATTTGTCTTCGATTTTTGTAATGGATTGGCGTAGGAAGTTTTTGTGTGTTCTCGTGTGTGTGGTTAAATTTTGGAGATGAGTGATGCAAAAGAGAATGAGGAAGCAGGGCAGAATGTACCCTTGGCTGTGAAAGAAACTCAGCAGTTGGTTGCACAGGTTCAACAAGAAGTTTTGGCTGCTCCTTTGTCCATACCGGATACTTCAAACCATGCTGAAAATGGGAAGGTAGAGGCAGAGGCACCTGTGGAGGATAAAATTGTGAAACCAGAAGCCAATTCAGAGAGCATTCCGCAACAAGATGTCCTAAATAGTGAAAGTACTTTAAACTCGGTCCCTGTAATTGAAGATGCTCCAGTTTTAAATAAAACCGAAGGTGAAAATGCATCAGATGTGAAGAGAAAAGTAGAACTACTTCCTGAGTGTTATAAGGACATAGAGAAAGATACTAATGTTTGTCAAAGCAATGCTGATACTGCTGAAATGATTGTGGAGGTGAAGCCCAAAGCATTTGAAGCGGGTGAAAGTAAAACTTGCGAAAATGGAGACTCCAACTCTGCACACCCTATATACAATGAGCCTAACACAGCAAATGCTGTTCATACTGATATAAGATCTGAAATCAAGAGTGGATTAGACGATGAGAATAAGTATAATGAAAAACAGGCTGCTGTTGCACATGCAGATAATGGAAATTTGATCTCACAGAACTTGTATTTTTTGGATCCTGACTATTCATATGATGGTAATGAGTCGGGAACAGAAGAGGAGCAGTCAGCTTTTATGAAGGAGCTTGAAACTTTCTTTAGGGAGAGGAGCATGGAATTCAAACCACCCAAGTTCTATAAAGAGGGGCTTAATTGCCTTAAGTGAGTTATACCAGTTTATTAAGTTTTCTTCTACATTTGAATATGGAACAAATACACCAAACTCTGACATATTCACTTTATCCTAATACTTAATTGGCGGGATATAAGGCTATGGAGATCTGTAAACAGATTGGGCGGCTATGATAAGGTATTATTTTTCCATTATTCTGCTAAAGCACTAACACAAATTTATGTAACCAATTTTGTGTGAAGTCATAAGTGTATTATCACAAGTAAAAACTAGAATAGAGGACTTTGACAATTCCATATAGTGGTTACTGGTTTGGCTCTTTCACACCATCCATTTTCTTAATTGTTCTTCCTTTCCAGGACTGGAAATCTGGCAACAGTGTAAGACCAATTATAGGCTTTTTAAGCCAATAAAGTAAAGTAAACGATTACATAAACACACATGTTTACTCTCTCACATACAAAGGGCAGAGATTCAAACTTTTATTAGGAATTTAACATGAGTTACTCTTATGCCTGTAGGCAAGATACCACATATCTTGAGATGGGAGACTAAATCTTATGTTTAGTATGAAAACTAAATCTAACTAAAAATAATATATACATGGGATGAGAGTTACAACATATTGAGCTCAAGGATTTCAAAGTATCTTTCATTCCCATGAGAATAGCATTTCAAAAATAAGCATTCAAGAGTATCTAACGAAGGTGTTTTGGTTTGTGAAATATTTTCTGTTCACACAAATAATTACTAAAAAAATGCCATCCTGTTTTCACTGTATTTCCTTATTTCAAATATTCATACAGTAAATGGTGTAAACAAGATTTCTTGGTAGTATTTTTGTATAATAAAAAGTGAAACATAAAACTTTTTCATTAACCAATAACACCCTTAAATACTGTTATGAAGATACCTACCTGTCAAATGTTCCCATAACAATCTTGAAATCTATCTCGTTTGATTAAAATTACTTTGATTTGAAGTAAGTGAATAATTGGTAATGATGCATTTAACAGTTTGTAACTTTGCCTGTCACTTGTAAGTATCTGAACTGTTGAATTTACTTTCAATTCTTAAGTCAAACTGGAATTGCTTTGGAGGTTGTTTCTTGAGGCAAACTAACATCAATTATTCTGAACTTCAAGTTTGTTTAGTTCGAACTTCAGAGCAGTTGTTTTCATTGTTGCCAATTTACCAAGATATATGCCTAATTGGGTTATATTCATTAATAGGTCACCTCGTGTAAATTGTGGCGGCAAGTGGGAGAGTCTTTCAAACCTCCAAAGTAAGGACAACTTACAATTTCTTATCTCAATCTTGTTTATGGCACTGAAAAGCATGCTACATATTTTTTGCTTTGTTTTTGTTTGAGTTTTATTGAATGTTAAATTTGTTGTATTTTCCATATACTTTACAAGGATCGGGAGTTATATTCTGTAGAGAGAAAAATGTTGAGAGAAATTAAGTTGTCCAAATGAATTCTAATTCTTGATGGAAAACAAACTGGGTTGGATGCTTGTATTTAATATGCATGCTTGATTGGTTTCTTTATTGATTGGAAATAATAATGTTGAAACATTTTTCATTATTTAGATATAAATTTCTTACTCTTTCAACATTTGTTCAACATGTTTTTTTTATTTGTTCTTTGGGGTGGGAGGTGCATATGGGTGATCTGGATAACTTAGGTCATTTATGATATGTGAAATAATGCTCTTTTTTCTTAATTTTTGCAGGACATGTACCACAGTTTCATGGACTTTTCGGGTTTTTTATGAGAAGGTGATTCTTGATTAATAAGGTGTACATTAGTCTTCAGCTCTTTCACATCTTTTAAAAGATTATTTGACAAATATGTTTTCAAGATATCCGTGCTGCCATGCAAGCTCAACACTCCTGTAAAGCTTAGAAGATCATTTTCTTTGGTTGCAAAAATGTAATGTTGATCTAAATGACATACATTTTCCTAGACTTCTTTGTCAAATTTTATAATTTATATCATACTTTTCAGGATTATTATGAAGTGGGTCCTACACTATGTTATCTTAGCTTTATGTTATGTTCCTACATCTATCATTATATTTCTGTGTCATATTCCTCATGGTTATAATTATTACCAGCATTCATTATAGAAATTTTAAACAACTCAAGTATAGTATACTGTGGTGTAAATAGTAGCATGCTGCATGGCAGATGGTTTACACATTAAAGATGGAGTGATTTTTTTCAAAAAACAGAACATTGGTTTCTGCGAAGCAAATTATCTGCTAGGAAACCATAGTGTTATTACCAAACTTCCTTCATACTTTTGGAAAGAGAAGTTAAATTATTCTAAGTTGTGCTAGGTTTTCCCGAAGTTGTCCTGTCTCTTTCTGTTATCATGGCAGATTGAAAATTTTTATTCTTCTTTTGAAGATGCTTCTGGGGGCTTTTACCAAATAAAGAAGATCATAAACTAAGTGCATTTGATAAGAATGGAGATTAAACAACCAATTGTTAGTTCCAATTATACAGTTCATTTCTAAAATCCATATATTGAAATCTTGTTAAAAAAAGGATGGAAAGAAAATATTGTTCTTGCTATGATTTGACCCTTGATTTCTCTTCAAGATCTTTTTATAAATTGAGATTGTTGTATATTTTGAAATGTGAAAGGAAATCATGATTTGTATCAAAATATGAATGATTATGAAAAGGACACATAACAGATGCATGATTTAGTGTTTTAATTTTAACAATTTATGTAATATCCCATGTCCAGACCGGATGCTTCTTTTGCTTCTCCCAATCAATGCTGCTGCATTCTTAGTTTTTTTCACTTATCTTGTTACTTAAATGTGTAAAATTGATTAATTGTTATCAACTACTGCTTCTGATTAAAATTGCATTCTTTAAGAAGTTATAGGATGGTGTTATTGATTTATTAACTACTGCCAATAACAACCTTTCTATTCCCTGGTGCTTATTTATCCCTTACAGAAATAACATTCTAATCAAACTATTATAAGTTTATAACCAGTAAGGACTTTACCACTATTCATTCCCAAAAATATCGTCTGATGCTTTCTCCATTCCTTTACTGCCTACATGCACTTTGAAATTAACCAGTACATAGGTACATTTTCTGTTGTCCACAATATCTGTTCTTTAATCATCCTTGTTTTAGAGTTCAATGACATATGAGCTTATTTAAATAGCATCATATATATTTTGAAACTGTCAGAAAACAATATCAAATATTGTATAGAACTATAAACCTTGTCATCTTCAAATTCTATTTCACTATTGCTGTTTCTTTTATGCTACTTCAGGCTCTTCTTGACTATGAAAGGCATAAAACTAAAGGTAGTGAGCTGAATGTGCCTATTACTTCTCATGCAGAGCCAATGAATATTGAAAATCAGGTAATATTTAATTGTTTGTTTAATGGCGGTTTCATGAGCAATAGTATCATGGCCAACTGTGTCAACCTTTTGTATGTGGACTTTATTCTCTTAAATAAGATAGTATATGTTGGAAAACCACATTAGGCATCTCCATTTTTATTATTTAACATGCTACTGTCTATTTATTGTAACGGGATGAAATTCTCATGCACATTCTCTGAAAGTTATTGGTCTTGTTTTACAGAAGGGACTATTTTATGATCTCCCTGTGAGTTCAAATTGCTGGACATTTTTCTTATGAATAGTTTTAGTAGCTGATATGTGTCATTTCAAAGGATCAGTTGAAGATTAAATGAATTAGCATTATTATGTTGTAGTCGATGCCTCAGCAAAATTTAATTATGATGCACAGCTGTCTCCTCTCCCCTCCAAAAATGCTTCATTTTTGCCTCTAGTCACGACACGACTATGCTAACAGATTCCCGAATTTAGAGTGTCTAGGTCAGGTATAATAAGGTCAATTGCCTAATAGGAGAGTGGGACCCTCAATTATGTTGATAATGAAATAGCTACTTGTTTGTCTCTCAAATGACTGATTGATGGAGGGTGAGAATTCCTCTCTGTTGCATTACCTGTGTTTTGATCTTTGTTCAATATATCATTGATGCTAGTGCAGAGTTTAATTGTTTTATTGTAGATTAATCAGATTTTCTCATACACTGGTCCAGTTCTACCAGTCTATTTCCAATTTCTATCTTCCCCCACTCCCCAAACATTAGAAAAGGTGACTTCTAGGCACAGTAAAGTAATGAATGGATATTGGGTTTAAGGCATCTTTAATTGAGTCAATTTTGTTTTGATGTTTCTTGAATAATATTTAAAAATGGTTTGAATTTCTGCCTTGCGAGGCACTAAATTTCTTTATTTGCAGTAGGCTTTGCAAGTGGAACTATGTATGTCATAAGCAGTACTACTGTGATGACTACACTTATTTGTGTCTTACAATCCCTCTTGCCTGTTAAGTGTGTCCAAGGTTCAGCATCATCAGGTAGGGCACGGAGAGATGCTGCGGCTAGGGCTATGCAGGGTTGGCATTCACAACGTCTCCTGGGAAATGGTGAAGTTAGTGATCCTATTATTAAGGTCTGGTTGAATTGTGATGGTGTGATTCATGTCCTCCATAATTTTATTTTTACTGGTAAATAATTGTTTAATAATTTGTTTCTCATAGGATAAGAACTCTCTGTCTATGCAAAAGCGTGAAAAGCAGATTAGAAACATCAGTATGATCCTTCATCATATTGCTATCATTTTTAACTTATTTACAGCGCTGAATGATTCTAAAGATCCTCCCCCCTTATTGACTCAGATGTACTTAAACGCAAGAAATCATCAGACATGGTGAATGCAGTCAAAATTGCTCACAGTAAACCATCTAAACCACAGTTAAGGCACATGTTACTTTTTTTTCTCTTCTTATCATTAGTTTTTGGTACCTAATCGAAATATATTTATAAAGTTGACAACCATGAAATGTGCAATTAATTTATATTCTTGATAGAGGTGTTTAGTTGCATTTTGGTTCATTTGCTGACATGCTTGCCTCTGTTGGTTGTGTGGTGGGCTAGATTGGACACATCTGTGGTAGACATTGGACCTCCTGCAGATTGGGTAAAAATCAATGTGCAAAAAACTGTAAGTTTATGTTGTGTTCGGGTAGAATATAATCTGCTTAATTATGTGATTTACTCATCAAAAGAGAGTTTTGTGTACAGAAAGATTGTTTTGAGGTCTATGCTTTGGTTCCTGGCCTTCTGCGGGAAGAGGTAATAAGAGAATTATGTTTTTTTTTCTCTGTGATAATTCTGCACCTATGTTGAAATCTTGGTTTGTTATTTGTTGTGGTAAATTGGCAAGTATATTAGTAGTTCCATCCTTCTTTTCATATATAAATATAATGAACTTAATGTATTGTAACAAAATATTTGTATAACAATGCCTGTGCGATCTTTGTGTTTTTTTTTTTTCTTAATCAAGTTTTTCGTCATGATAAATAGGGGTATCTTGGTTTTGGTCCTTACACTTTCTTTTTATTTTAGTCCTCGACATTTTTTTTTTTAAATCGTCCGTGTCATTAGTCTGGCTGTCAAAGTTAATGATATCATAATAACAACATCACATACCATATCAGCAAAAATTGCCAAATCAGTGATGCTGACATCACCTAAGATGTCACATCAATATGTAAGTTTTTCCTCTTTCTAATATTTAATCTTTTGCAAGGTCTGCTAGTTGTGAAACTTTTCCTTTGTTATTTTATCTTTTGATGCAATAAGCTATGAATTTAAAACTGTAATTTGCCAAACTGCATTTGAACCGAGAATAATATTCACTTTATGAAATCAGGTGCGTGTTCAATCAGACCCAGCTGGACGCTTGGTCATAAGCGGTGAGCCTGTGCATTCTGACAATCCATGGGGGGTGACACCTTTCAAGAAGGTCTATTTTCTTTTCTATGATGATAAGAATGACACCTTTCAAAATTTGTTGTTTCAATCCTCAACTTAAAACTTAATTTGCTAAGAATGTAATTGTATCCATGTATTTGTTGACAATTAAGAGCTTGTCTGATTTCCATATTTAAACAGTGATGTTGGCACATTTTCTGATACCACTTTTTCTATTCTTCTAATCCACATATTTTGATTAATTCAGGTTGTCAGTTTGCCTTCAAGAATTGATACTCATCAGACATCTGCTGTGGTGACTTTGCATGGACAACTGTTTGTTCGAGTTCCATTTGAGCAATCCGAATAGTGATGGCTCTTAGATTCATGAGGAAGTAAGTTACCATGATTTATAGGATGTCAAGTGCTACTATGAATTTTGTTAATATTTTATTTCAATTTTTTTACCGATTTTCTCAAGTTAAGCTTTACAATTTTATTCATGTTAATATCAGTTAGGTAAGGTTTCCTAACTGTTGAAAATCAAGCCATAATATAGTGGCAGCATTGGTTATTAACCAAATTCTCTGCTAAATTTGCTTCCATATTTCATTTTTAAAATTCTATGATACCACCAAGACTAACTAATCTTTTCCCAGAATTTCAGAATCTTCTAAAAGCAAAGTATCAAATATATAAAAGAATATAATTTAAATATTTAAAATATTTAAGAAATATATTTTTATCAATCATGATGTAATATAAATAATTAATTATAGAGGGCTTTTTAGATTTTATATGTATTTTTCTTAAAATAAACTGTATTGTTAATTTTTAGTTAGTGATCACAAAATTTAATGTTAAATACTATAGTGTAGTGAAGTAATTTTTTAAATATTTTTTATTGGTTATATATCTAATTTGTTAACATAAAAAAATAAAACATAATTAACTTAATTCTATAAATTATTGAAGCCGAATCTAGGTCTATAAAGTTGAGTGGTTTTACTTTCATCTAATCAATGAAGCAAAAATATGTCATTTTTTTTTCTTTTTTTCGATACTTTAATATAAAAATAACAAAGAATATATATCGTCAATAAATAATAATTTAAAATGTTGACCTTTCTTTCCATTTTACTCTTATTATATAATTATTTTTTAATTTTTAACTATTTTTATTTTAAATTTTAATTTATCTTTAATATTTAAGTAACCATTTTCTAAAATTATACACTCTTAATTATTTTTTACTTTTTTTTAATTATAATTTTATTTTTAATATTTTAGTAATTTCTTATGTAATTTTATTTAAATGTAAAATACATAGGCACAATAACACTTGTGTTTGTATCTATATTATTAACCACGGATATTTTTTTTACATGTTTCTTTTTACTCTTTGTATCATTTAACTGTTCTGTTTTTTACTTGTTTTATTTTTAAAATATTAAATTTATTTATAACTGTGTTTAAGGTTAATTTAAAAAAAAAATTGATGTAAATAATGATGTAAATAAGAACAACTCTTTAATTTTGATAAGTGAATCTTTCTTTAAATGAACTATACAAAAATTAATTTGTAATTATATATATATATATATATATATATATATAAATTCATTTAATTTTACATAAAATTAAGAATAAATGATATAAACAATTTTTTTACAGTATATTGCCCCTGACAACAAAATGATTGTTTGAAACAAAATATTATTAATAATTTTTATTTTTTAATTTAATTTAAAAAATATATTACAAACAAAATATATTATTAAGTAGTTTAGTTTTTACGTATGATTGGTGCAAAAGAGAATTTTTCAGCATCCATAAAAAAAAATATGTGATTTCTAAAATAATTAATGTCGTAAACAAACTTATCATGCTTATCAATTTATTGTAAATAGTAAATATGGTTTTTAAGGTGCTTATTAAAAATATAATTAACTTATGGATATTTTATGATTGGATAATAATATTTAAAGTCAATTATTTTAAAATCTTTAACAAAATAAATCAAGACCACACACATAATAATAATAATAATAATAATAATAATAATAATAATAATAATAATAATAATAATAATAATAATAATAATAATAATAATATAACATATATTATAACTTTCAAAATAAACATAAAAATTTAAGTCAAATATATCATAGTCCCTTATTATAAATTTTAATAAAATATAAAAATATCGATTAACAAAGACAAACTTACATAAAAATATGTCAAATTAATCTAGTATAAAATTACAATAACTTAAGATATAAAAATAGAAATTAGTATAAATGATTAAACCCTACGTTAATGAGAAAAAATAATTAATAAAATGATTTATATCAATTTTTAAATAGTATTAAAATTTATTTCTTACTCTTCTTAAAAAATGTCTAATTAAATTTATAAATTTTAATTATTTATTAATTATGTGCATAAATTTATCAATATTTTCTAATCTCAATTCATTTTAAATTTTTATTAAAGAATAATTAATTATTATTTTATTTATTTAACAATTTTTCTTAATCATTAATTAAAATGAAATATTATAAATTATTTTAAGTTTGATTATATATTTATCATCATTCGGTTTAATTACTTTTCTACCAAAATATTAAATTTTTAACATTTTTTTTACATTAAAAACTGCAATAAATGTCATTTTTTAAAGTTTATTTTAAAATGATTTTAATTTTCAACAAAAACATCACATTTATGTGTTGCAACAAACATTAATGTAGTTTAATTACAAATAAAATAGGAATAAGATGATTATTATTTTATTGAAAATTAAAAACATCAATGAATTTAAATTTTTTTAAAGTTAAAACTCCAATCAATTTATTTACATTTGTTTGGATTTAATGAATGACCATTCATTCGCAAATAAAAATTTACTAACGATTACACTTAATATGTTCATTTCTATTATTTTATATTCATCGAGTTTTTTAATAAATGATTACGATACAATAAACTAGTTTAATAAGTATCAACTATTAGTTACCAACTTTTCTATTAAATTTTTAAGTTCTTGTTAGTTTTGTGAAACAGAATCTTAAAATACTATATAATTATTTTCAATTAATTAACAAATTCATAAGAGAAGTGTAAGGACTGCAGTTTTGAATTAACATGACTATTTCCCAACTGGTCCTGATGAATACGACATAAATTTCCTAATTCTTTATTACTAACAGAGTATGGCTATATAAACAACAAAGAAGACAAACTCTTAAGTTTCTACAAGAACTGGTACGAGGAAAACTTACTGAAAACATGCAATGGATTGAGAATCGGCAAAGTTTCTGCAACTCCAATTTTACAGTTGTTATACTGAACAGTCCAGTAACACTTTTGGGGCAATTGATTTCACAAACATAATAAATCAGATATATAATTAACAATTATATATGTTAATGACAAAACCTGTATCCCAAAAAATAACCATACAAATTTTACAAATTTGAAAACTTTTTGAAAATTTCATATCAGAAAAAAATCCTCAAGATGTTACCATGGAGGCCAAGTCCAATTCTTCATCGGAGTCTATCACCTCTTCGTAATCGTAATAGGCATTCACCTGCCCCACAGAACAAGGACACGATTCTTAACTTTGTACAAATTTTATATTACAAACTGAAGACATCATGCAATTTTTTTAAGATCATATGTTCATATGATATTCAGAGGAGTTAAGATTTCTTTACCTTCGGCCTGGGAGTAACCGCTGAAAATCCATGAAATATAGGATTGTCAAAATTCGGGGGTTCAAGGACAACATAGGAACCTTTGTTGTTATACCTCTCCTCTGTTGTTGCCTGAAGGAAAAATAATTCTAAGGATAAAGAAACTCCAACATTTAACAAAGAAATTATTAATATACAGTCAAAGAAATGCCTCTCTGCACTGATCTGCATTCCAAATCCTAGTCATTACATAAACCATTATTGCTTCTGACAGTGGATTAAAAAAGTCAAAGCTGATGACAGACAGAGTTCATTAGAGGTCTAAATTTATAACTACTTTGTACACAGAACAATTATTATGACTAGTCATAAACTTGCTCTGCCCGGTGGTTTTATCGATTTATTTCTTAATTTCAATATTTATTCAATGCAAAGTTACGTTGGTAATCCATAAAGAGGAAAAGTAAAGTTATGCATTTATGTACGTTTTCAAGAACACAATGAGAGGGTTCGTTCAATCTTTGCCTTAGTTGCAAAATGAAATAACCGAGAGAAGGGTTCGTTCAATGTAAGTTGCAATTTTGTCAGTCACAACTTGACCTACATTTTCCTTACTAATCTCTTCAACAACTTCATCAAGCATCTTAAAGACTAATGATTTGTTTGATAAGAGGGAAGGGAGGACGAAGAGAGGATGGATTTAAGTTGGTTACTTTGGTAGGAAGGAGAAAATTAAAAAGTGGGTAGATCCCCTTAGTAATTTTCGTTCTATTTCTCACATATTTTCACTCCTCTTTATCCTCTCTTCATCTTTGTTCTATTTCTCTTCAACCAAACACCTTTTAACCTCCCATTTATTTCTCACCTATTTCTATTCATTCTTTTTATTTCTATCTAGTCTATTTCTTCTCTCTACCAAGCAGACCATAAATGTTATTTTTTTCTATTTTACAGGCACCCATAGACCTCAAGAATACCATTCCTTTACGGCTATTCACCGAGTTCAACATTGTCCTCTTGTCAGTCCACTTATCAATCCTCGGTGCACCCAATTTTCTATCACGGTCACCTCTATTTCTTTTCCTCAAATGCTTCACTGTAATCTTGTGATAGGACAGTGGCATTAGTTCTTGCCATGTTTACCAATTAATTCTCACATAATACGGATTTCTTCAACTCTTGCCACATTGAATGGTATGACATCATGGAACAAAATCTCACAATTATTTGAAAGTTTCCTCTCTTACCTCTTATACAAGATATTGATTGTGGCTTGGGTGTGCATACCCTTTCTTCTGAAGATACTACGAGTCTTCTCATCAGCATAAACCATTTCATTGCTCTTTCTTCTTTTTTCTCTAGCTTCAATTCAAGATTCCCGTTAAGGGTACTACTTGAGCTTCATCATTTGTTCAGCCTTGCTTTCAGCTTTGATTTCACACGATAGACAACAATGCCTCACATTTCCTTCTTCACATCATAAATAACAGCTTTTCAAGGTTTAACATCCTTAATTGCTAGAAACAAGTAACGCTTCAACTTATTAGCACATCTACCTCCGAACAATATTTGCATTGAATTTTTCTAGTGTGTTCAACTGAAATCCCATTTTTCCATGCCACATCACTCTTGTTTCCTAGAGCATTCCTAGGCAATCTAAAAGACACAC